TAAGTGGAAATTTAGAATAATATTTGCATCGCATACCATGAACTTATAATCTAAATTCTTTTTAACAACAACAAAATTAGCCAATTATATATTCTCTCTGTTTCTAATAGTTTGATGTTTTGAGTTTTTCACTCATATTAAGAATTTAATCATTTGAACATTAATTTTGATATTACATATTTTAAAATAATTATCAACCAATAGTAATCTAAGAAAGTTAATTATTTTCAATCATTACGCGTTGAAGTTTAATTAAACAACTAAATAACCATATTAAGAGAAAAAAAACGAAAGCAGGGGTGAATTAAGCATTAGCCAATCAAACTGAGGATTTTAATGTATTACCAACATAAAAAGTCGAAAGCTAATAATGCTCAATCCATGAAAGCATCTTTTCCAGATAATTGGTTATCAGATTATCTAATACTTACGTTGCTTAATAAATAAGTATCCAAAACCCTAAGAAGAAACATCAATCATTGGACAAATCCGTAAACTTACGTAATTAAATTCAGCAATTTCGTGTGACTTACATTGCGATTTGACTTTCACGTACGTATTAAATCAACCATAACTTCAGGGAAGGATTAATAATTTACTAATTGTGGTTCGTCTTGCAGCCAGCACAACATTGACTCTTACGCAAATACTTATGCACACGTATGTGATGATCATAGAACAAATTTAAACTCATCTTATCTAATTTGTGATTTGAAGATTCGTTTAACGAAATTACTTATTCTTTCTTCCGCAATATTAAATTAACAAAAATAAAAGTGCACGCTTATCTGATTATATGAATTTACCTGACAGGTGTTGAGACCCCTATTAGTAACGTGGCTCAAAATGGCAAAATCTAGTCCTAAATCTTGACTCCTGCGCTCTTTTCTGAAGCTTTCTTTCTTTTCTTTTTTCTCAGAACTTTAAGATGACATTGAAGTCGTTTTCACAATCTTTAAGACGTGTATATATGTTTACACTTTAGAATTATCGCATTAACAAAAGAGAAAACAATTATTTAATGACTCAAAGTCTCAAACTCTATATATGTGATCTTACACCCACATCAATTTTCTAGAATATTCGTATCTATATTTTAGTCTGGCAATCTAATCATTCTTTAGCTTCAAACTCAAAAGAGACAAATTTTCACATACTATCAAATTATTATTTTTTAAAAAATCGAGCTATATAGCCTATAGATAAATATGGGGCTGAGCTTATCAGCATAAAATATTTTAAACACGTACTTATTTCAAGAGTGATCACTATCACCGATCCACGAATTAGTCTTAGAAGATTTAGGATACATCGTTACTCCAAAAAAAAAGTAGTACTTTTAAAACGATAAAATCTGCCACGTAGGAGAAGACAAGTTCAGAGACATTGAGAGTCCCGCGAAGCATAAACTTCGAGATCCGTCTTTGATGATGACGAAATCATTACACGTGTTTGGTTCACAAAAGGCTTTATCGCACTTCAAGATAGATCTGGAAAGTGAGACCCACGAGGGTTTTGTCATTGACGATGCCCTACGATGCCGTAAATTCACACAACACACTTCCAATGCCCAAAACTCTTCCGCAACTATTTTGTCGTTTACTTCTTCAGCTCTAAAATATGAAAATAAATAGTATTACCAGAAAATGTATCTTGTAAAAGTCTGAGAAATTCTGATAGAAGTCGCTTAGGGCAAGTCATTTAATTTTTTTTTAAGAGTTTGAATGGTGATATTGGGTAGGTACGTTTTCTTCATAATCATATACGCGGTTGCAACCGTTTTCACATTACCATTATTTACGCTTATAATCATTATCATTATCATTATTTGTGACTGTTATGGCTTAAAAAATGTGAACACAATTAGCTGTTTTATATTTCTGTCTTTAGTGTCTGAAAAACGATTATAATTAATCACTTACACTTTCAATTTTCTTATTATTAGTTTTGTAATAAAATAATATGAAATGAACCGAATCTTTCTAATTTCGTTTAGATTTAAATGGTTTATCCAAAAGGAAAAAAAAAAGAGTTGGAACCAAAAACCGAGATAGTGGTAGGTTAGAGTAATTTGACCAATCGCGTAACTGATTATGGTTGCTCTGCTATTGACTTATGTATACTTCCAAAATTACGTCCTTTTTTTTCTCCGTTTGGTAAGACGATTTTAGATATTTTATTTCTATGGACATGAAAAAGATAAAATGCCATTTTAATTATATTCCACATGTTTTAAAATGATAATTGGTTAGAGAAAAATTTAATCATGAAATAAATCGTAGAAGTTTTAATGCTTTAATAAATCTCATTTTCTTAAAGTTTATTAATTTATCTTACGATTTTTTTTTGTATTAGTTCTCTCATCATTCCATCCATTATTTGACTATTATGACATTTTCCTTTTTAAAATGCAATGTATCCTTAGAATATGGGTTTGAAAGCTTGGAAAGAGATGGGGTATGTTAGAAACAAAACCCCGTGATGTTGTCATTGTTGAGCACGTAAAGAATCTTATATAGTTACTTCACAAAACGGATCACTCATGCCGCTTATTATTATCAACATAATAGTATTCGTAATTTGGTGCAATAAAATATTTCAACATTATATCAATAACGAGGGAGAAAATCTCCATAAAATGCAAACAAAAAATTCTTATATACGAACCCAAACATCCTAATCAATCAACGTCGGTATTTTTTCTTAGATACTAAAACTTTCGTTTTTGTCAACTACTATAAATTTCATTGAAACAAGTAGGCCTGGGCACGAAGCGGATATCCGTAAATTTTGGGATATTTGTTATTCGATTCGTCTCAACTGAATACTTGATTTTGTGATTTGCTTTGATTCGAAAATTTTCGGATATTCGGAAAATCGAATATCCGGATTTTTTTGTGATATTTACGGATATCCGCTTCGATATTTCTGCACCTATTAAAACCCTAAAAAGCTAAACGCTTGCATGTAAAACCACGAAGAAGAAGATAAAATTTGGGGAAAAGAAATCGTCGCAGGATTCCAACTTCTTAATTTTAAGAGATACTGATTTTTTTTTCTAATAAATTCCACTTCACTAATAAAAACTATTAACTTGTGTTACAAACACAGGTCTAAAGGATAAAAAATGAGTTTACAAATACAAGCCAAAAATATATTATGATATGCATATATATTATAATTTTTTTACCAAAATGTATATATATATACTAATATATATATATATATATAAAATACGGATCGAAGCGGATATTTGACTTTTAAAAAATTAATATTTGTTATTTGCTCCGGTTTTTACGAATACTACATTTTCCTATTTGTTTTGCTCCAAAATTTTACGGATATTCGGATTTTTCGAATCGAATCAAAACGAATACCGAGTCGAAGCGGATCTAACGAATATTTTGTCCAGGCCTAGAAACAAGCAATTATAAAATTATTTAGGTAATGTAATCCTAACTGCAAAAGTGAAAAAAATACCATCAAATAATAATTTCCATCTAAAAATGAACACATAATCTCCTAATTTTGATTTAATAGTGGATAACAAAATGAGAAAATTGCTGTCCATAGCACCCAAATGGCCGATAATTAGGCAAAAATAAGATATGAAAGTTTTTTTTTCAAAACATATCTATAGTGTAGTGATTTGTACTAATGCCGATATTATATCATAATTCATGTTCAAATTTGGTGATGTACATTTGTAAATTATAGACAACGTTGTATTTGTTTGTACTTCGGAAAAAATTACAATGGTCTTAACTTGTTTAGGTTTAACTTTTAAGCGGAGTGAAAGATAGTACAACGTACTAATTCATCAATTGTTCATTATGATTGTAAAGACAATGAGAAAGCTTCGTCGTTTCGTTTTTTGATTCACGTAAACTGGACCACTGCCCAAAACAGTTCAACGAATTCACGCTAAGAATTTATTATTATTTTTCTTATGGGTAAAATAACAAAATAGAGATAATGAAATGAAATAATGTAATGCAATACTTTATTAAAATAATAATAATAATGTGAAGCAATACGTGGGCCACAAGAAACGGAGACTGATTTGTCAGTACACGCAGACACATAGCTTCCTTTTCCAGTTAAACACTTCAAAAGTATCATTCCAACTTTCCATCTATATTATTAATACATTTCTTTCTTTCTTTCTTTTTGTCAAAATTAATACATTTCTATCTATCCCTAATTTGTTATTTCTCCATATTTATATTTGAACCCACTAGGTCGTTTGAAATTGAAATTGAATCAGTCGAGTTATCGTATTTTCTTACTCCGATGAGTTATTATTTTAGAAGATTAAAATAGTGTTGTGATTAACATAACATTATCTGAACTTGATTGTTATATTTTTTTGGTGAGTCGTTGATGTATTCGATCAACAAAAAATCTTGACGAAAATGATTTATCTAGTAATTTAATTTTAAATATTAAATATTATAAAATAAATGTATCACTTTGACTTGAACTTTTGGGTAACATACCTTCTAAAATCCCAATCTAATGTGAAATTTTACTTTTTGGAAAATGAAAAATACATCTTTACCAAAAACAATTCAAGCTTTCTTTCTATATTTTAATCTTTTTTTTTTAATCTTAAAAACCAATAAATAATATATCATTCAAAACCTCTTAAACCAATGAGAGTCTCAAATCAGCATTATATGGATAAGATTTGTCCAATGTAATAGTTAGGCAAAAAAGTATAAGAATTCAATCCAAGTATCCAACGAGAGTCATCGATCTTATATTATACAGATATAGGATAAGACAAAACAAATTTCTATTATAAAAGTCTTTAAAAAAAGGAAAGTATAAAAATTAATAAATTTCTATATACATACAATTAGAAAGAAAAGCGGGGTCCGCACTCAACGCCATTATGATGACATCATCACATAACCACACAAAAAAATAAAATAAAAACTTGAGTACTCTCTACGTTTCCTCTATTCTATATAAACCCTTCACATTTCTCTTCTTCTTCTTACTGTTCTCTAATCCAATTCTAATCTTAATTCTTCATAAACCCTAACTTTATAAATCCCTTTTTTCATCTTAAAAACATCTGTTTTCTTGAAAATGTCGGAAGAATTCGATGAATCTGAGATTATTTTCTCTGATAATTACTTTCCAGTTCGCCGGCGGGAAGACGGGAACGAGAAAGAGAATCGTCCGGTGGCTTTCCGGGAAAATTCTGAGAGAGTGAGGAACAAGTCATCGAGACGGAGTAAAACGACGTCGTTGCCTACAGCGGTGACGGCGTTTTCGAGTTCGCTTCCGGTGAATATACCGATGAGGAGGTATTCAACGGAGGAGGAATATTCCGATGACGACGGAGGAAGGAGAATGATTCCGCCCCATTTGATAGTTGGACGGAGGATGGAAGGAGGTCAAATGGCGTTTTCCGTTTGTACAGGTAACGGAAGAACTCTTAAAGGACGAGATCTGAGCCGGGTTCGTAATTCGGTTCTCAAGTTAACCGGATTTTTGGAAGCTTAAATTTGGATTGGACCGGACTGGTGTCGGATTTTTATTAATTTTTTCGATCTTCCAAATTTTTTTGTTTGTTTTTAGTGGAAGAAGTAATCAGCGGTTCTCGTAATTGTTTTTTAGTTTGATTTTTAATTGAATGTCAAAGGAAAATGTCAAAAAAAGAACATTTATTTCCTTGTTTATTCTTAATTTTGATTCTCTTAATTGTAATAGAAAAAGGAAGAAAAAATATATCAAGTTTTACTTTTGATTAACAGTTAATTGTTGTTCTACATCAACTCTTCTTTTGTGCTGACAAAATTGAATTTGTTGAATAAGAAATGGAATTTATGATTTTTTTTAATTATATTATGAAGATCTCTATTATTTTTTCTGTAATGAAGATGAAGACAAAAGACGAACAGAAACAGCTGTTCTGTTGTAATTGATTAAGAGAGAGAGCAAGAAAGAGACATTTCTGGCCGGTGACATCAACGCGAAAAGAATGCATTATTTTCTTACCAAATTTTTTTGAAGATTCTAGTCCAAATTCAAGACTAAGAATTAAAAAAAAAAAAAAAAAAAAAAAAAAAAAAAAAAAAAACCGCAGGATTGGCTCTTTAGAGCGTTTAATTTAAGCTGTTAACAAAAAAAAAAAATTAAAAAAAAAAAAAAGACTAAGAATTTATAAAATTCTAGGTGTTCTTGACGTTTATAAAGATCTATATTTAAGAGAATTGGAAATGTAGTGAATGGATTTGAACTATAGTTCAATTTTCTAACCTTAAGATGAGTCTAAAATTTTAATTTGTTTGAGAGCAAAATAACATGCTCAAGTTTAGCCGATATAAAATGAAATGGTCAAGTAAATTTAACTCGTTTGTTTACCAAAAAAAAAAAAAAAAAAAAAATTTAACTCGTTTAATTTCAAGATATTCAATTACCTAAGGTTCTATCTAGTTATATCAGACTAGTTCTTCCATATTTTAATAAGCAACCGTATATATAAATATATAATGAAATTGGCACGGATGATGCAGTAGTAAATTAAAAACTTGATAGTCAAACAAAAACAACTTGATATTTACTCCTAGATTAATTCCACACATATTCTTTTGTTCTTCATCAAGCATAAAATTAAATGGAAACCAATTGTTCAAACCTTATCTTTATAAAATAGGCATATGGAGATTAATAACTAATTAAGGTCTTATCATTAAACTATAATAAAAGATCATATGACATTATAAATTTTTCTTACTAGCCATCTCTTTGGAATATTAGCGTCTCGTGGATATACTTTTTGACACATGATGACATGATTATAAGCCGACGGCACATGCATCTACCCAAGTTCTTATCCATTAACTTTCTTACTGACTAAATTTTGTAATATACAATTTAATATTTAACTTTATAAGCTTGTTTTTCACATTCGTATTACGATATTATAGTAATGTTTTATACTTTAACAGAGGTTGTATAACATGCCCAGCTTTAGATTAGGCAGCTTCTTTACTTATAATCATGCATTCTTTTCAAATATAAAACCGATAAGAAATAATAAGACACATTATACTTGCATAAAATATTTCTGGTCTGTCATTTAAAGGAAAAGACCAAAAAAGTTTTATGCAATTATAATGTGACTATCAACGACGATTGCTCATTTTACTCTCATATATCAAAAACAATTTTTTTTTTTTTTGTCGTAAAAAAAAAACAAGTTTTCAATCTAGCAGAAGAAGAAAAGGAATTTTTATTCTATTATTTGTAAAACAAATCATATATTCCATTAGATATACTCCTACTCCTAGTATTTTTTATCCTCATATCAACTGATTACAGAAATACGTTTTAGGTGTTCCCAAACCGTAAAGAATTTTTTTTGCTTTGATTAAAATCGTTTATTGAAAATAGATTTCTTACGCATAGCTAGAATCGAATTATCAACCATAATCCTTATTTTCCATCGATTGTAAGAAGAAAATGATTTTTACTCACAAAAAAGGGAAAAAGACAGCAAAAATAAGTGAGATGACGTGGAAGTACAAGTGGACCACGTGTGTAAGAAAAACAGAAACTTCGAGTTTGATGATCCAAACTGTCAGAATCTGATTGGACTCACACATATCAAATGATATGTTTCTTTTGGCGTTCACGTGCATACCTTTTTAGCCACAAGTTTCCCTAAAATTTATTACGTGTGCAAACAAACAATCCTAAATCATTTGATACAGAAATTTGAGCTTGTCTTTTTCTCAATAAATCTTTTGAAAGCTCTAGTTCACAAAAAAAAAAAAAAAAAAAAAATCTCTTGAAAGCTCTATCTATTGCATTTTGGCCCAATATAACATGGGCTATATTAATATCTATGCTCAGAAGACTTAAAAATTAGATTTGTACCATTGCTTGCACACTATTGCTTTTGGATCTCTGCAACTTTCACTTTATGAAAACAATTTTCAAAAGTTTATAATTTTCCTAGAGATGACAAGTTAAAAGTTGTTTCATTTATGAATCAAACTGTATTGTAAAGAGTCTTTGAACAAGAATGCTATGCACAGTAAAAAGCTAATACAGATACAACACCAAGAATATCATGCGACCAAGAAGTTGATTTCAAAGCTAATGTTCTCAAGTGGCTCTAAAGAGATGGTTAACTTACAAATCTGAGCTCACAATCGCCTTGACTTTGTCACCATGTGTCGGTTGCTTGACGCATAGCCAAACTTGCTGATGTCTGGTTTAAGAGATAACCTTTTCTTTCGACAAAACCAATTAAAAGAAAACAAACAAATCTCTATGAGATTATTGCATCAATCACCAAAAACTACTTAAGATATTATACTATGAGAAGTAAAAATGTTTACCCTTTGGACGGACATGTGTTGCGGATATCTTTGAGAGGTGCACGCAGGCCACTAGCACGAGAGCCAGTCCCAGAATATTTGAAAGATGATATGGCTGAGACAAATCTTTCCACTGATTTCTCTGCTATTTCTGAGTAATGTCCTATATGTGAAATGTTCGATCCAAACTTCTCAACATCATCGGTTTCAAATGGTGTTTCTGCATTAAGAGCTTCACAGGATAGTACAGAAAATAAAACCGTTTTAGTCAAAGATCCCATTGCCTATATAACAATTATACAGATACAGGTACTTAGGGGGCAAGAATTTCTATAATTACCAGGATCTGTTTCATCCATGCGAATGTGCTTGGAATTCAAATTTTCCTGAAATAGTTAGAAAAGTTAATAAATGGCTTGAACAATGATAGCATAAGCCGCAAATATGAGCATTGGTTAATAGAACAATACTATCTTACCTGCTGAAGGTTTTCAACTGAATCAAGCTTCCTCTTCCCTGTTGCAGCTCCATGAAAACTATTAATAACAATGGAAGAGAGATTTAGGACTTTCTCTGGAGTACTAAAGGCAGAAGGGATCTCAACGGATGGGTTCTGTTCCTCTTCATCGATCTGATGGTTTATCTTGTGAATGTTTGTTGTTCTCTCAGCCACTTCGTTCATGGCAGAGAAACTTCCTTCTGTAGTATCTTCCTGATCGTTATCGATTCGGTCATGATTTAAACATGGACTAGTTGTTATAGCTCTGTGACTCTCTTCTCTTTTAGACGCGCTTGACATGTTAATCACAGTTTTAACAGTCTTTCTCTGACCAATCACAGAGCAATCATTAAGACATGGGATCGATTGTTTAAGACTTTTGTCTTCCTGCTTCTGCTTAAAATACTTGCTTCTTACTATAACCTTCAAACTATCTTTCTTTGGCCTCTCCACTTCCCGATCGCCGTATTTATGATGAAGATCCTTGTGATTACTTTCCATTGCATCTAAAACATTGTGACGCGTAAAAGATAAGTCAGAAAAATAAGTTACAAGTGCCAATTTTTTCCAATCGTGGAAAAAAATAAAATTGTACCATCGTCGGGTGCCTCTCTTTTCTCTGCAACCTTGCTAACACATGCATTCTCACCCTAAAGACACAAAGAGATTAGAGCTTGTGCTACAACTTCCGAGAACTAAAATGTGGTTCTTCTAGTTGCTTACCAAGCTATAAACCGGGGATTCATTTGTTGTCTGACTTGAAAGAGCATCTATATCTGTTGAATTATTATCAGGAGTGCTTGGAGATTCATCAGTTGGGGTCAGAGAAATTGGTGATATCCTAGGAGCCTTGAATTTTCTTTTTGCCTCAACAGATGCAAAGCCTTTCAGATGTTAAGTGAAGAACAACTGAACAAATAGACCAGATCAAAAACATCGCCAGTTTCAACAGCTATTGAGACTCTTAAAGATATACAAGACATCTTGATCAAAACAAAAATCCTACTAAACCAAGTGAACCACGTTCCAAATGTAATAAACTGCAAAAAAATGAAATATATGGGATGCACCATTTAAGGATACAGAAGTACTTGGTGAGAAGGTTTTTCTGGACTGGCAAATCAAGCTTTTTCTTTACAGTTTCAGGTTTGAAACTTATGGGACGGGATATACCATCAACAGCCACTTTAGGAGTTACACTCTCAGCCTATTCATTCAAGAAAACAAGACAACGAATCAAGAAAACATCTCCGGGAGGGAAAGAGAAGGAGAGATTAGAAATAGAAAAAAGTCGGTTAATATACCTGGAATGGCAACTGTGTGAAGGGATCAAGCTGGCCTAGTGCTATACCCTTAGCAATATGTTGTGGCATCGATGTGAATGACGTTAAGAAATGAACTAAATGTTCCTTAATCAATTTTGATAAATGGAGGCCTAATGTCAAAATACTAGTCTCAAAGGATATGGGCCTACAAAATCGGAATCTTCGCCAAGGTTGTCAGAAATGTCAGACAAGTGTATAATATCTTCACTTTTTGGATCATAGACACGTTGATGCTTGAAAGTCAGTAAGGCTCTCTTGAATGACTCTTCATAAAGAGGAGGAACTGAAACTGTGCTGTACTTTAAGTGTTTAATAACCTGAAAGCAAATTAGAAACATATCACACAAGTAAACTCTTTTCCAAAACTGTATATAGGATTGATTCCGGAAAATCTAAAGCTAGTTTTGTAAGAATTTGTGATAAAGTATACAGTTTTTGAATTAATCATGCTCTTGGTTTACCAAATTCCTTGTTGTAAGATAATATCAAGCGAGAAAAGAATGTATACCCTGTCATAGCTTTTGAACTTTGTAATGAGTGCATGAGCTCTTTTGAGTCCCATTCCTGGAAGTGACTGCAGATAATCGCAACCACTTAATATGCACATTTCAAGCAGCATTTGGCTTGAAAATCCTGAAAGACTGAGATCCTTATTTTTGGGTAGCTTGGAGGCTTGAAACTCAACACCATGACCAAACTTGTCCATTTTAAAAATGATCTGTGACATAAAAATTAGCAGTTGAAGTCTTGATGGTAATACACTGGGATCGACAAGGAATTAAATTATACCTACCAGAGAAGAAGTGGAAATACTGATGAACTGCAAATATCTCATGAAAAGTGTAACAGAAAGCTTACTCTTGGGCAGCCAAAAGGTACGAGATCAGAATCCTCAGTGATAATCGCATCAACTTGCATAGTAACAGCTAAGAATGTCATCTGCGCATCAGCTTCGTAAGGAGCTACAACGTAATCAATATTCTCCTGCCTCAGAACCTTCAATGGTAGAAAAACACCGATTCAAAGAGATGGAAAACAAAGCAGTTCAAGGACAAATATAAATCCTTTCATCTGGAGAGGAGTACAAGTTATCCAGCCTACTATTACCTGTATCAATTCGTGTGCAATAGAAGGTGAAATGTCTACCGCCTTTGAATAGCACTCATAAGCAGCCGAGGAATTTCCATTTGCTTCATGCTCCAATGCACGTGCAAGATTTTCCTTTCTGGATCTGAACTTGATTGTTACAGAAAAGAAATGGACTTGGTGTGAAACTTGTTCAAATGATAACCAAGAAACAAACATAAATTTGCATATTGTGCCTATATTATCTAGCCACTGTTTACATACCTAGCACGCTTATTCTCTTGTTCTAGTTTCATCGGTAACGGACCTCCATCGAAGACCATGATAGGCTTCACTCCATGATGGCGGAGTAAATTCACTCTATGCATACAATATTGAATATGCCTGAAAGATTAAACACCAGTAAACCCATTATCTTCTACAAAACCAGAACCAGAACAGTAACAAGAGAACACATCCTAAAGATTACTACTGTCAAATTTCATTCCCTTACAATAACTGGACAAATGAAAATTACGTCTTGGTTAGCAAACATGAATCAAGTGTAAACGAAATCTCTATCACATTTCCATACAAGCCTAACATCCACAAGAGATAGAAACCAGAGTGCCCATCAAATAATAACCAGAAAAAGATTGAATTTTCAGAGTGTGCTTAACGAAATAGGACCATACACTTCGAGACAAAGAAACCCACTTTCTAAATTGGGCAAAACCAAAATCAATCGATCTACATCTGGGAGCAGGGGGAGAGACGAACCTCTTGGTGGGTAATCCCTTGCAGAGCTCTCGGCTACAAGATAAAGCACCTTTGTGTAGCCATGAATATGTATCGACGGCGACGATACAACCCTCAAGCTCCTTGATATGAATCGGTACCATTATCGATTTCAGCAACGGTAAAAGCCCTTGAATACCCATTTCCTCTAACGAAGAGGGGTGTTTTCACAATTGGTACCAAGGACGAGGATGAAGAAACCCTAATTTCGCCCTGACGAGAACATTTCAGGAGCCTGGACTGTATCGACAATCGAGGAGGGGTGTTTTCACAAATATGGCGGGAAAATTCTATTAGGGATTTTGACCAAATTTTTTTCGGTCCAAGGACTAGGCCTGGGCGTCCGGTTCGAACCGAAATAAACCGAACCGACCGAACCGAACATTTTTTAATAAAAGATTATAATTTGTTTTTTATTCCAAAAAACATTTAATTAGCCTGCCATTCTCTTAGGATACCTAAGCAAATTTCATAAACTTTTAGTGCAATTAACCAAAAAAAACCACCATAGGTAACTAATTTCACATAATTGAGAAATCGTGTACATTAAAAATTTTGTAAAAAAGAAAGACAAATAAATTAAGTAAAAAACTGTAATTTAACTAAAAAAATTTGTTGTGACAAAAACTTTTTGCTAATGGTTTTTAATTTTCTCTCAACCGCAAAGAAGTTAATCTTAATCTCGATTCAATAGGAAAAAGACTTACTGATTAATTTTAGTCAAATAATAATTTATGCAGTCGCAATTATGCAGATATTTATGATCTAAAATATTATTTTTGCCAAATTTATTAAATATTATCTATTACATGGGCTACAAATTTCAACTAAGAAAACGTATTTGTAACTGCACTAAAAGATACTATGCTACCAAAAACAAAATACATAGTCAACATGATTTCCATTAAATTGGTCAAGATTTGTGTATGGTTGTGATAAGTGACTTAAAAAATCAATATTCAAGGTTTAATTCCAACACTATTTCGGAAGAAAAAAATCCGAAACGAGTTACTTAACCCAATTTAATCCAAAAATACAATCAATTTGGGAAAATAAAAAATTAAATAAGAAACAGTTGTGTTCGATTTAACAATAAGATATGTTCTACATTTTTTTTTGGAGGCTGTCAACTAATTATTGAGTTGCCTATACTTAAAAGTTGCATAGTCAATTATTAATATTATTATTATTATTCGGGACCGATCGAAGACCATACATCCAATGTTGTGGAACATGGATTTTTAAATCTATAATTTGGAAGTGTTGAATATGAAGAATCATACCATTCTTTGATTTTATTTCTAGAGAAGATAAGCCATTAGAAAACATAAACAGAATAAGAGAACTTTTTCAAAAAAAAACAAAAGATATGGTGTACTTAGTCCAAAAATCTATTAAAATGGCATGATCATTGTCGCTATGCAACTTACCATTCAGAACAATGATTAACAAAAATAGGGGTGGGCATTTAAACCGAACCGAACCGAACCGACCCAACCCAACCGAACTCAAACCGACCTAAACCGAACCCAAGCTTAGACTCAAACCATTCGGTTGGGTTTACTCTCAACCCAAATAGGTCGGTTCGGTTCGGTTTTAAACCGAACCGAACCGATAACCCAATGTGTTTATTAATTAATTATTTAATTATATTAATAATATTATAAATAACTAAATATGTGTTTATTTTTACTTTTATAATAATTTGAATAAATGTAAAATAGATTTAATTATCTCTAACACTCTAACCCTAAAAAACTTAGGGTTCTCCTTCTAAAAAACTTACAACTTGAACTTGATATTTAATTACTTTATCAATTTCAATGTTCAAACTTCAAAGACAATGAATTTTTTTTTTTGTTACATTAATTGATTTTTTGAACCGAATTTAAACCGAACCGAAGTAAAACCGAACCGAACCAAACCGAACCAAACATAAACTGACCCAAACACAAACCGAACCAAACTAACTTCGGTTGAGTTTGGTTAGAGTTTTACGAAACCCAAATAAACCAAACCGAACCGAACCCAAACCGAACCCGAAGTTAAACCGAAATGCCCACCCCTAAACAAAAACGTGGAAAACCATTTTACCACACTTAACATTATACTTCCACATTTCACCAAAAGAAAAAAAAAAACATTATACTTCCACATGCTAATGCTACCAACTAGACATTGTACCAAGCTTGACATGTAAAATGATGCGTCAATAGTTTTTAACCAATTCTCTTATGACAGAATATAACATAGTTTAAAATAAAATAAAATAGTTTAAATCTGACTTAACACACAATGTTTTCTGACCCAACAAAAAAAAAAACGATGTTCATCTTGACCTAAATATCCATTTCTCCATTTCTTGTCTTCCAAGGAAGGAGCCTGTGAGATAAGTAAATCCCAATTCTCTCATCATTTCACTGGCTCGATTATATTCGTCAAATACAACAGTGGGTCGCATCTGAAGAAAAAAAAAAATCAACTCACATGAGAAACTTTTGTCAAGTATAATTATTATTTTTAATGAAATCAGTTGAGAAAATGTTCATGATTCAACTAAACACCTGATCAAGTTTCAGACGAGCTTCGATTCTCGCCTTCTCAATGTTTCTCTTTCTCTGTTCCTGCAGATTCTGTTAAACATCTACGTTGTGATTCTCTGGCATCATCAGCAAATAAACACAAGTAGGTCTTGGTTCAGTTTCTTTACCTGAAACCACTGTTGTTGCAGATTCTCTTGAGCTTCTCTCCTCTGCCTCTCGATGTTCCTTTGTCTCGGTTTCTTAAGATCCTACCATATTTTTTTTTGAATAAAAAGCAATGAGTTGAGTCAAAGGACTCAGGATCATAAGTGAATGAAATCAGTACAATAAAACAAGAACAAAATCAGGTTTTATTCGTTTTCTTTACCCTCTCTCGCTTGGACAAGGCCAACTCCTTTCCATGGCGTCTTTGACATGTATTTTCGAATGTTTCTCTTGATGAACTCGCTCTCCAACCAGGACTTCTAGACTAAGAACCGAAATTTAAAAGAAAACGTTAAAAATCAAACAAAGAAAACAGTGTAAGAACTTTGATTCTTTACCCTCTTCCGCTTCCCAACATCTCTAGGTCTCTGTTGTAGCAGAATCTCTTGCGAGTCTTTGTCAGAGTCTTGGTGATCACGAAACTGACCCAATTCGTTTCTTCTAAAGCCAGAGTCTTCTTTCTCCTGAGAAATCCGTATAAACTCTTGTTTCAGCATAATCCACAGTAAATAAGAGAGTAAGTTGTTGTTCTGTTTATCCTTACCCTCTTCTCTGGCCAGGATCTTGCCTCTGTTTTGTACCTCCTCCTCCCTGAATCATTCCTTCTCAAATCCGGAGTTCTACCCTGAGAATCAAAACATAAAAACGTTAAATCAAAATAATATGGTCATGGCTTCTCACCCTGGAGAAGAAACTCAGTTAAGTGTATCACATTTGACGAAAATCGTTGTTACTAATGATATAGTTAGTATCCGCGGTGAAATTACCTGACGCATAGGTAAACTATCACCATCTCTTTCCTTTGGGTGATAAAATTGACAATTTGAGCCTCTCTTACAAGTTCCTGCCTTAAAAAACTGCAACAAAATGCATATAGAAGAAGAAGTTGTTAAAGAAAACATCTTTACAAGAAAGTAAAGAACACGGTGAATCTTCCAAATCAAGTAAACACTAAACCAGACAAGAGCAATATGTTATGCAATTCAATGCAGATTCTTGTTACATCTTTTGCTAAATTTTTCAATGCAGATTCTTATTACATCTTTTGCTAAATTCTTGTTACTTGACGCTTAAGTCAAATGCATCAACGCAGAACAAAATCTAGGTTTTTGACTCTCTATAATGCACTCATACCACAACTACCGATCGAATTAATCAGATTTAGAGATAATAACTGAAATCTAAAAAGTGTACCTTGCAATCCAGCTTATTACCAATCCTGTTCGGAATCTCCTGTTTGTAGTAAAAGAATACAAATTAAGATGTTTCAAAGCTATAGGAAACGAGGAAAATTGCAAATTATACTTAGCCAAATAGATAGATAATGTTTTCTTTCTTACATGTAGAGGAGGATGATTGTAACAACAATCGCTTCCCCAGCCACACAGATGATTTTTTAGATAAAACGGACAATTTTCTTCACCGGGGCGAATTGGATACGCACTTAGCACCGGTTCGGATCTCCCCTGAGTTCTCTCATCCAACATCATTGTGGAACCACTTCCTCTCGAATCAGGAGTTCTAGCCTGAGGTATCAAAGATTCAAAAGAAAACGTTAAATCAAACAAAGCATATTGTGTAAGAGTAAGACCTTAGTTTCTTTACCCTTTGCCATAATCTCGACTCTGTTTCATGGCTTCTCCTCTGCATCTCAACATTAATCTCACCCTCCTCGCTTATTCCAAAACTCAAGTCTTCTTTCTCCTGAAAAAATTCGTATTGACTCTCTTGTTTCATCATAATAATAAACACTTACACGGTAAATAACAGAGTAAGATTTTGTTCAGTTTCTTTACCATCTTCTCTGGCTCTTTTCCCTGTCTCCTATCAGTTCTCTCATCAGATCTACTCCCTAATCCACTCGGCCTCAATTCCTGAGTTTTTCCCTGAGAATCAAGAGTAAAAGAAACGTTAGCCATATTTCTCGACTCTGTTTCATGAGATTGTAAGGACCAAACAAAATAAAACCCGAAACGTAAAATCAAATGAGAAATCACAGCAAGAACATCCTAAGTTGTTAGCAAAAATATGGATCAGCACGTTAAGTTATTGTTCATTTGATTTGTTACCTTTGTTTCTTCCATGGATCTCGACTCTGTTCTTGCACAATAGCTTATGTTATCAGTTTTTGAGCCTCCTCACTTGTCTTCTAATTGCTTATCTTCTCTAGAAATGAAATCAAATAATGGTTTGGTTCTTCACATTCAATTTGAAAATCATGTTTCGAAAACATTGATTAGTCGCGAGTAATAATAATAATAATAATAATTTCCATAACAATATTTGACTATGCAACTTTTTAGTATAGGCAACTCAGTAATTCGTTGACTGGCCTCCAAATGAGGGGGAAGCTCTCGAAACCAGGGTTCGAACCTCACTTGAGAGGAATTAATTTATTCGCTATGACCTCACCTCCAAACTAAACCAGGGTTCTAGAGCCTTACTTGAGAGGCATTAATTAACTCGCTATGCCCTCAACCCGCAGAGATGCACAGTAATTGGCTCTATGGATAGAAATAAAGTTACCCTAATAGTATTTGATTATTTGCGATCTATAAGATGTGTCCCTAGATACATGTACATGCATATTTAATGACGTTTCAATTTCACAGGGAAAAAAGAAAAGTTTTTGCACCACTTGATTTATTTGAGTGATATTTTGGCGGGAAAAAATGTTTATAGGTGATGGATGCTTTGGACTTTTTCTTTTTCTTCCAACAGCTATTCTGTTACGGTTATAAAAACAAAGTATAACCAATAGCTGAGTTCCAATATACCTAAAATTATTCTATAGTTGTGGTAAATGATAACATAAGAAATTTAACTGAGAAGTTCCTTTTTCTTTATACCACTATGAAAATTACGAAATCATGTACATTTGAGTCAAACGCATTTTCACCAATTCTGATAGTTGAAAGTGAGAAAACGCTGATCACCTCAAACCCTAAATGTGCATCCTTTTACAGTAAAGATAGATCAGAAGCAAGCAACTAAAGGTCATGTTCTAATATGACTTCCCCTTCTAAGTCTTCTCTTTCTCCTCGGCGAAGCTGACAAGTAAAACTGTAAATCTCATACAGTATACCGACTTTTAGCATGACGATCAAGAGTCTTTGCATCCTCCTGAGAAAAATTTGGACAAGTCACAATAATGTAGTTTAAGAGAACACTAAGATGTTGAAGAAATAACAGAGAGGCCATAAATACATGAACTATGAATCCAATTTTCTCATTGTAACCAAGAAGTTCCTTCCACTGCTTCCCAATGCTTAGCTGCAATAACACAGCCAACAAGATCAGTCCAAAAAGAAAAGCCTCATATAAACAAGATCCTGGCCATTTGTTAACTGAAACAAAGAAACCCAATTGCCACAAAATTAAGCCAATCAATGTATTTTGTATGAACAAAACAAGGATTAAATTCTATGATCATGTAGTCTCCCTAGTCCCTATCATGTAGGTTTTAATTATAGACGTCAGGAAATTAACTAACTACATGTCGTGTTACTGTTTCTTCAAGAACAAGCCTTTTTGATTACCACAGAAATATATACATAACAACATCCATGTTTTACCTGAGCCTCCTCATTTGCAGCGTTCTTTGTCCATAGAGAGATCCTATCCCCTCTCGTTCTGAAGTTCAAAACTGCCCCACAAATCTCATCTCCTTGGTCAAATTGCTCACCAACCAACGCAAGTAGCTAAAACAAGGAGACAAGAAACATCACAAAGATGCATCAAACAACCAAAATGGCCAAGGGAAAAACTACAATGAACTCCTGAAAAGTTACAACAAATACCGTGTTAAGCCAATTGGATTCTAGTGTAGCTGCTTTAGGAAAAAACATAGTCCACTTTCCTCCATTAGCACAGATAGGATCTTCCCATTTTGGTTCAATCTTATGTTTGAAGCAGTAGAGATCCGCCCCTGAAACCCACTTGGTTGGAGGATGAATGTTGTTGTAAAGACTGCATCAAGTAATCAACAAGCAGAGCTTTAAACTCATCACATATAACGCGGAAAAAGAACTCATACGAAAACAAAACTAGCTTCTGATGTATACTCCTAAGTAAAGACTACAAAACTTGAAGAAATCCAAGAAGCAACGGTGCTATCTAAGATCAAGGCACGAGAAGATTAGGCGAAATTTCATCCGTAACCATTAAACAAAAGAGATCGTAAGCAGAAATCACCAAATCCCTATTCTACTAGTTCTGCTTCAGAGCTTAGATTTTTTTCTTGGAAACCAAAGAAAACACCAATGAGATTAGCAAGAAAGAGAGGTATATTCAAGATAATCTCACCTCCAGAACTCTTCGATAGTAGCGAATGTATACAAAGATCTCAAAGAGCTTCCCCATGTGACTTGATTCGATTTTGAGGAAGGATTATCGAACCAAAAGGTCCAAGAACTCTGGAAGAAGTGCGATTTCTGGATTACGGTGGTTGATTTCTTCAACGCGTTGTAGTCATTGCTCTTTTTCTCCTTCGACGGACCTTCCTCGTCACCGGAGATAGCCTTAATCGCCGGAACATGCTTCTCTTGACGGCTAGGGTTCGTCGCGGTGTTAGGATCGATGTTCTGATCAGCCATTATCGCCGACGCCGAAGAATCCACAACCACCATTTTCTGATTTCTCTTCTCTCGCTCGCTTGACAGTTAATTTTCCGTTCACTTTACTCCGCCGAGTCCGTTCCTAGTTGGTAGTTACAGACGGAAATGAGAGAGAGTTGGTTCCTGATATAAAGCCCAGTATTGTTCCACTACTGTAAGTTTGGCCCATTAAAGGCCCATACTCAAATGCGCGGGGTTACGTCATCTTATAAAATATGATCAATCTTACAAAATAAAAAGAAATGTAAATTATACATTTTAACATAATAGTAAACTTCCTAGTTAGTATATTTACATTCTTCCAAATCTTTCTTGATTCTTCAATAACCATATATACATGATTTACATAATCTAGGTTAGTCATCTCGACCGTTAGATCTCATCGATCTCTCAATACATTTAATACAAAAAAAAATTTATTACCAAGTAAGTTATGACATTGTTGTTATATATATGTGGGTATGCAAGTAGTCTAATAGAGGTATATACCACGCAGAAATACTTAAAAAAGTTCATTAGCTCCAATATTGTTTTTAGAGTTCAAGAAAGATGGGTTTCTTCTCCAAGCTTTTTAGTTGTTTCACGAAGCCATCTTCAAAGAAAGGTTCATGCAAGGGTGGTGTCTGTGTTCTTAAGAAGCCTAAATAACAAGGATGAGTTTGCTACTATGTAGTAGTTAGGCAAAAAATTTATTATTATTATTGTTTTCTTTTCAATATCTATGTTTCTCTTTTCATATTATTTGCACTTGATATTTTAAGTTAATTTATGTTTTGCTTCTATGCTTTTTCTTTTTCTATTGGCAATTCGGTTTGAAAAACAAAGTTGTGATTGTTTACATCAAGAACAAAACATATATTCGTAGGCTCTATTCTCTAAAAATATATATAAGGTTTAGAAAACATTGTAATGATTTGAAAATTATGTATAAATTAGTTGGATCATACGAAATCTGATGCATGTAGAACCTAAATGATAGGAGCTTATATCAACAACTTAGGATACGATGTACTTAAGAGATATAAACTTCAATGAAAAATAAAAAGACTTTAAATCATTAGAGCTAATCATTAGAGTCTTCCTCTTCCTCTTCTTCCTAATCATTAGAACCTAAATGATTGGTTTCTATTGATTACAATTCTTGGTATATAGCACCTAAAATTGCTGAAAAGAAGTAAAAATGAATACTCAAAACATATTGGGAGAATTATATGGAACTAAGGCTCTTTCTTCACAATCTCTTCAACAGATTTCTTATATTCCTCAATCAATTCCTTGCATGACACACAGATTTAAGAAGACAATTATAAGTAAGAGCACAATCAATCTGATAAAATATAAAGATGCTGTAACAACTTGGTAACTTACATTCTTTGTTGAAGCAATTGTTCACTTTCTTCTAGCTTTCGCTTCTGTCCATCAACATACTTGCAACACAAGAAAACCCGTAAGCGAAAACTAGACAAACTTTGTTATTATCCGAATGTCCAATGTTATGTTCTACCTTGTTAGTTTGAGATCCTAGGGATTAGAAATCGAATTCAAAATCTGTTGACACTTGTCGAAATGGCTACTCACGTCAGTCACCTGCAATGAAATTCAACATTCAAGAAACCTTAGAAAGCCAAACAAACTAAAAAAAAAAAGACTTGGAAATTTTTGTATAGAGAAACTAACAAAACAAAGAAAACAAACCAGGGCATCAGAGTTCTGATCTCGTGTCCCAGCTTCAATAACATCTGTTAAATTTTCCACCAACTGCGAATCCAAGACATTAGACCACCAAGGAGAAGAAATTGATTCATCAACTCTTTGTTTTTGATTCTTACTGGATAGAGATTAAAATGAGAAGCTAACAACTGATGTTGCTGCGGAGTCTGCACAGATTGTTGTTGCTGCGTTGTATGGGATTGTGGCCTCTGCATCTCTTCTTGTTGATAAAATTGAACACGGTCGTTGAAGTCGATGTGTATACATACTAGAGATAAATTTTATAAGCCTAAAGAGATTATATTAGACTCCTATATTTACGGATATTGGCATATCCTAAAGAGATTTAATCCGTATACATGCACATATATAAGTAAATCAAATAAGAGTTCACAGTAAGGAACAGGGTAAGTTATCTTGACTCTGTTTTCTTTTGGTAACTGCAGATTGTCTTGAGCCATTATACCCCATCCTCTAGATCTTCCAGTCTTTTTCTTGAATCAGGCTCTCCAGAATCCACACTAGTTTTTGCCATCCACAGCCAATCTCACCGCCGTTATCCAAGAGGTCTCCTCTCTCTTCCTTCTCCTCCTCCTCCCCTTTGTTCTAATTGAAGCTAAATCGCGTTGAAATTTGTTTCAATGCTTATAAGGAACTTATTGAGGCTATGTTTTCCTTGCAACTATGTGTAACAGGTCTCTACTACATTGCTCAAGTACATTGTTGACTCTAAGGTTGGTATATGGCTCCCTGATTATCAGTACTTGGGTTAGGTTCTGCTTTGTCAATGGGAAACGGGGTAAAAGTTCTTTTGACTCTCTCTCTCTCTGTTGAATCTGCAGATTAAAACTCCAGCCCAGTTGGAAGCTGCATTTGAGTTTTTTTGCCAATACCGGTTCTAAAGAGTTTAGCCTGACTGACTTTGAAGAGGCATGTGATGTTGGTAAGCACTTTTGTTTATGCGATTGTGAGTTGAGGTTACAATTTGTTGTGCATGATTTTTTTCTTAATAATGTATTTGGAGATGAGATTTTTCATTATCCCTTTGGAACCGAGATTGAAGTTTCCCCAGTTGAAGAAATCTTTGAAGATAATAACAAAACAATATTGGAGCAGGGCTATGAATCTAATGCTTAGTGTTGTCTCTATACCTCCCTGCCTAAGGCATTCGATTTATTTGATCCATATCTACCAATTTCTCTGATTCTCTATAATTTGTCACATAACTAGCTTATTTTGTTTCTTGGTTGAATGATGTATTTATGTTGTGTAGTTGGTGAATCATTTGGACATGTCCGGGAAAGTTTACCACATGCAGATCCTAAGATTGTAAAGGTGCGTTAACTTTTTTAGCAGGCCGTCTTCTTAGCTACAATGTTGTAGTTTTCTTATCCAGTCTTACGTTTGCAATAGAAACTCGACGAAAACATGTTTGAACTGCTTGGTGAGAAAACCTCTGCTGATACTGAAAAACCTACAAAAGAGGAGGAGAAGGTTGCCAAAGTTGAGGTGATTGGAGGTTTCATTGAATACATTTTTTCTTCTCTGTTGTGTATATTCTGATTGTAACTCTTTATTTTTGTGACTTTCCTTTAGGAAAAGAAAGCTGTTGTGGAAGCTACCCCAGAGCCATCTAAAGAGGAGCTTAATTCGTATTCTTCTGTAATCTCGGTGTAAAAGATATAGCCGTATCCGGTATGGAGGATACATAAGATTATTCTGATGATTTCAGAGAGATGGCACCGCCAGGGAGAGCTGTTAGAAAGCGGAAGAAGAATCTCATCTCCAAATACATTATTAAGAAAAAAAAATGGAGAGACATGCTGTGACCGGTCCCGATTTGACCATATGAATCATCGTTTGTATGTCATTAGTCATCCACAAATGCATATGTCTACTGGGCAACTGCTCAATCGGGTACTGGTATGGCTTCTCTACCTTGCAGCACCATGATCCATCTATATCTTCTGGGTCCTCCCATGGAATCCCGTTGTCAATGATGAATTTTATCGTAGGCGCACAATGGTATCCCTGGCACCAGTGGTCATCGTTGCTTGTTGCCTCTCTGCGGAAAAATACCAAAGTAGAGACTCCGACAGCTCAAAGGTATCCATTCGTTGATTTGAGTTCTCTCATCAAATCTCCAATCCTAAGAACCAAAATCGTACGAAAACGTTAAAATCAAACTATTATGGAGATGACTTCTTATCTTGGAGATGAAGTTCCTTGATACATACAGTAAAACCTCTATAAATTAATAATGTTGGGACCGTGATATTTTATTAATTTATAGTGATATTATTGATACTTATTCATTTATAGCATTTATTAATTTATAGAAAGTTATGTTTCAATTGTAAAAATTTTTTTTTAAAAATACGAGTTAAAGCAATGTGATCTAAATAAAATTAATGTTTTGGATGTTATAAATTTTATAGTTTTAAACTTAAACACATAATATTTCGAAGAGAAAATAATTTCTTTTGACAATGAATAACAACGATTATAGAATTCAATACAAACGATATACATAAATTAAAATTCACAATTAGTGACATCCATTGTTGTATTTTAAAAACCAATACGACTATTAAAACAAAAATTATGCATATTAAAAATTTGAAAACTTACAAAAACTTTTGGCTATTTTTATGAAAAACACTAAAACTATTATATATATGTGAAAATTTACATGATTATTAATTTATGATATTATTGGGACTATATTTTTACATAGGGATTTCAAAAAACTTATCATCTTATTATCTTACCGAATTTGGTTAATTTTTACACTGACCCGACTCGGAACCGGCAAAATTTATTAACTTATCGTGTTTATTAATTTATCGAGTATTAATTTATAGATGTTCTACTATACATTCTGAATCATCCCTGTCCCTCCTTATGTGTTGAAATTCACAAACTGAGCCGAGCTTACAATATCCCCTCCGAAAATACTGCAACGAAGCCATCTTCAAAGAAAGGTTCATGCAAGGGTGGTGTCTGTGTTCTTAAGAAGCCTAAATAACTAGGATGAGTTTGCTACTATGTAGTAGTTAGGCAAAAAAAGTTATTATTATTATTGTTTTCTTTTCAATATCTATGTTTCTCTTTTCATATTATTTGCACTTGATATTTTAACTTAATTTATGTTTCCCTACAATGCTTTTTCTTTTTCTATTGGCAATTCGATTAGAAAAACAAAGGTGTGATTGTTTACATCAATAATTTAGCATACGATGTACTTAAGAGATATAAACTTCTATGAAAAATAAGAGGACTTTAAATCATTAGAGCCAATATAGTTCAATCAGAGTCTTCCTCTTCCTATTCCTCTTTGTCCTAATCCTTTGTGTGGTTTAAAATCGGTTTCTGTTGATTACAATTTTTGGTATGTAGCACCTAAATTGCTGATTAAGTAAAAATGAATATTCAAAACATATTGGGAGAATTATATGGAACTAAGGCTCTTTCTTCACAATCTCTTCAACAGATTTCTTATATTCATCAATCAATTCCCTGCATGACACAAAGATTTAACAAGACAATTCAGAGTAAGAGCACCACACTCAATCTAACAAAATCAAAAGATGTTGTATAAACAACTTGCTTACTTTCTTTGTTGAAGCAATTGTTCACTTTCTTCTAGATTTTGCTTTTGTCCATCAACATACTTGTAAAACAAGAAAACCGGTAAGCAAAAACCAAACAAACTTTATCTGATCTAAATGTCCCATGTTATGTTCTACCTTATTAGTTTTAGATCCTAGGGATCTAGAAATCGAATTCAAAATCTGTTGACACTTATCGAAATGGCTACTCACTTCAGTCACCTGTAATTCAATTCAACATTCAAGAAACCCTAGAAATCCAAACAACATTAAAAACGACCTTGGAATTTTTTGTATAGAAAAACAAAGAAACCAAACCAGGGCATCAGAATTCTGATCTGGTGTTCCAGCTTCAATCACATCTGTTAAATTTTCTACCAACTGAGAACCCAAGACATTAACAAGGACGATGATATTAGACCCCAAGGAGAAGAAATTGAGTCATCAACTTTTTGTTTTTGTTTTTGATTCTTACCGGATAGAGATTAATATGAGAAGCCAACAACTGGTGTTGCTGAGGAGTCTGCACAGATTGTTGTTGCTGCGTTGTATGGGATTGTGGCCTCTGCATCTCTTGTTGCTGATGAAACTGTAAAGTCGAAAACGATCGTTGAGGTCGATGTATAAGCAAGTAAACCTCTCTCTTGTGGCGGCATATACTAGAGATAAATTTTATTAGCCTATGCCTAAAGAGATATATTAGACTCCTATATTTACGAGATATTGGCATATCCTAAAGAGATTAATTAGAAGAAGTTTTTTTATTTTTATTTTTGGTACCTGCAGATTATTGTCTTGAGCCTCTGTCCCCTGTCTTTCAGTATTTCTCTGTATCTGTTCTTGCGGATTCTCTTCTTCTCGAAATTCCTACGATATTAGTTTGAAGAAAAATCAAGGACTCATGATTATAGAACAAAATAACAAACAAAGTCAATTTATACCCCTTCCTCTAGATCTTCCTCATGATTATAGAAACATTTAACGTAGTTACCCTTTTCTTTGGCCTGGATTCTGACTCTGTTTCGTATCTCCTCTCAGTTCTTCTAGGCTGAGAATCAAAATCAAACAAAACGTTAAATCAAAAAACAAAACGTTAAGCCAAACATAGGTAACTTTTTTTTTATTTCTCACCTTTGGAAGTTGAATAGGATGATTGTAACGGCAAAAGCGACACAGACCAGTTTCGACGTAAAACTGACAGTCTTTTACACCGGGACGAACTGGATATGGACTCGACTGCGTCATCCTCTCTAAAGATCATACCAACAACATTAACATCACATATCCAAACTTAAATCAACACAAATCCATACGATTCTTAAAGAGATCACAAATGATGATCATATGGATCTCTCAAAGATTATTAACTACCTTTGCTTTTATCAGAAGATGGAATCGACGACTCAATGGAGCTCGGTCTTTGTTCTTGAAGATTATCATCTTCGTCTTCCTTCTCCTGAGAAAGTCTTTATCGACTCTGTTTTTCTCCGAAACAATCCGTAGTTAAAGAACAGAGCAAGTTCTTACAGTTTCTTTGTTTACCTTGGGTTCTTCAATGGATATCGACTCTATTTCATCGCTTCTTCTCTCAGCTTCTTGGTGATTCTCTCGAGCGTCTGCCATTAAAGTTGAGATTTTTAAGTTCTCCTCGTATCAGTTTCTTTAGCTCTGTTTCATCAATGCCAAGAATCTTCTCTCTAATTCCGTTTTTGTTTCTTTTGGCTTTATTTTTCGGCGGGAAACTGTTAGGACGTATTTTTCTTTTTAATAGCTATTAATTATTTCTTTCGTATAATTCTTCTTGTTTCGTTTGGATTCAACAGTTATTTTGTTAAAATATTTTGCATTAAGAGTTTCATCATTTGTTTAATCAAAATACACATTGCATTCCAAAACGATCAGTTTTATCAAATGAACTTATATAACTTTTCCACGTATAAAAATAGGGAAGAAGAAAAAATAAATTTGAGCATACAAGAATATTGATGTGTAAATTTTTAATATGTTCAGAAATATTCATTTCTACTCAACTAACTTACATTCTAATGTAATTTATCTTTACCAACCATATTATAATTTTGCAAATGTTGAAAGCAACGAAAGCGTAACCTAAATTCTCAACACATATAAGTTTCTAGCGGTCAAAGGAATCATCTGAGAGTTCTCTTTCCCTCTTTTCTTAACATTAGACCATGGGTGATATATTATGAGTATCAGGAGCCCATAAACAATTTTTTAATGGACCAAACAATATATTTGGGCATGATCCGTATCAGTCCACTGATACTTTTGATACCTAGTATCATGTGACGTGGCATCTCCTGATTGGCCTTGAAACGCGTTTTCACGTTTTTTTTTCTTTTTGAGTTTTTGTTTCTAATCTGTTGCAGAAGAGAGGAAGATTGAGACGAAAATGGAGGATGTTGTGTGTGTATCGCTAGAATCGTTCGCTTAGCTCTCCGTCCAATAATTATTAAGTTTTATGAAATAAAATATTTTATAATTTTTTTTTCTAAGAGAATCTTACTAGAGAACCTACCATTGGACTAGAAATTTTTTTTAAAAAAACAAAAGATCTCATCTCACAAATCTCTAAAATTTATTTTCGATTTTGCAAATAATTTTTTTTTTTATGATACTTAAACCGGTCTCACCAATGGAAACATATTTAGTACCAGTATCATAAAAAATCTCAAACAATAAACAAACATTAAAAGTAACTAGAATTTATCCGCGGTACACCGCGGGGCTATATTTTTTTAAAGATTAACTGAAGAGATATCATATTAATTTATATTTTTAAATGTAGATATCTATCTATGTATTATTTAGTGTATGATTACTATTGTTTAGGTTTCAATTTTTGAAGTATAGATACAAAAGCATACATTTTTATAAGTAACGATGTATGGTGAATTTTAAAATTTTGAATATTTTACTTTGCGGTATAACTAAATTTTTTAAATTTTAAGTTGTATTTGTTTTGTTAATATTGTATGTTTTGTTTTGTGTTTAAGGTTGTATAATTGTATTTTGATTGTTAATTTTAGGATTTCATCCGTGATATACCGTTCTTTATTAATATCGACCCAAACCCGTCATCCCATATAAACCCATCTATATTATCACGTTAGCTAAATTATTAGTGTTATAAAATCCAAGAAAATAAATTATTATTATTATAAAATCCAATAATTTTAGGATCTCACCCGTGGTATACCGTTCCTTGAATGATTTTAAATTTATACTACTAATTTTTTTTTTTAAATTAAATTCGTCTATATTATCCCGTTAGCTAAATTATTAGTGTTATAAAATCCAAGAAAATAAATTATTATTATTATAAAATCCAATAATTTTAGGATCTCACCCGTGGTATACCGTTCCTTAAATGATTTTAAATTTATACTACTAATATATATTTTAAATTTATCATATAAAGTATATGATTTTTTTATGTGAATATTTTGATTATTATAAATTAGTAGTTTTATTGCTATGCAAAATGTTAATATAAATATTTCCTATAATTCGGTTTTATGCATATTTTGTGGTGTAAAATTCACGATTTTTTTTAAAAGATATATGGAAAGATTGTGCAGAGATTTTTAGAAACAAATTAGGCAAGATATCGTTTGGTTAATATATTTTATTTAAATTTTATAAAACTAAATAATAAATGTCAATGGCATGGACTCGTAAATAAGGTGGAACTCCAGGATTTATTTCATATTTGTACTTCAAAAATGTATGTATAGATACGAAAAAATTGTTAATAATACTCTATGAGTACCAACTATGTGCATGCTCTTAGGATTTAGGCATTGCATCTTTAAGGAGTAAAATGACTGGGTTCCGACTTCGAGAAGAAGCAAAGCACTAGTCCGTCCCTCTTAACGCATCTCTCACAACAACATTTTTTCTTCTTGGAGGTTTCATTGAATACATTTTTTCTTCTTCTCTCTGTTGTGTATATTCTGATTGTAACTCTTTATTTCTGCGGCTTTCCTTTAGGAAAAGAAAGCGGTTGTGGAAGCTACCCCAGAGCCATCTAAAGAGTAGCTTAATTCATATTCTTCTAATTGTAATCCCGATGTAAAAGATACAGCCGGATCCGGTTTGGGGGATACATAAGATTATTATGATGATTTTAGTGAGATGGCACCGCCAGAGAGAGCTGTTAGAAAGCGGAAGAAGAAGTCCAAGCAATTTTTAGGTCTGAGGGCAGCAGGTGTAACTAAGGAACTGACAAAGGAGATCCTCGCTACAAGACCAATAACTTCGTTTCCGTCCATGCATAGTAGATATGATTATTACATTCATTGTGAGGTGGAAGATTTTGACATGTCAGGAGTAGAAGATTGGACAGTACAAGCAGGAACAATCCGTAATCAAGGCACCCACAGTAAGTAAAACATTACACAAACAGATTTGACTACACTGTTGTTGTTAATCACATATGTGAACTAACTTTTTTGTCAGGATTTTTTGGTAAGAACCTTAGACCATATCTGTGCTGGCACAAGTCCAGCAAGTAACTTCAAACCCGTATCTCCACTACTGAAAATGAGCTTTTATCCTAGAGACTGAAAATTTTTATTAATTGATAGTGATTACTAATTTATCGAGTATTAATCTATTAAGTTTTTTTTTGTACAAATTATTCACAAGTTAAACTTCAATTTACAATTGTGGTCACTTCTTTTCTTCACCTAATCTATCTGGATGTTGTATAACTGCTAAATCATGTTCACAATCACCGTAAATTTATAATACATCATAACAAATTTAAATATTGAAAATTAACTTAAAATTTGTTATTGTCTATATGCAGATTTAGTTCTAGTGAAATATCATTATATATCTTTAGAAAGCAGATTCTAACCAACTTTGCTGATATAATAATCACATATTCATTCATGTTAACTTATTTTTATAATATACATGTATATATTGTTTTATATTATATCCTTTAATCGTGTGGTTCTGATATGGTGATTGATTCTAATGCTATATACTTAAAAACTAGTTTAACTGTTAGAAACTGATCTATGATATTGCAAATGCTTTTACTGCCATACAATCTAGTCCAACAAAATATGCATAATCCGTTTGGTTTATGATTAAATAATACTCTCTCTGTTCTTAAAAAATTGATTTTCTAGAGATTTTACATAAGAAATAATCATTTTTTAATTATTTGATAATTATTTATTTACAAAATATTTTTAATAAATATTTATTTGTTATATTGTTCACCACATCGATAAAGAGATTCATGTCTATTACATTTAGATTTTAAGGGAAACCAAATAATCTACAAATAATTTAGCCCATTTATTTGTAGTTGTATCCAATCCCCCATAAATGGGCTAAAGTCCACAAAACATAAACTTGAGCATCTTCTTTTTTACAACACATTCAATTTCATTTTGAATTTAAGGATACAAGAAGGCTATTTTGATCCTCCGACACATAAGTTGTCATTGTTATTGACTTATTGCCAAAAATTTCATTAAAAATGGCCCCGCGGGGAAAAACCTATAACAGAAAATCAGAAATAAACCGGTTGATCCCAAAACGACACACACACACATGATCATCGGAGACAAAACGCACCCAAAATTATTTCCTTGTTCCGATAATCACGACCGTTCAACGCAGAAAAAGAAGGCACACATAAACCAAACTAGCTTCTGAGAACAATCTTAAGTAAAGAAATATTCATTTCTACTCAACCAACTTACATTCTAATGTAATTTATTTTTCCCAACCATATTATAATTTTGCAAATGTTGAAAGCAACGAAAGCTTAACCTAAATTCTCAACACATATAAGTTTCTTGCGGTCAAAGGAATCATCTGAGAGTTCTCTTTCCCTCTTTTCTTTTAAACCGGAGTTGCTGCGTTTTCTCTTGATCATGAGCATCTACGTTGTGATTCTCTGCTATCTCCTGGGACCTGTGAATAAGAAAAATATAAACCTTTAGCACGAAAACATTATAAGTTGTCTTCTCTTTTCTCCTGACTGAACTATGATGTTTCATCATCCACAGTGAGAAACAGAACGGTGTTTACCTAGACCTAAATATCTCTTTGGTCCAAGGAAGGAGCCTTGTGAATCAGTAATAAATCCCAATTCGTGCAGCACCACTCTGGCTCGAATATATTCGTTTAATGAAAATGCAACAGTAGGTCGGATCTGAAGAAAAACAAAAATTTAACTTACATGAGAATCTTTTGTTCATGCAAATGATCTTTAAGAAAATGTTGATGATTCAACTAAACACCTGTTCTATTCTCAAACGAGCTTCTGCTCTCTCATTCTCAATGCTTATCCGTCTCTGTTCCTGCAGATTCTGTTGAGCATCTACGTTGTGATTCTCTGGCATGTCCTGAGAATAAGTTGATCCCAACCATAAAATCAAATGAGTAGTCACAGTAGAAAATAACAGAGTGTAACTCTGTTCTCTTTTCTTCTAAACTCTGTTTCATCATCCGCAGAGAAACATAATTAGGTCTTGTTTCAGTTTTTTTTTTTAACCTGAACTCTCTGTTGATGCAGATTCTCTTGAGCCTCTCTCGTCTGCCTCTCAGTGCTATCTCTCTGTCTCTGCTCCTGCAGATTCTCTTGAGCTTCATGGCCTATTGGATCAGGCATTTGAGAATCCGGAACAATCATGGACTGAGAATGAACAACAATATAAGAAACTTGTAACAACAAACAAAGAAAGATCACATTTTAGTTTAGTTACCCTCTTCTCTGGCCTGAAACCTGAGTACTCTATTAAGATGTTAAGCAGTAACTAGTAAGCCAAGACAAAATTTGCAACTTTAGACTCAGTCAAACATAGAGAACTTTTCTTTATTTCTCACCTGTGGAAGTTGATTAGGATGATTGTAAAGGCAACTACTTCCAAAGCGACACAGACCAGTTTTGATGTAAGCCTGACAGTTTTCTACACCGGGACGAACTGGATACGGACTCGACTGCGTCATCTTCTCTAAAGATCATACCAACAGCATAAACATCAGATACAAATCCATACGATTCTTAAAGAGATCACAAATGATGATCATATGGATCTCTCAAAGATTATTAACTACCTTTGCTTTTATCAGAAGAAGATGGAATCGACGACCCAATGGAGCTCGGTCTTTGTTCTTGAAGATTCTCATCTTCGTCTTCCTTCTCCTGAGAAATTCGTTATCGTCTCTGTTTTTTTTGAAACAATCCATAGTTAAAGAACAGAACAAGTTCTTGTTCAGTTTCTTGTTTACCTTCTGTTCTTCAATGGAGATCGACTCTGTTTCATCGCTTCTTCTCTCAGATTCTTGCTGATTCTCTCCAGCGTCTGCCATTAGAGTTGAGGGTAAGTTCTCGTATCAGTTTCTTCGATTCTCTTTCTTCAATGCCAAGAATCTTCTCTCTAATTCTGTTTTTGTTTCTCTATTAAATCAAAGAATGGTTTGCTTCTTTAGTTTTTCGGCGGGAAACTGTTAGGGCGTATTTTTCTTTTTATCTTCAATAGCTATTATTCTTTCGTCTAAATTCTTTTTTTTTTGTTTTTTTAACCAAAAATCGTCTAAATTCTTTATATTTATTTTTGTTTCGTTTAGAATCCAAACTTTGGATACAACAGTTATTTTGTTAAAATATTTTGCAAAAAGTTCCATCACTCGTTTAATCAAAACTGAAAACAACGAAAGCTTAACCTAAATCTTCCCAACACATATCAGTTTCTTGCGTTCAAAGGAAACACAAATCAGTTTCTTGCGTTCAAAGGAATCATCTGAGAGTTCTCTTTGGTGGTCTCGTAACTCTGTTTCCTCTTAAACTCCATCTCCCTCGTTTCATTTAAACCCGAGTTCCTGCTTTTTCTGTTGATCATGAGCATCTACACTGTGATTCTCTCGAATCTCCTGTGAAACCGAAACAATAAATCAAATGACAAGTCACAGTAAGAAAACATAGTAAGTTATCTTCTCTATGTGTTGTATCATCCACAGTGAAAAAACAGAATCATGTCTTGTTTCAGTTTTAAACCTGTAGTCTCTGTTGTTGCAGATTCGCTTCTTTCTCTCTCCTTTCTTGCATGATTCCCCTCACTATTGCATCGATTAGAGGTTCCATATCCTGCCTTTCAATTGCTCGGTTTACCATCCTCTGCCCTTCAGTATTTCTCTGTATCTGAAATTGCGGATTCTCTTGCTCTCGAATTTCCTACGATATTTGTTTGAAGAAAAAAATCAAGGATTCATGATCATAGAACAAAATAACAACAAAGTAACTTTCTTTATTTATACCCCTTCATCTAGACATTCAAGAAACCCTAGAAATCCAAACAACCTTAAAAAGACAAAACAGAAAACAAACCAGGGAATCAGAATTATGATCTCTTGTTCCAGCTTCAATAACATCTGTTAATGTTTCCACCAACTGTGAATCCAAGACAATAACAAGGTCGAAATATTAGACCCCAAGGAGAAGAAATTGATTCATCAACTTTTTGTCTTTGTTTCTTACCGGATAGAGATTAAAATGAGAAGCCAATAACTGGTGTTGCTGCGTTGTATGGGATTGTGGTCTCTGCATCTCTTCTTGTTGTTGATGAAACTGTAAAGTCGAACACAATCGTTGAGGTCGATTTATAAGCAAGTGAACCTCTCTCTTGTGGCGGCATATATAGATATATTAGAGATAAACATGAAGCTTTCATAAGCCTAAAGAGATATATTAGACCCCTATATTTTCGGGATATTGGCATATCCTAAAGAGATTTATAAGTTATCTCGACTCTGTTGCACCCACTAGTATAGAAGAGGATCAGTTTTTTTTTCGGTACCTGAAGATTGTCTTGAGCCACTGTCCCCTGCCTTTCAGTCTTTCTCTGTATCTGTTTTTGCGGATTCTCTTGCTCTCGAATTTCCTACGATATTTGTTTGTTAGAAAAGAAAAATCAAGGATTCAAGATAATAGAACAAAGTCAATTTCTTTATATGTACCCCTTCCTCTAGATATTCAAATCTATCTCTTGAATAACGCTCTCCGGAATCCACACTAGTTTTTGCCTGAGAATGAATGAGTATTCATTTGAGTAAACAGAAAATAGTTAAATAGAAAAGAAGACATTTTAGTTTACTTACCCTCTTCTCTGGCCTGAATCCTGAGTACTCTATTTCATATCCCCTCTGAGTTCTCTCATCAAATCTCCATTCGGATTCACTCGCTCTCCAATCCTAATATTCAAAATCATACAAGAAAACGTTAAATCAAACTATTTGTCATCTTGGAGAAGAGACATTTGAAGAAATTACCTGATACATAGGTTCTGCAACATCCCAGTCCCTTGACTCCCTTATGTGTTGAAATTTACAAAATGAGCCCAACTTACAATATCCCCTCCGAAAATACTGCAACGAATCTCTTTATAATCAAGTAAAGACTAAACCAGACGATAGCTCTTAGATGAAGTTACAAAACTTGACACACCTTACAAATCGGCATACCAATCCTCACCGGAAGCTCCTATTAAGATGTTAGAAAGCAGTAAGCCAAGAGAAAAACTGCAACATATAGCCAAACATGGATAACTTTTTTTGTTTCTCACATGTGGAAGTTGAGTAGGATGATTGTAACGGCAACTTCTTCCGTTGCGACACCGCAGACACCAACACTCTTCACCGGGTCGCACTGGTTCGTGTCTCCTCTGTGTTCTCTCATCAAATACCCATTGGGATTCACTCCCTCTCCTATCCTGAGTTCTTTCATCAAATCTCATTCTGGATTCACTATCTCTCCAATCCCAATCCGGAGTTCTCTCATGAGACCTCCATCTGGATTCGTAGTCGCTATCTAGCCAATCCTGAGTTCTTTTATCAAATCTCATTCTGTATTCATTCTCTCTCCAAACCGGAGATCTATCCTGAGAATCAAAATCAAAGGAACACGTTAAATCAAACAAAACATACTGTGTAAGAAGTTAGTTGCTTTACCCTCCCCTGGTGCCAATATCTTGACTCTGTTTCACGGCGTCTCCTATGCACCCCCACCACATCTCTCAGTTGTCTCTGTTGTGGCAGACACTCTCGCGTGTCTGCGGTAGAGTGTTTGTAATCACGAATCTGACCCGCTTCGTTTTTTCTCTCTTTACCCTGAGAAATTCGTATCGACTCTGATTTCATCATAATATTTCACTACAAAGAACAGAGTTAATCCTTGTTCAGTTTCTTTACCTGCTTCTCGGACAAGGATCTTGAATCTGTTTTCTGTACCCTATCAGTTCTTTCATCAGGATGTGTGCCCTGAGAAAAAAAATTAAATAAAACGTTAAATCAACACATCACCCTACGCAAGAAGCATAGCCATCTTTCTCGACTCTTGTTTCATGGCGTCTTTCACTTCTCCTCAAGAATTCACAAGAAACGTAAGGACTAATCTAAAAAACCGAATCGCCAAATCAAATGAGAAGTCACAGTAAGAACATCGTAAGTTGGATCAGCAGAGTAAGTTCAGTTTTTTCAATGGATCTCGACTCTGTTTCATGCCTTCTCCTCTGCATCTCAACATCTTTCAGTTTCTCTTGTTGCAGATACTGCCGTACCTCTTCGTGTCCCTCGTTGTAATAATATACATGATGACCTGTGTCGTTTATTCCAGATCCCAAGTCTTCATTCTCCTGAGAAATTTGTATCGACTCTGGTTTCATCATAATAATCCACTGCAGAGAACAAAGCAAGTTCATGTTCAGTTTCTTGTTTACCTTCGTTTCTTCAATGGATTTCGACTCTTTTTCAGCGCTTCTTCTCTGATTATCTCCAGCGTCAGCCATTAAAGTTGAGAGTAAGTTCTCCTCGTATCAGTTTCTTCTATACTGTCTTCTCCGACTTCTTTCTTCAATCTTGTTTCTTATTCCGCTTTTGTTTTCTAAATGCTCATCTTCTCTGAAAATCATATCAAAGAATGGTTTTTATATGCATAATTTAATGACTCGTCAGTTTTCACACGAAAGAAAATATATTTGCATCTTGATTTTTTATTGGCGGGAAACATTTCCTGGTTTTTTATGGATTTAATTTTCTTCAACAGCTACTCTGTTATGGGTTATAAGAAAAATTAAAACCACCAACTGAGAAAATGATTAACGTAAGAAATATAATTTCGAAATTCCTTTTCCTTTATACCACTAAGAAAATTACGAAATCATGTACATTTGATACAAATCCGTTTCAACAATTCTGAGAACTAAAAGTGCATCTTTTTACAGTAAAGATAGATCAGAAGCAACTAGAGGTCATGTATATGACTTCCCTTTTGAAGTCTCTTCTTTTTCCCCGCGAAGCTGACAAGTAAAACTGTGAATCTCATACAGTATATCGACGTTTAGCATCACGATCAAGAGTCTTTGCATCCTCCTGCAAAACAAATTGGACAAGTCACAATAGCACAAACCTATGTAGTTTAGGAGAACAAAAGGATGTTGCAGAAATAATACATGAACTATAAATCCGATTGTTTCATTGTAGCCAAGAAGTTCCTTCCACTGCTTCCCAATGCTTAGCTGCAGCAAACACCGCAATAAGATATCAGTCCCCCAAAAATAGTCTCCTAGACAAAACCAAGATCCTGGCCCTAGTTACTTAAAACGATGAAACCCAACTGCTACAAAATTAGGCCAATGCATGTGTGTGTGTTTATGATTAGATGCTCTTATCTTGTAGTCTCCCTATTATAGTTGTTGGTTAAGAACTTAGAAAACTAGAGGCCTCAGGAAATTCGCTAACTACAAGGTGTGTTTCCTCAAGAACAAGCCTTTTTAATTACCAGATAAATATATAATATAAAGCATCCATGTTTTACCTGAGCCTCCTCATTTGCAGCGTTCTTTGTCCATAGAGAGATCCTGTCCCCTCTGGTTCTGAAGTTCAAAACTGCCCCACAAATCTGATCTCCTTGGTCAAATTGCTCACCAACCAACGCAAGTAGCTAAAACAAGGAAACAAGAAACATCACAAAGATGCATCAAACAACCAAAATGGCCAAGGGAAAAACTACAATGAACTCCTGAAAAGTTACAACAAATACCGTGTTAAGCCAATTGGATTCTAGTGTAGCTGCTTTAGGGAAAAACATAGTCCACTTTCCTCCATTAGCACAGATAGGATCTTCCCATTTTGGTTCAATCTTATGTTTGAAGCAGTAGAGATCCGCCCCTGGAACCCACTTGGTTGGAGGATGAATGTTATTGTAAAGACTGCATCACGAAATCAACAAGCAGAGATTTAAACTTATCCATCACTTTCACAGAACCTAAAACGCAGAAAAAGAAGGCACACATAAACCAAACTAGCTTCTGAGATGGAAACAATATTAAGTAAAGATTACAGTTCATGTACAGATACGATCTAAGTATTCTCCAATACACAACTTGAAGAAATCCAAGAAGCAACCATTAGAATCAAGGCACAAACACATCCGTAACCATTAGAATCATGGAGCTCAGCTATCGAATCCCTAATCTACTGGTTCTGCCTCATAACTATTTCAAATTCACTCCAGCTTAGATTTGTTCTCAGTGAAACCAAAGAAAGCAGCAACGATACAACAACAAGAAAGATACATAAATCTCACCTCCAGAACTCTTCGATAGTAGCGAATGTGTACAAAGATCTCAAAGAACTTCCCCAGGTGACTTGATTCGATTTCGAGGAAGGATTATCGAACCAAAAGGTCCAAGAATTCTGGAAGGCGTGCGATTTCTGGATTACGGTGGTTGATTTCTTTGACGCGTAGTCACTGCTCTTTTTCTCCTTCGACGGAGATTTCTCGTCGCCCGAGATAGCCTTAATCGCCGGAACATGCTTCTCTTGACGGCTAGTGTTCGTCGCGGTGTTAGGATCGATGTTCTGATCAGCCATTATCGCCGATGCCGAAGAATCAACAACCACCATTTTTCTCTCTCTCTCTTTCTCGATCAGTTACTTTTCCGTTCGCTCCGTCGAGTCCGTTTTTAGTTACAGACGGAGAAGAGAGAGTTTGATAGAGAGAGTTGTCACTAATATAAAGGCTAGTATCGGTCCATTAGGCCCATTAAAGGCCCAAATCAAATGCGCGGGGTTTTTCTATTTTTTATTTTATTTTTAATTTGGAATAAAACAGCGACAAAAACAAAGAGAGACCTTGGACTCGCGTAACGGCAACAAGTCTCTCTTTCCATCGATATCTGTGCGCTTTCGCTTTCTCCTTCTTATTAAGCTCTCGAAATCTCTCTCTTAGGGTTTAAGAGACTATCTTCTAGTTGCCAATACTGGATCTCTCTGCACAGTCACGCCCATGGCTTCACTTGTTTCAAGCTCCTATAGATTCCTTGAAAATGGTAAGATTCGCTATACTAGAGTTATTTTATTTCTATTGTGTAATGTGGGTTCTGATCTCAATTTTGTTGCGTTCCCTTGGGTTTTCTAGTTCGATTCTTTAATGTTGGTCGTTTTATCTATTTGGGTTTCTCGATTGGTTAGGGACCTAGGGTTTTAGCTTCATAATCTTCCTAAATCATTAATTTTAGGTTTTAGAATGTGAACGAAAATGGTTGTTTTGCGTTGGTGATTTTGCCCTGTTTTTAGATAACATTAATTCAAAATGCTTGTTGATATGATTACTAGAAGAAGCTTGATTTTGTGATTTAACTGAAGCAGTAAATCACAAATTTGGCAAATCTTAGGTCCTCTTGTCATATCTAGCCAACCTCTCAGTTCTTCAAGGAATCTCAGCCTTTGATGAATAACTCGATTTTAGGCTTAACATATTTCTCTATAGCTTAATGTCAAAAGCCCCCAATTAGCTGTGGTAACTTGAAATTATGATGAAGTAATGCAGTGTGGCTTAATCTAAGTTCGGTATTAAGCATTAATCTTTGAGAAATTTAAGGCCGTGACGACGAGTTTGTAGGCCTCAAAGTTTTGTCTTCTATTTAGGATCTCTGGAAACCTTATTCTCAATTTGTTTTAGCTACTGTATAAAGTGTGTAATCTTGTTTTGGTTTTGCTTTGTTGAGAACTTTTTCATATCTTGCATTCTTTTCTCCTGATGTTATAGGTCATCATACAGTTGAGATGTGGCCAAGAACTGATTCAAGGATATTCACCTGGTTGGAACCTGTGAGTTGAGATGTGTTATGCCCCAGGTTGGGTTAGGGAATGAAGCCATTGGTCCGTGCTTGTAGGATAGATGTATAAAAAAAGTTTGATGTCTATCTTCTCTTCCGTTTGGAAATTATTTGGATTCTTCAACTATAATTATTTCTGATTCTAATTCAAAGTTTTTTCGATAGATTTATTGAATCGTACATATCAATCTTATTAAGATTCTGCACTACAAAGAATTTACTTTTTGCATTCATCATACATCCTGAAAGAGTCAGATTAGGGTCTTAGGATCTTAGTGTTAGAGATCCTACAACATCCATGTAATCAAATTGAAAGCAATACATATGATCCATGTAAGCGTTGTTTTGGCATATGAGTCATGGAAGAAATGCGCTGGTGCTGTCTCTAGGTGGATCATGACCTTGTGAGACTTCTTGTGAATGAGCCTTACCTTGACAAAGCCAAGACGATGGGAATATCTTCTTTCTTGATTCAGGATTTGACGCCTTCCTTACACTGACGGCATCCGAGAAACTCCTGAGTTCGTTAAGCCGCTTCATCTTCTCCTTCTTTTGCTTCTTCTTTTGAAAGGAGAGGAAGAACGAAGCCAACACTTTGGTGCCTTGCTTCCCAGATGATGATGATGAAGAGGAAGAAGAAGCTTTCTGAAGTTTCAAATGCCGGTAATGGCGTCTGGGACAGCTCCTGGTGATTCTTATCAGGAGATTCTTACAACGCCGCATAATCGTCTGATTAAATGTAACTAGTGATGCTGTGGCTCTCATCTCGTGGCCTCGTGTTATTAAAACGAAAGCAAAGAGAGAAAAGAACAGGATATGTGTTGCTTTTGTGCCTCAGGTGGGTTCTCTTTTGTAGCCATGAATTTGGATATTTGGCAGCAGGTGGGTTTCACGTTTTTCTCTCTTAACAAAAGTTTGTGGTAAGCCATGATTGTGCTCTTCACAGAGAGGGCTATTGTCTTCTCTCTACTAGTCTTCACTGACCAAGTCCTCTTACCAAAAGTGTTTTTAAACTAAAATTTGAAAGGTCACAAAAAAAAAAGGATATTCTGTTTTCAGTATACAAAAGGGCAAATTTTCAATTTTGTTTAATTTGTCGTTGTTGGCCTAATGCATTGATTCTGATTTCAAACCATAGCTCTAAAATGGTGTGACCTGCTCAAGTAATAGTGGTAATACATTGTTAACGGTGTCGGTGACAAAAGATTTTACCGTAGTAATGAAGGCGGTAATTTTAGTTTATTGTATGATCTTTTATGTTTTTTGTTTTGTTCAATGTATAATGATAATCTAATGTGGAAATGTGATTAGAAATGGAAATGTATTGTCGTTGAATAAAAAATAAATATAATTAAGGGAAAGTTGAATAGAAAATAAAAATAAAAAAGAAAGGAGGAATCAATAAATAAGACTCCTTATCTCTTTCCTATACGGGAGATTCTGGTTTTGCCCAACATAGTGACAAAAAGGAAAACGCAGTCCACACACACACCAACTCACTCTGCAGAAAGAAAAAGAGAGAGAGAAGACAAATTTTGAAGTTTGAAGTGAAGAAACAGTTTCATTTTGGAGCGACGAATTCGATTTTTCCGATCGATCATGCCGTCCGGTGCGAAGAAGAGAAAGGCGTTGAAGAAGAAGAAGCAACAAGAAGCGATTGGAACAAGTACCAACAACAACAAGGGTTTCAATGGTACATTTCGTAGCTCGATTTTGGTTTCAGGATTCGTTGTTTGCTATGTCGATAGATTTGTCGTCAATGGTGTTGAAGGATTTTAGTATAGTTTCCGCAAGTTAACGCCTAGAATTATCCATTTTCGTGGTTGGTACTAAGGATATTTTCATATTGAGTAGACGGTTGATGTATCAGACAGTGTATAGAGAGATCTGTTTGATTACTGCTTTCAGTATCTGTTTCGAGCTAACATTTTGTACTGATCAAATGCTGGATTGTTTTCTGTTATCATTTTTGGAACAGTAAGTCTTTTTTGTGTGGTTAGTAGTTCTTGTTTTTGATCTTTAAGTTTGACAAAAAAATCTCAGGAAATGATGAACATGGAAGCCAAGATGGGAGGGGAAGCGATAGCAGTTTGAGTTCCCCTGGTTCTCAAGGAAATCAAGAATTTGGGACTAAAGATTCATCTGCTGCTCTTTCGTCTGGTGTGGTGAAGGGTGCTGCTAAAGAGATATCTGGAGAAGCAGATGCTACTCAGGGACTAGGAACGAAAAGTGGCAATGGTATTGCGGTTGAAAGAGTAACGGTTGACAGCAAAAATATTCTGGGAAAATCAACCAATTCCTCTTCTGAAAACCGTACTCACCCTGCCAAAACTGTAGCTTGTGGTAATTCAGTTACGGAAATCACTCCCGTTGTTGATTCTGTCAAACCTGTGGTTTCTCTCTCCAAAGCAGTGATTTCTGAAAAGAGTAAGCATGTTGAGACCTCAACACACTCAAATTTGGTGAAAAAGAAGTCTGAGAAAAATGAAGAGTATCATCCATCTCCAGGACTGGAAAGCAATAATAGTAAGGTGGTTACTCTTCCGAGATCTGCGACTGAAACAAGCAAAAAAGTAGAGAGTGTAAGAAAATCTGAAGTTCCAGTATCCCCTGAGGAAAAGGTAGCATCTCTATTCTCATTTTTGCATCATGTACATGTGCTTTCGTCTCTTTTCAGTCCTCTGAATCTTCTGGATGTATGCAGCGTCTTTTGCTGCCTGGTCCACCAGTTGTCCGAAGGACTTCATTTCTAAGCTGCTGCGGTTTGTTTGATGCTATGACCGGATCTGATAGATAAACACAGGTTAGTCTTGGTTATGATTCTTGGTAGATTTACTTTATCTGGTTGAGGCTCCTGATTACTAAGAACTCCCATGGCCTACAATTTTTGATATTTTTCTGATGGTTTCCTGAATTCCTTTAATACTTCGCTGAAACTACTTCACTTAATTCTCTAAACATTTAGTTGGTATAGTAAGAGAGTTCATAGAGTTAGCATCTTGAATCTTGAATGGCTCTTAAGTAGATTGTTTAGCTCAGAATTTCAATCAGTTTATCCAGTTTGAAACCCTTCTCCAAGAGGCTTGTTCTTCTGTAGTAGTTACTGAAATTGGTTGGAGTCAATGTAGCTATCTAAAAACAATCAATTTTTTCGAAGAACAGAATGATGTGCGAGACACAATTATGCATCAGAACATGGACTTCAGATTCCTGCGAGACTATGTTCTAGTCTAGCTTCTCATTTTTCTTGTTTGCAAGTCTTGTTGATAGCTATTAACCACCTTGATGTTGTTTACTTGGGTTGTCACAAAATCTTGTAACTATATATCAATTAGCTTGTTCTTGTGTGAATCTTTAACAACATTGTCTATTATGTTAAACCTCTGTTACTAACGTGTCTGCTCTGCATTGTGCTGCAGAAGAGCAGGAGCTAGGTGGATGCGCTTGACAGCCAAAGCTTAAAGACAACCGAAATATAGGATTCATGGTCCGTACACTCTTCCCTGTACATTATGTCTTTGATATATAATAATGTGGGCGGCTTTTAGCAACATACGAGCAAGACCAAATATCCTAAACAGGGTAAACTAGAAAACTTTCTTTTTATTTTTTGAAATACAATCTTCTTTTGTTCATTAAATGGATGGATTTTAGAACATGAGACTTAATATAGTTCCATTTTTTTCTATCTATTATCTTCTTTCTGTAGTTCATTAGATATATATAGAGGGATGACCCGAACCAAGCCTTAAAGTTTGATTTTATTCCATGAACACCAAGTGACACACACAAAACACGATCCAGTCCTTTTGTACATAAAGAATGCATGAATTTATCTTAAGCTTTCCTATGAAAATAAACCAAACACACACAAATACAAACGCTCACACACTCAATCCCGAGTTTCGGATGATTGCCACAAGAGGAAGAAAAGAAACCCGACGCCCATGATTCCTTAAGGTCTCCTCACGCCGTGAACCGCTGCGATGTAAATAAGCTGGGTGACTGAGAGTATGATCAAGAACGCCTCCATGGTTCTCTACAGAGAAGAATGACAGAAAATGGGAGTCATGAAACCAACAATTGTGGGATTTCCAAATTTGAATCTATAAGGTTCGAAACAGAGAAAAGTCTCACCAGTTTTGCATTTCGCCCTTGTAGCTCGATTTCTTTCCAAGCGAAACTGTTGATAAAAGGAATGATTAGTCCTACTATCGATGTCTTTAAACATGATGTGTTTGCTTGTGAAACAATAGAGTTTACCCCATGGCTAGGACTGTGAGGGTCCAGGCAATGGTTGCAGCTGTGGCTGCAGCTGGTAAGCTACCCACAGTCCACGAACGAATGTGACTAAGGCCCGAGATTGTGGAAGCCGCACCAACCACTCCCGCTAGCAACGCGAATATCACAAAGAATCCTGTGGCTGCGTTTCCCATCGGGAAATAAATTGGGGAGAAATGTGCTGGAAGCTCTAAATTAGGGCCTGCCCAAATTTGATTTCACAAGAACTCGAAATGTTAGAAGTTCAAGAACAAGGACAAATAGTTGCGCCAAAAGCATAGTAATACAAGAAACGGAAAGGAATCAGAATCGATAAATCTGAATATCAATCGAATTCTTACCGACTTCAAATCCATGGTCGATGGCTCGGTTCATGGCCCATCCTCCAATGCCTAGAACGATCACATACATGCAGAAGTTCAAAACAAGAAGTCCAGAGGCAACAGGTTTCATTTGCTCACCCGCCATTTCGCCTTTTGAAAATCTACGAAAGCGAGAGGAAGAGAGAAGAAAGTAGAATGGGGAAAATGAAGTTTGTTCTTATGTTTGGAATGAGGTATAACGAAGCTACTTTATATACTAACTTGCATTGTTCTTTTCTTGTTAAGGCTGCTGGTAATAAAAGAAAGGTTTATTAGAGAGTTGTAAAGTTCATAGCTTCAAGTGCAAGGCAAATTTTATTAAACCAAAGATTCTTGGCTTTGCTCTTTGTACATGTAGAAAGAATTGTCCAATTTACAAGAGTTTTTTAAGATGTTCTTACAGAAGACAAAAGTTAGATTCTTTAGCAGTTGTATGTCTCCTTATTTAGCTTTTTATCCAATTGGGACATGGTATTTATTCTTAAACAATTCTCAACGCTTTAGAAGAATTTTAGAATTTCGAGTTGGTACTTTTATGAAATATCCAAAATTTATGAGATCAAGATTAAAGTGATTAACTACTAAAACAGTAAAAATAAATCCAATATTTACGAAAAGCTAAACTGAATCCAATAGTTAAATATATGACCCCCGTAGATCAAAACCATACCTACCCTAATTCTCTTCCTCCTCCAAATCCACTTCTTCTTCTACGGAATCGATCTAAATACAACAGGTACGTACATAGAAAATAACATTACAAGTGTCGATGTCAAAGACCTATTCCCTAAACCTCAGAAGAAGCTCCGAGTAGTCCATGGCGATTCTTCACGCGTCCTCAAACTGAAGAAGAAACTCTCCGAGAAAGCTGTTTTACCTACAAGATCTAGAGAAGCTTTTGACTCCTCAAGTCATGCACGTTGAAGAGATCTGGATTATACTGTTCCTGGTGCGAACCTACTTGCGTCTTCTAGCTTCTTCGTTGAACCATGTGTCTTTTACTTCATTTCTACACTGTTATCTCTTTGATTCAACTTCATATTGAATGAAACTTTTAGCAGCTAGACCATTTCTTTATTAAAATGGCGTGAAGTAATCAGAGATTTATATGAATGAAACTGTCACAACGTGTGATATATATTGAGATATAGATGTGACAAACAATAGAAGAGAGGCAAAAATATTAGTTTGGATTTTTGATTATGATCTGTCTAATTTATACTTTTAACAATCTTTACAAACAGAGAAGTAGTTACACTTTAGAATACACGCAATTGTTGATTAGTAATACTTTGTTGTTCTTGTAGTTGCAAAGAGCATTGTGAAGAACATCTAGCACTAGAGATTGACAATAACAGAGCCTTTTCTGTATTGCCATCCATTCGTCTTTGGATCAGTTTGATGAGATACTCTAAAAAAGCCGAATCGAATGGTACTGTGATTGGTCCTTCCGTCGGGAGACCAAATTCTTCTTCAGATATTTTCAAAAGCTCTTGGACAACTGAGTTTCTCAGGTAACTTATAGGAAAAGCAAAGCGGATTTTATCTGCCGTGTAAACCACGAAACAACCCTTCTCTACAGTGGTTGAGCTACTAGTAGTAGCACTAGACGTCTGAAGTGAGATTCTTTTCCTGCTGAAGGCTGCTCTTTGTTGCCATTTCTTGGCCATCTTGAGTAGCTTCTTTGTGTTCATCATCACCATTTTTAAACAAAGATTAGATCGGTAACTGAGGTGGAGAATGAAAGAGAAAAGATTTGTGAGTTCTGTTTGTAGAGCTCTTTGAATGAAAGTTGTGGTTGATGAAGAATACCAATAAGCTTGTTTGATTATATAGAAGGAGAAACTATTAGATAGGCTTTGTGACAAGCTCCTGAGCAACCTAACCAGACACAACACATGCTTATGTTTCTACTCTGTAAGGGTCCCAAGTTGGTAATCAATTATGTCAGCTAATCAACTTGTGGACTATACAACTTATTGTGAGAAGACATGATCATGTGGGTATGAATCCTATATGAGCATTTATATGACAAGAGTTAGGTACTTAGATGTTGATGAAGAATGAACTAGGCAGTTTCTACGTTATATTATATGTACACAATAGAAGCCAAACTCATGGTCCCAGGTTTGGTTAGTTGTCCATCAGCCACAAAATGATAGATCAAGTACTTATTCTTCAGGGAACAAGAAATCTGATTAAAATTAATGATCCGATAGAAAGATACAAAGAAAGGCATGTGCTGGTGAGGCAAAGATGAAGAGCATGTAGGTCCTTAGATTTTCTGGCCAAGAAAAAGACAGTGAATCAACTATTCCTGCTAAACTTTCACATTTCCTTGAGATAGATTAAGCTTGGATCATACAAACATCTCGAGTTTTTTTTTTATTAGTTGTTTTCTCAGTCTTGTATTACTTCTAAGATATTCGTAAGGAAAATATTGATGAATGAAAAGTTTAGTATCATTTTTTATGACAGAAAGTTCCGGAGCATATCAGTTTTATTAAACCGTCACAAAATGTCAGGAAGTTGAAGTTATCTCATTTTTCTCTCTGTGCAATGAAAAATGACTTTGATGAGACAGTCTAAAAGATAGAAATAAAGAATAGTTTGTATTTCTGAAATAATCTGTCTAATCTAATACAGTAGAATCTTTACAAACACAGAAACTGGTACACACTAATTCTCTAAATCTAAAATACAAGTAATTGTTGAGTACTATTTTCTGGTTGTTGTAAAGAACATCTAGCACTAGAGATTGACATTAACAAAGCCTTTTCTGTGTCTCCATCCATTCGTCTTTCGATCAATTTGATAAGATACTCCATGAAAATCGAATCGAATGGCAATGTGATTGGTCCTTCCGTGGAGAGGCCAAACTCTTCTTCAGAGATCTTCAAGAGCTCTTGGAAAACAGAGTTGCTCAGGTAACTTAGCGGAAAAGCAAAGCGTGTGCTGTCTGTAGTGTAAACCACAAAACAGCCCTTCTCTGCAGCGGTTGAGCTGGTAGCAGTACTTGATCTTTGAAATGAGATCCTTTTCCTGTGGAGGGCTGCTCTTTGTTGCCATTTTTTGGCCATCTTGATTAGCTTTTTTGTGTTCATCATTCTTTTCAAGAAAATATTTTGTAGATCCGAAAGCGCAAAGAGATTGTAGCTTGTATTGTAGAACTCTTTGAATGCAAGTTATGATTGATGAAGAGTTCCAAAGGCTTGTTTCATTATATATAAGAAGAAGCTATTATTGTTTTAGAGCAACCAAGCCAGACAGAAACACATGCCAGGTTTCTTTTCAGTAATCAAAAGGGTCCCAAGTTAGCAATCAATCTTATATTTCAAATCAACTTGTGGATAAAAACATACATGGTGAGAACTGAGAAGACATGACCATGTGGGTATGAATCTTATAATAAGGACGTTTATATGTCAACATTTAGCTGATACAGAGACATTCAATATTAATTAAAGACCCTTTAATGTTCCCAGAGAAGTAAAATCTCTAAACCTGCAGAAACTTCAACTGTTGTGGTAGATTCCTGGGTTCCTAACAACTTATTCATGTGGGTATGAATACTTATTCATAAGGGTCTCTACTTATTTATCATCTATGTCTGAAAATCAACTTGTGGACTATACAACCTATTCATGTATGAATACTATATGAACATTTATATGACAAGAGTTAGGTACTAATTAAGACATTGATAAAGAATGCAAGAGGTACAAGAGATGCCAAAAAATAGAAAACTGCATAAGGGTCCCAATGTGGTTATCCATTAGCTAAATCAAATGTGGGACACAAGTATAATAGGTCAAGCAATTATTATTCAGGGGACAACAAATCTTTAGGTGAAATCAAGGACAAATAATGTGTGGTTAATTACAAGTAATGATCAGAGAGATAGATATATACAAAGAATGACATGTGCTGGTGAAAGCAAAAACGAAGAGCATGTAGGTCCTTAGATTTTCTCGCCACCGAATCAACTATTCCTACGTAAATTTCACATTTCTATGAGAGAGGTTAAGCTTAGGTCATACACACATCTCGTGTCGTTTATTACTTCTAAGAGGTTCATAGGGACAATTGTGTGATGAATTACTTTGAATGAAATTTGTTAACCACTGCACCACTTTTTATGACAGAAAGATTTAAAGCAAAACAGTTTGAGTAAACTGTCACAACAAGTGATGTTGAAGTTATCTCATTCTTCTTTGTTTACAATGAAAGTAGATTTTGATGAGACAGACAGTCTAATAGAGAGACAAAAATAATGGTTTGTATTTCTAAAATTATCTGTCTGATCTAATATACATAAGAATCTTTACAAACACAGAAATTGCTACACTTGCTAAACTCTAATTCTCTAAAATACAAGCATCTTTTCCTGTTGTTGAAAAGAGTATGGTTTAGAACATCTAGCACTAGAGATTGACATAAGCAGAGCCTTTTCTGTATCTCCGTCCATTCGTCGTTGGATCAATTTGACGAGATACTCCAAGAAAACCGAATCAAATGGCAATGTGATTGGTCCATTGCTGGAGAGGCCAAACTCTTCTTCAGATATCTTCAAGACCTCTTGGAAAACAGAGTTGCTCAGATAGCTTATTGGAAACGCAAAGCGGATTTTATCGGATGTGTAAACCACAAAACAGCCTTTCTCTGCAGGGGTTGAGCTGCTAGTCGTAGCTACTGATCTCTGTAATGAGATTCTTTTCCTGCTTAAGGCAGCTCTCTGTTGCCATTTCTTGGCCATCTTCAAGAGCTTCTTTGTGTTCATCATTAGATTGGAAAGCGGAAGAGATGTGCATATAACTCTTTGAATGCAAGTTGTGGTTGATGAAGAATCCAATAGGCTTGTGTGATTATATATAAGGAGAAAGTATTAGAGTTTAGATTCACTTAAGAGGAACCATAGCAGACATAATACATGCGTCTGTTTTTGTCTTTGTTGTATGTGATCATAAGGGGTCCCAAAGTTAGCAACCAATCTTGTCTGCTCATCAACATGTGGATTAGAAATCTCTCCTGAAAAGACATGTCCATGTGGATATATGTATGAGTCTTATACAATACAATTAAATTTAGACACAAAGACATGTGCTAGTGAATGAAAGATGTAGAACTTGTAGGCCCTTTGATGTTCTCAGAGAAGTTAATTAAGGACTAGAATGGGAAATGAAAAGGAAATCTAAAACGTCTAAAACCTTTTTTCATGAGAATCTAACAAAAATGGGGAAAATTTAATCTAGAAAAGATTTATTAAAAATCTTTGGAAGAAAAATATGGTTTCAAAGATGTTACAGAGACTTGTCATTAAGTTTATTCATCAAGTTAATCTTGTGTACTCTATTATTATATTTGTAGTGTTACTTTGTAGTTCTTGAGGTTGCACAGAACATTGTAAAGCGCATCTTGAGTAGCTGTTTTAGTGTTCATCATCATTTTCAGGGAAAATATTTCCTAGAACGTAAAGAGAGCAAAAAACAAAGATTTGTAAGCTGTGTTATAAAATTCTTTGAACTAATGCAAGATATGTTTCCTTACGCCATCACATCTGAAACGCAGTATTGATTCTAAGACATTCAATGACTTTATGCAGGCTTTTTGATTCACTCCCAGTCCGGTGATGCTTCTGTGTCTTACTGATAAGTTCATGTAAGCGTGGTTGCTAGAAAAATTTGAAGAGCAACTCACTTGGACTTCAAAGAGTTTTATATTGGTATTTGGGTAAGCACTATCAAAGTCCCAACAAGTCCTTATTGGAGTATCTGGAGTTGTTCCTGTTGGTATCAGAATTCTTATGTAATTTTACAGTAACTTCCATCTAAGACAAAATAGATCAAGACACAAACCTGTAAATGAGACAATCTTTCTATCGATATTAAAGGATGTTAACAGAGTTACTTCTTTTACAACTCTTTCTATTGATGATATGAAAACAAGAAAGCAAGACATTTTACAAATAATGTAGACAGAATTATTCTCAAACTTTGCCGTAAATACCAAACATGTTCTGTTACAGTGAGCACACTCACACAAATTAAACACAAAACTGTACTCGGACTCTATCTAAATTATCACTGGATTATACATTTGTTGAGCTATGACTCTGATTTCCGCTCTCAGCTGATTCGCCATGCTTTGTATCTGCAGGGAATGTTGCTCCATACTATTTCCTTTTGTTGAGCTCTGACGATGTTTCTTTCTCGTTGAATCTTCATCAGGCCATGGCGCTTTGTTCTTTTCCAAGACAGAGTTATTGATACCATTGTAGTCGCTTCTTGACCATAAATTGAACATGCTCAAGTGATCAACTTGCTCTTGAATGAATGTGTGGCCAAGCTGTTCCAGTTCTCTGTGATAGTTGAGATGATCGTCAAAACTAACGGTTGCTACAATCTGACAAAGAAGACGAATCATTACATGAGAACTCAAAACAAATTACTTGTTACACAAGAAATAACGAAAAATTGTATAGTAAATTGACATGTTTTTGCTTACTTGATTTAGAGCTAAGCGTGCAGCTATTCTCTGCCTTGTGATGTCATCTCTTTTATGGTCGATCTGCCGTTTGTTTTGGATTTTATCTTGCGCCTTTGCGATCAAGTTTCTCAAATCAATCCCATTAGGCTTCTTTGTCTCTGTTTCGTGAAGACAGTCTTTCGAACAAGTTGTAATTGATTTCTCCGGTTTAGTAACCTTTGTTGTTGTACAGGCCTTCACATCCACTGATTTGGTAACTTTCCTCTTCGTCTCTTGCTTTGACTCGGATAGTGTTTTGTGAAGACTCGGTGTCAATTTCCTAATAGATTTCGCCTTAAAGATTCACAAAAAAAAAAAGTAAAAACCATAAACAAATTAGAAACTCAATCTTATTAACAAAAAATCAATAAATCGTTTTACCCTAGATTAATTAGAAAGCAAACAATTGGTTGTAATCTTAACCAAAATATATCTTAAAAAGAAAACAATTGTTGGACACTAGGGTTTCGGAAGACCGAAATACCTTAGTAGTTGACTCCACTTCTTCGGTGATCTTCTTTTGTCTCTTCTTCAATGGTTTTTCTTCGCCGGAATTTTGGCGTTTCTTGGAAGCCGCCACAACGTCGTCGTACTTTACCCTGCCATCACTTCTGGTTCGACTCAGAATTTGTGGGTCGTCTAAGTCTATCTTAGCGTTTACGGGTAACATGGAGACGTTTGAGAAATCGATTAGATTATTGTACCTGACGCCTTTGGTTTTGTATCTCTGATCCTTAGGAAACAAATGCAAAGCGTTCGTTGTCGTAGCAATCTCCATGGCTCTCACTAATTAAGAACTATATATTAAAACAAACACAGGCTTGTCGATAGAAATTTAGAAGAAGAAAGACGATTATGAGATGAGATGAGAAGAAGCGATCTCACACAAAACCCTAAGAAAGTCTTTGGAACCAAGTTATCTCTGTAATCAGACTTTTATAGTCTTCTCTTTCTCGTCAGCTGTGTATTTGCGCGTGATTTTTTTTTTTGGTGTTCATTTATTTGGATTTATTTATCTTCCTTTTATTTTTCTTGTTGTAACTGTATTTAAATAATTAGAGTTGTTCAATTATTGTTTTGATTTTGTTTTTTTTAAGATTCATTTACGCTTAAATACTTCATATGTTTCATTTTAATTGATTTTTAAGGTTGTTACATATAAATTAAAAAATCAATTTTTCTATTTAAATTAAAACATCATATATTATCTATTTATAACACAATTCAACCAATAGATTAGACAGTTTGCATAATACAAGTTGCCATAAAACATAAATATAACTAATTTTGTAGTAAAATTTGAGAACATAAAATAAAAGAAACAAAATTTTCTTCCTAAACATCAATTAATTTGAAACAAACAATTGTTGGAAAGAATGAGAGTTAACATTTTGTTAACATACCCTTCATGTCATCTTGCTAATACGAGAAAAGGAAAAAAATTAGAAAACTGAAACTCTTCATAAAAATCCAATATTATTATATAAAATGGAAATCATAGAAATGAATTAGATCGTAGCTAATTGGATCATAGTTTTTTCTTTGCAACATATAAGATCAAATTCAAAAAAAAAAAAACAAATCAAGCAAGGTGATGCAGTGTAGTTGAGCCAGGGTTTAGGATAAGAGGATTCCACCTCTATGATTCTCACTGTAAATTAAGCCGCCTAGTTTTATAGGAGAGTCTATAAGGAAGACAAAAATAATGGTTTATATTTCTAGAATTATTTGTCTGATCTAATATACATTAGAATCTTTACAAACACACAAATTGCTACACTCTATTTCTCTAAATTACAAGCAATTGTTCTTGTTGTTGAAAAGAGTATGGTTTAGAACATCTAGCACTAGAGATTGACATTAACAGAGCCTTTTCTGTATCTCCATCCATTCGTCGTTGGATCAATTTGATGAGATACTCCAAGAAAACCGAATCGAATGGCAATGTGATTGGTCCATCGCTGGAGAGGCCAAACTCTTCTTCAGATATCTTCAAGACCTCTTGGAAAACAGAGTTTCTCAGATAGCTTATTGGAAACGCAAAGCGGATTTTATCGGATGTGTAAACCACAAAACAGCCTTTCTCTGCAGGGGTTGAGCTGCTAGTAGTAGCTACTGATCTCTCAAATGAGATTCTCTTTCTGCTTAAGGCAGCTCTCTGTTGCCATTTCTTGGCCATCTTCAAGAGCTTCTTTGTGTTCATCATTAGATTGGAAAGCGGAAGAGATGTGCATATAACTCTTTGAATGCAAGTTGTGGTTGATGAAGAATCCAATAGGCTTGTGTGATTATATATAAGGAGAAACTATTAGAGTTTAGATTCACTTAAGAGCAACCATACCAAACATAATACATGCGTCTGTCTTTGTCTTTGTTGTATATGATCATAAGGGGTCCCAAAGTTAGCAACAAATCTTGTCTGCTCATCAACATGTGGATATAGGTATGAGTCTAATTAATACAATAGTATTACAATTAAATTTAGACACAAAGACATGTGCTAGTGAATGAAAGATGTAGAACTTGTAGGCCCTTTGATGTTCTCAGAGAAGTTAGAACCCTAATTAAACCTGCAGAAATTTCAATAGATTCCTAGTATCTAGATGTAGAAGGACTAGAATGGGAAATGAAAAGGAAATCTAAAACGTCTAAAACCTTTTTTCATGGGAATCTAACAAAATTGGGAAATTTTTATCTAGAAAAAGTTTATGAAAATCTTTGGAAGAAAAATATGTTTTCAATGATGTTACAGAGACTTGCCATTAAGTTTAGTCATCAAGTTAATCTTGTGTACTATATTAGTAGTTTTATTTTGTTGTTCTTGTGGTAGCAAAGAAAATTGTTAAGCGCATCTAGCACTAATGATTGACAATTACATGAGGCTTTTTTTTTTTGTGTCTCCACCGTTCGACCAATTTGATAAGAGGAAATTCCAAGAAAACAGAATCGTAATGGCAAGGTGATTGGTCCACCGGTCAGGAGGCCAAACTCTTCTACAGAGATGTTCAAGAGCTCTTGAATAACAGAGTTGCTCAGGTAACTTGTCGGAAAAGAAAAGTCTTTAGTATTTAGTTACCCACCATGTAAACCCTTGTACATGATCTTTGGAATGAAAGCAACAAGTAGTTTTACACTAACTTCAATCTAAGACAAAACAGATCAAGACACAAACCTGTATGAGACTTTCTATTGATATTAAAGATGAAGACCGAGTTCTTATGCAACTCTTTCTATATGAGAATCTTTCTATTGATGAATATGAAAGCAAGACATTTTGCAAATAATATAGACATAATTATTCTCAAACTTTCTCAAACGTGTAAAAAAAGATAGATATCAAACATGTTCTAATACGCTTATATATCGAGTGCAGTGAGCACAATAACACAACTTAAACACATAACTGTACGCAGACTCGGATATACAGTCCACAACTTCGTACACTCTTCATGTTGAGCTCTGACATTTTCTTTGCCTCTGATTACTGCTCTCAGCAGATTCACCATTTTCTATTTGTTATCTGCAGGGAATGATGCTCCATGCTTTTTCCTTTTGTTGATCTTTGCTGCTTCTTTCTTGATGAATCTTCATCACACAATGGCGCTTTGTTCTTTTCCAAGACAGAGTTAGTGATACCATTGTAGTCGCTTCTTGACCATAAATTGAACATGCTCAAGTAATCAACTTGCTGTTGAATGAATGTGCAGCCAAGCTGTTCTAGTTCTCTATGATAGTTCAGATGATCGTCAAAACTAACGGTTGGTATCATCTGACAAAGAACATGAAACAATTCACATGAGAACTTATAACAAATAACTTGTTTCACAAGAAATAACCAAAATAGTGAATTGAGATTTTGTTGCTTACTTGATTTAGAGCTAAGCGTGCAGCTATCCTCTGTCTTGTGATGTCATCTCCTCGATGATCGATTTGCCTTTTGTTTTGGATTTTATGTTGTGCCTTTGCGATCAAGTTTCTCAAATCATTCCCATTAGGCTTCTTCGTCTCTGATTCGTGAAGACACTCTTTCGAAGAAGCTGTAATTGATATCTCTGGTTTAATAACCTTTGTTGTTGTAATAGCTCTCGCATCCACCTGTTTGGTAACTTTCCTCTTAGTCTCCTGCTTTGACTCGGACACTGATGATTTGTGAAGACTCGGTGTCAACGTCCTACTAGATTTCGCCTGAAAGATTCAAAAAAAGTAAAAAACATAAACAAATTAGAAACTCAATCTTATTAACAAAAAATCAATAAATCTTTTACCCTAGATTAGAAAACAAACAATTAATTGGTTGAAATCATAACCAAAATATATCTTAAAGAAACATTTGTTGGAAACTAGTGTTTCGGAAGACCGACATACCTTAGTAGTTGACTCCACTTCTTCGATGATCTTCTTTTGTCTCTTCGTCAATGGCTTTTCTTCGCCGGAATATTGGCGTTTCTTGGAAGCCGCCACAACGTCGTACTTTTCCCTGCCATCACGTCTGGTTCGACTCAGAATATGTGGGTCGTCTAAGTCTATCTTAGAGTATACAGGTAACAAGGAGATGTTTGAGAAATATATTAGATTGTTGTACCTAACGCCTTTGGTTTTGTATCTCTGATCCTTGCTAAACAAGTGCAAAGCGCTCGAGGTTGTAGCAATTTCCATGGCTCTCGAGTGTATATGTGAAATACGAATGATCATAAATTTGCTTTAATATTTGAAAACATCAAATAAAATTGAAACAACATTTTTTTTAATAATATCTCTTCCGCATTATACTCTCAAATAAAAACACCGCCTAGATTAGACTCCATGGGTTTTTGGCCCAAATAGATAATGAATCTGAGATGGCTTTGCGATAAACTTGTCACTCTAGAAAGTAGTTTATCGCAAAACTGGGCCTAATGGGCCTTATCCGAGTTTTCTTCACGAGCTTAGCTGTTTCCCTCCATGAAACGATGACGTTTTCTGTGCGAACTGAAAAATCTTTCCTCGAGTCTTATATAGCTGCTAAATGTCGGTGACCGACGCGGGTTTAGTGAATAAACCAATCTTCGTAAACGCAATACTTTCACATTCAAACTAATCAAATTTTTGGTGTGAAATCAGATCCAAAGTCTGGTATTTTAACACCGTAACAATGCAGAGTAAGTAGTAAGATTGCTGCTCACTCGCCACTTGCTCCTGCGATATAAAAACTTAGCAATCTAGTGGGATCATTGTATCTTACTCTCTTCTTCTTTCTACTAGATCCGGATCTGGAACTTTCTCTACTCTCTGCTCATAAAGTTTCAATCTTTGGGGAGATCTGAGACAACCCTTTTTCTCTGGTGAGTTCTTTTAGTATCTCTTTAGATGTTCTTGCTTCTGGGTATCTCTGCAAATGCAAGATTCGGATATGTACATGAGCTTTTTTCTTGTTCGTTTTACTTCTTAAACTGATGTTTGCTCTTAATTTTGCTTAAAGTTCTGTGATTTGGGTTTAGCTAATGTTTGATTTGTTCGTTTTAGGTGTAAATCGAGTGTTTTTGTTATATATGATTTTGCTGACTTCGTTTAGATTCTATTTTTAGATCTGCAATTATTTGCTTAAGCTTAGAAATTGGACTTAACCCGTCAAACTAACCTTAAAGAAACAAGCTCAAATATGGCTTGATATCAGTTGTATAGGAATCCAATATCATTTTTGATCTTTCTTTGTTCTCTTGTTAATTTTGTTGTTACTAGTTCGAGCTGCTAAACAGTCTTTTAGTATGCCAATATAAAAACCCAAAACTTTTGATTGTCTTACTGGTCACTAATGCCATTGTACTCTCTTCCTGTGACTGGTTTTTGTTGTTGCAGGTGCATGTGAGTAGGGATTGTGCCGTGGATTTCGAAACATGGCAATGGGGAAATATTCTCGTGTAGACGGGAAGAAGTCATCGGGATATGGCTTAACCATTACCATTGTTTTAATTGTTTCTCTATGTTTGGTTGGGGCGTGGATGTTCATGTCTTCATGGTCTGCTCCAACTGAGTCTATTGACTTCTCTGCAAACGAGAGGACAAAAGATGTAGATACTACTACTAAGAGTGATTTTAAAAGTGAAGAAGTTGACCGAGGTTCCAAGAGTTTTTCAGATGAAAAGAATGACGAAACTGAGGTTGTGACAGAGACCAACGAAGAAAAGACTGATCCTGAGAAATCTGGTGAGGAGAACTCTGGTGAGAAAACGGAGTCTGGTGAGGGAAAAAAGGAATTTGATGACAAAAATGGTGATGGGGATAGAAAAGATGGAGAGGGTGAGAAAGACACGGAATCAGAAAGTGATGAAGCCAAGCAAAAAGAGAAAACACAACTGGAAGAGAGCTCAGAAGAAAACAAATCTGAGGATAGTAATGGAACCGAAGAAAATGCTGGTGAATCTGAAGAAAATACCGAGAAGAAGTCAGAAGAAAACGCAAGTGAAACTGAAGAGAACACTGAGAAGAGTAAGGATGTTTTCCCAGCTGGTGACCAAGCTGAAATCACTAAGGAGTCAAGCACTGGAAGTGGGGCTTGGTCAACCCAATTGGTTGAATCGCAGAACGAGAAGAAAGCTCAAGTGTCTTCAATTAAATGGAAAGTCTGCAATGTGACAGCTGGACCAGACTACATTCCTTGTCTTGACAATTGGCAAGCTATCAGAAAGCTTCATTCGACAAAGCATTATGAACATCGTGAGAGGCATTGTCCCGAGGAATCTCCACGCTGCCTTGTTTCTCTTCCCGAAGGGTATAAGCGATCCATCAAGTGGCCTAAGAGCAGAGAAAAGGTAATAAATCCAATATACATATTAAGAAGACAAAAACCTGCTTGTGGTCTTTTATGTTTTTTGTGGAATGATATCAATTAATTATTCTGTTTTGTATTGCCGCAGATCTGGTACACCAATGTTCCTCACACCAAGCTTGCAGAAGTCAAGGGACATCAAAACTGGGTGAAGATGAGTGGTGAATACTTAACATTCCCTGGTGGAGGTACTCAGTTCAAGAATGGTGCTCTTCACTACATTGATTTCCTCCAAGAGGTACAACCTATTATTGATCTTTCATGCAATGTTTACACAACTTTCTCATTTGACTATTGACTTTATTATTATATATGTTTCTTGCAGTCATATCCTGATATTGCGTGGGGTAATAGGACCCGTGTTATATTGGATGTTGGGTGTGGGGTTGCTAGCTTTGGGGGATATCTTTTTGACAGAGATGTACTCGCTTTGTCATTTGCACCCAAAGACGAACACGAGGCACAGGTGCAATTTGCTCTGGAACGTGGTATTCCTGCAATGTCAAATGTTATGGGAACCAAGAGATTACCTTTTCCAGGATCTGTTTTCGACCTTATACATTGTGCTCGTTGTAGAGTCCCTTGGCATATCGAAGGTGAAAAGTTTCCCATATTGTAGAGTAATCAGTCTTTTTTTTTTGTTTCATTGAATAACCTTTTTTGGTCGTCTGAACTGAAGGTGGTAAACTACTTTTGGAGTTGAATCGTGCATTGAGGCCGGGTGGTTTCTTTGTCTGGTCAGCGACTCCAGTCTACAGGAAGACTGAGGAAGATGTTGGCATATGGAAAGGTTGGGAAATTTATTCTCTTTTGTTTGGCCATGGATAGAAGGCTTTGGCAATTTATTTTAACTATCTTGTGAGATACTATTCTCTGTTTTGTAGCTATGTCGAAGCTAACAAAGGCAATGTGCTGGAAACTGATGACCATTAAGAAAGATGAACTAAATGAAGTTGGTGCTGCCATTTACCAGAAGCCAATGTCGAATAAATGCTACAACGAAAGATCTGAAAATGAGCCACCGCTCTGCAAAGACTCTGATGATCAAAATGCCGCCTGGTAGTTGATCTATTTCCCTTCTTTCAAGAATTGACAATTGACTAGTAATCCAATGCAGTTCTGTTGCTAACATATATTTTTGATGCAGGAATGTTCCACTTGAGGCATGTATGCACAAGGTAACAGAAGATTCATCAAAACGCGGAGCAGTTTGGCCTGAGAGTTGGCCAGAAAGAGTGGAAACTGTTCCTCAGTGGTTAGATTCTCAGGAAGGAGTATATGGAAAACCTGCACAAGAGGATTTCACAGCAGACCATGAACGCTGGAAAACTATTGTTTCAAAGTCATACCTCAACGGTATGGGAATCGATTGGTCTTATGTGAGAAATGTGATGGACATGAGAGCTGTCTATGGAGGGTAAGCAAAAGCTTATATAATCTTACATCAAAACAAAATTGGCTCTATAGATTCGTTTTTAATGAAATCTCTTCTCTCTTTTGGGTTTTCAGTTTTGCTGCTGCATTGAAGGATCTGAAACTGTGGGTGATGAATGTAGTTCCTATCGACTCACCCGATACACTTCCGATTATATACGAACGTGGTTTGTTTGGAATCTATCATGATTGGTGTGAATCATTCAGTACTTACCCTCGGACTTACGACCTTCTTCACGCTGATCATCTTTTCTCTTCACTGAAAAAGAGGTATATATACACACGTTTATGCATGTCCTTTGTCTATCTGATATATAATTCTTGATTGCAAACTCTGATAGCTATGTATAAACAAAATCTCTTTAGGTGCAACTTGGTGGGGGTAATGGCTGAAGTAGACCGGATTCTTAGACCACAAGGAACTTTCATAGTAAGAGATGACATGGAAACAATAGGAGAAATTGAGAAGATGGTGAAATCGATGAAATGGAATGTAAGAATGACACATTCCAAAGATGGAGAAGGATTGCTCTCTGTTCAGAAGTCATGGTGGCGTCCTACAGAGGCCGAGACAATTCAGTCCGCAATAGCTTGAGATCAAGGAAACGAAGAAGAGTGTGGGTTAATATAGTCGACAGTTGTTCCTTTTACGATCCAATTGATTGTTTCTTACATGTATTAGTCGAATACTGTATTTGTATCCCTTTTTTGCATTGAAGAAAGTTGTATACAAGACAATTGTCTCAAAAGTGTAATCTTATAATGAGCTTTTGCTTTGGTCCTACTAAATACACATGAAATCCTTATTCTTATTAATTATTGCAGCAAGCATTTCTGTGTAAAATGTGCTGCAACCTTCCTCTGTCAAAGCCATTGGATTATGCATGTTACATTGTGGTACTGTTATTTGATTTTGTTCAAACAACAGTCCATATATTCAAACAACAGTCATGTGAGTTTGATCCTCAGATAACAAAAGAGTGGTGTTGTGTTTGGATCAGATGAGAGCACTAATCAGAAGAAAAGCAAGTATATGATGTTGAAAGGCAAGGGAAAGGAGACAATTTTTGAAGGGTTGCATATAGAAGAAACACTTATGTGAGGTTTTGGAGCACTACAGCCAGCACAAGCATCACACGAAACGAGAATGTATATTTTCATTATGCTCAAACTTCATTGTTTTTATAAACTCTGTCATTATCTTTTAATCATACAAGTCACTGTAAAATTACATAGAATTCTGATACAAATAGGAGCAGAATCTCCATATAGTCCAATAAGCACTTGTTGTGACTTTGACATTCTACTAGTGTTCATCCAAATCCATTGTAAAACCCCTTGAAGTCCAAGCAATGCTATATGCTTTCTCCAGCAACCAAGTTGACATTAACTTGTCAATGAAACACGGAATCATCACTGGACTGAGATCGAATCAAAGAGTCTGCATACGATCAAATTAATGTCAAAGACACGGGAGTAACAAGATTGAATGTAAACAAAACGAAAACAACTTGGGTCAGATGTATCAACACAAAAGATGCAAGATAAAACAAAATACATAAGAATCAACAATGTTAAAACCAAAACAAAACCAGAGATTGATTGATAGATGTAAACAGGTATTAAAGTAACAGGTAGCTTATGTAAAAAAAGCCAACAGTGTCGCAAAGCCTGATTTTTCAATTTCTGCCTAAGAAAAACGAAATGTCCAAATACAATTATCAACTTTGGACATCAGATACCATAGGCAAATCATCACCAATTATACACAACACACTTCATAATTCAAAGAAAAACACTGCAATCTCAGCCGAAAGATGGTGATCTAGTGATTTAATAATCATTTGTATAATCATTGAATTTGACATAATTTCATCATTGATTGCAGAGGACTGACAAAGGGTATTGAAAACAAAAACAAAAGAAAAGAGAGGTCAGATGGTAGTGCATGTCAATGTATCAACACTGTGTTTCAGATTTGCAGACGTATGGAATTATATCCTCATTCCTCCTTTCGAAAAATTCAAACTTTGAATCAAATTCACAAAACCAAACATATAAGAATTTGGATCAGCAAATATGGCAAATCAATCACTCTGCCGAAGCAGATCAGACTGGGTGTCACAAAACATTATTGCCATTTCATCATATCCATTACAAAAACTATGAACATAGACAAAAAAATATTTGAGAGAATCAGACAAAATATAGTCAATCACCATGTTGCAACCATCGTAATGGATGCAGATTAAGCCTGGGGCGACAATTTCATATCATCACTTTCCCTCAACGGTTTAAAAAAATCACAACATAGAACACAATCGAATCTGAGCTAATGACGAAATATAGAGAACCAAAATACCCAATTCACTAATAACACAACAACTAGAGTATCCAGGGTTTATAGAGAAGCAGAAGACATATAAGATTGACACAGCTTTTGCCCTAAACCCGAACAAGACATGATTCGAAGATTTATGTGTGGTTTTCAAAGTTGAGGACCTCAAAAGTCTCTCTGTTTTAGCTATGAGGAAGTCAGCGACGGCTTTATATAAGAGGCATTGGATTTCAGAGGTAGGGTTTTCGGTTCAATTCGGTTCATTTTGGTTTACTTTAATTAAAAGTTTGAAACCGGTATTTCAAAATTAGCTTCTCTCATCTTTAAGAACATGAGAGGACCCGCATGATCTCCATCTTTCTTTCACCTTCAAATGTCTTTTGTAACATTGATTTAATACTCACATGGTCATGTTTCTTATCAACATGTTAATGGTTTCTAATCCACAAGTTGATTTAGCAGATATGATTGATTACTAATGTGTGACCCCTTTAGACAAGAACTACAAGAGCATGTGTTTCTGTCTGCTTTGGTTGCTCTTAAATGTATCTAAACTCTAAATAGTTTTCTCTTTATATATAATGCAACAAAGCTTATATAGCATTCTTCATCAATCACAACTATCATTAATTCAAAGAGTTCTACAACACAGCTTACAAATCTTTTTTTTTTGCTCTCTTTCCAAGAAAAAGATGATGAACACTAAGAAACTACTCAAGATGGCCAAGAAATGGCAACAGAGAGCAGCCCTACACAGGAAGAGAATCTCATTTCAGAGATCAAGTACTACTACTACTAGTAGCAGCTCATCTGCTGTGGAGAAGGGCTGTTTCGTGGTTTACACGGTTGATAAAATCCGCTTTGCTTTTCCCATAAGTTACCTGAACAACTCTGTTTTCCAAGAGCTCTTGAAGATATCTGAAGAAGAGTTCGGACTCATGGCAGGTGGACCAATCACGTTGCCGTTCGATTCCTTTTTCTTGGAGTATCTCATCACATTGATCGGACGAAGAATCGATGGAGATACAGAAAAGGCTCTGTTAATGTCAATCTCTAGTGCTAGATGCTCTTTGCAACTACAAGAACAACATAGTAGTAGTACTCAACAATTACTTGTATTTTAGAACAGTAAACAATTTTTCCTCTGTAAAAAGTTCTACTGTATTAGATAGACAGATCATTTCGAAAATACCAACTACTATTTTTGTCTTTCTCTCTCTTTTACATATTGTCTCATCTAAATTAACTTCAATGTCACATGTTCTCACAGTTTCATCCTAAGGTCTTAAGAACAATCTTTGAGCCATTTCACTAAAACATATCTATTCCTTTGAAGACATATCTACTCTGATACTATCTTTTAAGAAAAATGGTGCAGCGGGCGTAAAACGCCTTTCACTATCAAATTGCCTTACATCAAGTTTCTCATAGACTGCACAAGAACATGTTGTTTTGAATCTCAATTTTTAGCAGAAACTGTTGATTAGCTAGCTGTCTTTTATGGACCTACATGCTCTTCATTCTTGCTTCATCAGCACATGCCTTTCTATGTATCTAATTGATCATTAATTCTAACCACATTTGTTGTCCTTGATTGCACCTAAAGATTTGTTGTCCCCTGAATAATAAGTACTTCATCTACTATTGTTGTGATTCACACTTGACCACTAACCAACTAGGGACCCCTTATACTAACAAACAAAGCTGTACAGATGCATGAGTTTGGTAATTTATAAGTTCTCATTATGTGTATACTTTAACAACAGCCTCTTGCATTCTTCAACAATGTCTTCGTACCTAACTCTTTTCATATAAATGGTCATATAGTATTCATACCCACATGAATCGGTTGTATAGTCCACAAGTTGATTTGCATACATAGTTTATTAATAAATTGAGACCCGTAGCAACCATTGAAGTTTCTGCAGGTTTAGAAATTTTAACTTCTCTGAGAACATCAAAGGGTCTTTAAATGCCTTTGTATCAAGCTAAATGTTGACATATAAACGTCCATATTATAAGATTCATACCCACATGGTCATGTCTTCTTAGTTCTCACCATGTATGTTTTTATCCACAAGTTGATTTGCAATATAAGATTGATTGCTAACTTGGGACCCTTTTGATCACTGACAAGAAACCTGGCATGTGTTTCTGTCTTGCTTGGTTGCTCTAGAACAATAATAGCTTCTCCTTATATATAACGAAACAAGCCTGTGGAATTTCATCAATCATAACTTGCATTCAAAGTGTTCTACAACACAATTTACAATCTGTTTGTGCTTTCGGATCTACAAAATATTTCCTTCGAAACAATGATGAACACAAAAAAGCTTATCAAGATGGCCAAGAAATGGCAACAAAGAGCAGCCCTTCACAGGAAAAGGATCTCATTTCAAAGATCAAGTACTGCTACCAGCTCAACCGCTGCAGAGAAGGGCTGCTTTGTGGTTTACACGACAGATAGCACACGCTTTGCTTTTCCGCTAAGTTACCTGAGCAACTCTGTTTTCCAAGAGCTCTTGAAGATCTCTGAAGAAGAGTTTGGCCTCTCCACGGAAGGACCAATAACATTGCCATTCGATTCGATTTTCATGGAGTATCTTATCAAATTGATCGAAAGACGAATGGATGGAGACACAGAAAAGGCTTTGTTAATGTCAATCTCTAGTGCTAGATGTTCTTTACAACAACCAGAACATAGTACTCAACAGTTGCTTGTATTTTAGATTTAGAGAATTAGTGTGTACCAGTTTCTGTGTTTGTAAAGATTCTAATGTATTAGATTAGACAGATTATTTCAGAAATACAAACTATTCTTTATTTCTATCTTTTAGACTGTCTCATCAAACTCAACTTTCATTGCACAGAGAGAAAAATGAGATAACTTCAACTTCTTGACTTTTTGTGACGGTTTACTAAAACTGATATGCTCTGGAACTTTCTGTCATAAAAAATGGTGCTAAAACTTTCATTCATCAATTTTTCCTTATGACTATCTTAGAAGTAATACAAGACTGAGAAAACAACTAATAAAAGGAGATGTTTGTATGATCTAAGCTTAATCTATCTCAAGGAATAGTTGATTCACTGTCTTTTTTTCATGGCCAGAAAATCTAAGGACCTACATGCTCTTTATCTTTGCTTCACCAGGCACCAGCACATGTAATTCTTTGTATCTGTCTATCGGATCATTAATTTGAATCAGATTTGTGACTGATTATTTTTGTGACTCACATTTGATTCAGCTGATGGACCACTAACCAACCTGGGACCATGAGTTTGGCATTGAATTGGCTTCTATTGTGCAAATATAATATAATGTAAAAACAGCCTCTTGTATTCTTCATCAACATCGAAGTACCTAACTCTTGTCATATAAATATCCATATAGGATTCATATTCACATGATCATGTCTTCTCATAAGAAGTTGTATAGTCCACAAGTTGATTAGCAGACATAAATGATTACCAACTTGGACCCTTGCAGAGTAGAGACATAAGCATGTGTTGTGTCTGGTTAGGTTGCTCAGGAGCTTGTTACACAGCCTATCTAATAGTTTCTCCTTCTATATAATGAAACAAGCTTATTGGTATTCTTCATCAACCACAACTTTCATTTAGAGAGCTCTACAAACAGAACTCACAAATATTTTCTCTTTCATTCTCCATCTCACTTTCCGATCTAATCTTTGTTTAAAAATGGTGATGATGAACACAAAGAAGCTACTCAAGATGGCCAAGAAATGGCAACAAAGAGCAGCCTTCAGCAGGAAAAGAATCTCATTTCAGAGGTCAAGTGCTTCAAGCAGCTCAACCACTGTAGAGAAGGGTTGTTTCGTGGTTTACACGGCAGATAAAATCCGCTTTGCTTTTCCTCTAAGTTACCTGAGCAACTCTATCGTCCAAGAGCTATTGAAAATATCTGAAGAAGAGTTGGGTCTCCCGACGGAAGGACCAATCACATTGACATTCGATTCGGCTTTTATAGAGTATCTCATCAGATTGATTGAAAGACGAATGGATGGAGAAACCGAAAATGCTCTGTTATTGTCAATCTCTAGTGCTAGATGTTCTTTACAATGTTCTCTGCAACAAGAAAGTAGTATTACTCAACAACAGCTTGTATTTTAGAGTTTAGCAGATTTGGCTTTGTAAAGTTTATAGTGGATTAGATAAATCATTTTCAGAAATACGAACTGCATATGATTTTGTCTCTCTTTGAAGTTGTCTCATCAAAATTCTAAATCAACTTCCTATTAAAAGAAAAGACCATCTAGAAAAGTGGATGTAAAATCTTATTTTTCTTTATAAACACAAATCACGTAATCAATGACACTTTTGTTCACTCGCCGTATCTTGTAATTGATTAGTTACTGATATGGAGATAATCAATCTATATTTGGTTCTTCTTCCTTTAGGGTCTAGACAAAGATGCTGGAAGATTGAACACTATACTTAAACTTGTGAGAGATTATAAGCTTGAAATCAATCTCCCTAGGGACCTCATAGTGAATCTCATGAATATCATGATCCAAAGAGAAATATCGGCCCCTCTCCCTTTATTTTTCTCCTGGCCAGAAAATCTAAGGACCTACATGCCCTTCATTTTTGCTTCACCAGCACATGTCTTTCCTTGTATCTAACTCAATCAATGATCATTAATTCTCACCACATTTTTTGTCCTTGATTTCACAAAAAGATTTGATGTGCCCTGAATAAATACTTGATCTATTATTTTTGTGACTCACATTTGATTAAGTTGTCCAGGACTATACTAAACAAGTAAGGACCCTTATGCTAACAAACAAAGTTTGGCATTTTTGGCTTTGGTACGTATTATACAAGTTATCAACAGCCTCTTGTATTAATTCTTCAGTAATGTCTCAGTACCTAAATCTGTGTCATATGAATGTACATATAAGATTCATACCCACATGATCATGTCTTCTAACCATAAGTTATATAGTCCACAAGTTGATTGCAGAGATAATTGATTACCAACTTGGGACCCTAGATTAGAAACATAAGCATGTGTTGTGTCTGGTTAGAGTGCTCAGGAGCTTGTCACAAAGCCTTTCTAAATCTAATAGTTTCTCCTTCTATATAATCTAAGAAGCTTATTGGTATTCTTCATCAACCAGAACTTTCATTCAAAGAGCTCTACAAACAGAACTTACAAATCTTTTCTATTTCTTTTCCACCCTTGCTTTCTAATCTCAAGCTTTAATTTACCCTGAAAATGATGATGATAAACGCAAAGAAGCTCATGAAGATGGCCAGGAAATGGCAACAAAGAGCAGCCCTCAAGAGAAAAAGAATCTCATTTCAGAGATCAAGTATTACTACTAGCAGCCCAACTGCAGTAGAAAAGGGTTGTTTCGTGGTTTACACGGCGGATAAAATCCGTTTTGCGTTTCCCTTAAGTTACCTAAGCAACTCTATTGTCCAAGAGCTCTTGAAAATATCTGAAGAAGAGTTCGGTATCCTGACGGAAGGACCAATCACATTGCCATTTGATTCGGCCTTTTTAGAGTATCTCATCAAACTGATTCAACGGCGAATGGATGGAGATACAGAAAAGGCTCTGTTATTATCAATCTCAAGTGCTAGATGCTGTTTTCAACCACAAGAACAACAATTTAGTGCTACTCAACAATTGCATGTATTTTAGAGTTTAGCAAATATCTTGTTTTGTAAAGTTTATAGTAGATTAGACAGATTACTTGTTTCAGAAATACAAACTATTCTTATTTTATCTCTAATTTAAGTTGTCTCATAAAAATTCAAAAATCAACTTCCATTTAAATGGAAACTTTATCCAACTTCTGACAGTTTCATATAAATCTCTGAAATCTTCCAGCCATTTTAATGAAAAGTGTTGTACCTGTTAAAAGTTTCATGCACTATGATTCATCGTATCTCCATATGAATCTCTGTTACGGCACAGAAGATTGCACAAGAACAAGAGGTGTTTTCATGATATGAACTTACTTAATCTGTCACAAAGAGAAGGGAATAGACAACACTTGCTTTTAATATGGAGTCTCTCCGATAACTAATTTTCTTGGTTTAAAATTTAGTAGAAACGAAAATTATCTCAATATACAGTTTGATCAAAGAAGGTTCCAATTATTTTACAAAAGATTAACTTGATGAAACGTTTTCACTCATTTACAAAGCTATTAACAACCATGGAAGTTTCTGCAAGTTTAGGGCTCTAACTTCTCTGAGAACATCAAAGGGACTACAAGTTCTGCATCTTTCATTCACTTGCACATGTCTTTGTATCTAAATAATTTTGTATGAGATTCATACTCATATCCACATGGTCATGTCTTTTCAACAGAAGTTTTAATCCACAATTTGGTTATTTGATAGGAATGGTTACCAACTTTGGGACCCCTTATGATCACATTCACATACAACAAAGACAGAAGCATGTGTTCTGTCTGGTTTGGTTGCTCTAATTTATCAAAACTCCTATAGTTTCTCCTATTATATATAATCTATCAAACCTATTGGATTCTTCATCAACCATTACTTGCATTCAAAGAGTTATACAACACAGCTTACAAGTTTCTTTTGCTTTCCGATCTAAAAATCTTTGCCCATAAAAAAATGATGAACACAAAGAAGCTAATCAAGATGGCCAAGAAATGGCAACAGCGAGCAGCCTTAAGCAGGAAAAGAATCTCATTTCAGAGATCAATTTCTACAACTAGCAGCTCAACCGCTGCAGAGAAGGGCTGTTTTGTGGTTTACACATCCGATAAAATCCGCTTTGCGTTTCCAATAAGTTACCTGACCAACTCTGTTATTCAAGAGCTCTTGAAGATATCTGAAGAAGAGTTTGGCATCCCCACGGAAGGACCAATCACTTTGCCATTCGATTCGATTTTCTTGGAGTATCTCATCAAAATGATCAAAAGACGAATGGACGGAGATACAGAAAACGCCCTGATGATGGCAGTCTCTAGTGCTAGATGTTCTTCACAATGCTCTATGCAACTTCAAGAACATAGTAGTACTCAGCGTTTGCTTGTGTAGATAATTAGTGTCAAGCAATTTCTTTGTTTGTAAAGATTCTACTGTATTATTAGATTAGACAGATCATTTCAGAAATACAAACTATCATTTTTCCTCTCTTTTAGACCGTCTCATCATATGAAAATCAACTTCAGTATCATCTATTGTCACAGTTTCATCCTAAACTGTGAAAACAAATCTTTGTGCCATTTTACTGACATATGTTCTGAAAGTGTCTATCATGTAAAATGGTGCAGCGGCATCAAATTTCTTTCACTTAATAGTTTCATCTCTTACATCAACCATCTCTGGAACAAGAAATCTGTGAAAAGGCACACATAGACTACAAGAGAACATGTCGTTTGTACGATCTGAACATACACCTTTAGCAGGAATGTGATAAAATCTATGAAACTACATGCTTTTCATCTTTGGTTCATTAGCACAAGTGTCTCATTGTATCAATCCATTTGATCATTTATTTTAACCAGATTTGTTGTTCCCTGAATCTATTATTTGTATGACTCACATTTGATTTAGCTGATGGAACTACTAACCAACATCATGGGACCCTTAAGCAAACATGAGTTTGGTTTTTGGCTGCTCTTGTCTCAAAGACTTATCTGTTTGACAAGTTATCAACGACTCATATTATAATCTAACGACTGCCTCTTGCATTCTTCATCAATGTATTAGTACCTAACTCTTGTCATATAAATGTCCATATAGAATTTTAATACCCACATGATCATGTCTTCTCAGTTCTCAAAAGAAGTTATATAGTCCACAAATTCATTTGCAGACATGACTGATTACCAACTTAGGACCCCTGTGAGTTATGATCACATAAGAGTAGAAACATAAGCATGTGTTGTGTCTGGTTAGGTTGCTTAATAACTTGTCACAAAGTCTGTCTAAATCTATTAAGTTCTTCTTCTATATAATACAACAAAGCCTATAGCATTCTTCATCAATCACAACTTTCTCTAATTCAAAGACTTCAGCAACACAACTTTCAAGTAATATTTTTTTTGCTTTCCTAGAGAATAATGATGAACACAAAGAATATAATCACGATGTTCAGGAAATGGCAACAGAGAGCAGCTCTCCACAGGAAAAGAATCTCATTTCAGAAGTCAAGTGCTACCAGCAGCTCAACAGCTGTAGAGAAGGGATGTTTTGTAGTTTACAGGCGGATAACACACACTTTGCTTTTCCGATAAGCTACCTGAGCAACTCGTTTTCCAAGAGCTCTTGAAGATATCTGAAGAAGAGTTTGGCCTCCCAACCGGTGGACCAATTACATTGCCGTTCGATTCGGCTTTCTTGGAGTATCTCATCAAATTGATCGAAAGAAGAATGGACAGAGAAACAGAAAAGGCTTTGTTAATGTCAATCTCTAATGCTACATGTTCTTCACAATGCTCTTTGCAACTACAAGAACAGAGACAGCAAGTGCTTGTATTTTAGATTATCTTTGATACATAGAAACATAGCTATTTGTAAATATGCTTACCGTAAATAATACTGGAATACAAAACATACCATTTACGCTGTTAATATTTAGTTCAATGATACAAGGGCATAATTATCTCATATGAACCGGAAGATGTTAATAAGAGATAAGAACAAATGATTGCAATTGTAAGAAGTAACAAAAACGAAGTTGGTCACCAAACTCTTTGCCAAATTTTAAGAATAAAAAGTTAGACAACGAACATTGCTAACTGACAAATTTCATTATTGATTAAGAGATGAACATTACAAAGTCTTAAACTTGATACTTGCATCTATAAGAACAAAAAACTAAAGACAATAGATGATTCTTGGAGCGTAGGATAAGTTCTTCACAGTAAGCCGATCATCCCCAAGAGAAGCCACTTGCAACACTATGAGAACCAAGTCAATAAACCCTGCAAAAGAACAACATAATAGAAACAAGATGATACGAAAAACAGAGTAATCAATACGGATAAAACCAAAAACAAAACCAGAGATTGATCAAATAGGATGTAAACAGGTATTAAAGTAACAGGTAGCTTATGTAATAAGCCAACAGTGTCGCAAAGCCTGATTTTTCAATTTCTGCCTAAGAAAAACGAAATGTCCAAATACAATTATCAACTTTGGACATCAGATACCATAGGCAAATCATCAATAATATCAATGATTCAAAGAAAAAAATCTGCAATCTCAGCCGAAAGATGGTGATCTAGTGATATTAATAATCATTGTATAATCATTGAATTTGACATAATTTCATCATTGATTGCAGACAATGAATAAGGGGTATAAAAAACCAAAACCAAAAAAATAAGAAAAGAGGTCAGATGGTAGTGCATGTCATTGTATCAACACTATGTTTCAGATTTGCAGACGTATGGAATTATATCCTCATTCCTCCTTTCGAAAAATTCAAACTTTGAATCAAATTCACAAAATCAAACACATAAGAATTAGGATCAGCAAATATGGCAAATCAATCACTCTGCCGAAGCAGATCAGACTGGGTGTCACAAAACATTATTGCCATTTCATCATATCCATTATAAAAACTATAAACAACAAAAGATTGAGAGAATCAGACAAAAATAGTCAATCACCATGTTGCAACCATCGTAATGGATGCAGATTAAGCCTGGGGCGACAATTTCATATCATCACTTTCCCCCAAAACAAAAACAAATTACGAAGATAAACGAAATCTAAGCTAACGAAGAAGCACAGACACAAACAACACCTAATCCACCAATAACACAATCACTAAAGCTAGCGTACGAAAGAGAAAACAAAACTTTCTTTGAGTTTATATGCCGTCGATAAATTTTTGGATGAAGAAAGAGTTAGGGTTTAGGCTTTATATAGAAGGCACAAGACTACTTAGGTTTTTAGGGTTTCTCTCTTCCACACCGCTTAATCTATGGGCTCAAATATTTATAGGCCCAGTTGAATATCCAAATAAAACCCAAAAGGCCTATAATTCGATCGTCTCTCTTCCTCTGTTCCACAACACTCCACAGATAGAAAATCAAAAATCGAAAGATCCTACAAAACAAAACCATTGTTGTACAAAAAAATAGAAACTCGAGATTCGAGAGACACACGAGTGTAGAAGTGATCGATCGTCTACGAAATGGGATTAAGCAGCTTAGCTTCTAGAACAATTCGACCAGCTTCTCGTCTTCTTCATCCCCACAACACTAGTTTCTTCCTCCGCACAATCGTCTCAAAACCAGAGCTTCAATCTCCGGAATCCGCCGCTGTTTCTCAGCCTGAGCCTACGCCGATTCTTCCTCCTAGGAAACCTGTTGGTGGGGCACGTGTCCATTTCTCAAATCCTGATGAGGCGATTGAGGTGTTCGTTGATGGGTTCGCGGTGAAAATCCCTAAGGGTTTCACGGTTCTACAGGCGTGTGAGGTCGCCGGAGTTGATATTCCGAGGTTTTGTTATCATTCACGGTTGTCTATTGCTGGAAACTGTCGGATGTGTCTTGTTGAGGTTGAGAAGTCTCCTAAACCTGTGGCTTCGTGTGCCATGCCTGCACTTCCCGGTTAGTTCAATAAAGGTTTCGTTTTTAATGGAATTTGGATTCAAGATGCTGATGGATTGGTGTGAGTGTGATCGTTGATTATTAGAACAACTTGTGACTTAATGCTATAGTTATCTGCTCTTTGTAGAATCAATGATTACAAATTGCAGATGAAGCTGCATATCTCTTTGCCTTTAGTAATGATGATGACGATAACGATTATGATAACTTGATTTTGGAGTTTCCCCTAGATGTTGTTTTTGGTATCTTGTTGCTTATTTTGACCTGAGCTGTTGATTTTGTTCACGTACAAGTAGAGATGGGGATGTATCCTTGTGATAAGGTTTTATAGTTTCTCTTCTGCATTTAGTAAATTTTGTCGCAGTAGATTAGAAAGAGGAAGAATATATATGGGGTTAAGATACTCCTTGTATCAAGTAATTGCTATTTGTGTTGTTAATGCTAGACTTATCACTTGTCGGAGTGTTTCTAACAGGGATGAAGATTAAGACTGACACACCAATAGCAAAGAAAGCGAGGGAGGGAGTGATGGAATTTCTGTTGATGAATCATCCTTTGGATTGCCCAATATGTGACCAAGGAGGAGAATGTGATCTTCAGGATCAGTCTATGGCTTTTGGATCTGACAGAGGCCGTTTCACCGAGATGAAAAGATCCGTCGTCGACAAAAATCTCGGTCCTCTTGTGAAGACCGTTATGACTCGGTGTATCCAATGTACAAGGTTGCTAAAACTAGTTATCTTTACGTCTAACTAGCTTAGGGTTGTTCTGTTTTAGATGTTTCGATTAATTAGGTTATGTTATTTTCTTATTGGCAGGTGTGTACGATTTGCCACAGAAGTTGCTGGGGTTCAGGATCTTGGCATTCTTGGTCGTGGTAGTGGAGAAGAAATCGGAACTTATGTCGAGAAACTTATGACCAGTGAACTCTCTGGAAATGTCATAGACATCTGTCCTGTGGGAGCTCTGACGTCGAAACCCTTTGCCTTCAAAGCCAGAAACTGGGAGTTGAAAGGAACAGAAACCATTGATGTTACTGATGCTGTTGGGTCCAACATCCGTGTTGATAGTAGAGGACCCGAGGTGATGCGTATCCTTCCACGCCTTAATGAGGTATGAGGTTTACTTGTGCTCATAAAAAAGTAGTTTGCTGGAACCACGTTGAACCTTTGATTGTCCTTTTGCTAGGATATAAATGAAGAATGGATTTCTGACAAAACTCGATTCAGCTATGACGGCCTGAAAAGACAAAGGCTGAGCGACCCTATGATTCGAGATGCGGATGGACGATTCGAGGCAGTGAGCTGGCGTGATGCTTTGGCTGTTGTGGGTGATATTATTCATCAGGTGAAGCCAAATGAGATTGTTGGAATTGCAGGTCAACTATCTGATGCCGAATCCATGATGGTATTGAAGGACTTTCTGAACAGAATGGGTTCAGACAATGTCTGGTGTGAAGGAACAGCTGTGGGCGTTGATGCTGATCTTAGATACAGTTATCTTATGAACACTAGCATCGCTGGACTTGAGAATGCAGATCTCTTCCTTCTTATTGGTACCCAGGTCAGTTTCTTAGTACCTATCTCTTTGTAGCGTTACTAGTTCTGCATTAGACAGACATTTTCTGCTTAGGAACAGTAACTATGAGTCTAAAATGAACGTTGGGTTTGAGATTTAACAATCCTGACCTGGGTCAATGCTATTGCTACATATGATTGGCTTTTAGTGGTAACATTCACCTTATTTTTTCTTAAATTACCAGCCTAGGGTTGAAGCTGCAATGGTGAACGCTAGGATCTGCAAGACAGTCCGTGCATCGAATGCCAAGGTTGCATACATTGGTCCACCTTCAGATTTCAACTACGATTGCAAACACCTTGGAACTGGTCCTGATACCCTCAAGGAAATTGCTGAGGGAAGTCACCCGTTCTGCTCAGCTCTCAAGAACGCCAAAAAACCTGCAATCATTGTTGGTACTGGGCTCTTTAACAGAACCGATAAAGATGCAATCCTCTCTGCTGTTGAATCCATTGCACAAGCCAACAATGTTATCCGACCAGACTGGAATGGTCTCAACTTTCTCCTTCTGTATGCTGCACAAGCGGCTGCTCTTGATCTTGGCCTCATTCAGCAGTCTCCCAAAGCCCTCGAGTCTGCAAAATTCGTCTACTTGATGGGATCAGATGATGTAGATGTTGACAAGATCCCAAAAGACGCGTTTGTTGTCTACCAAGGACACCATGGAGACAAAGCGGTTTACCGTGCAAACGTGATTCTCCCTGCGACAGCCTTCACCGAGAAAGAAGGAACTTATGAAAACACTGAAGGATATACCCAACAGACGGTTCCTGCTGTTCCAACAGTTGGTGATGCAAGAGACGACTGGAAGATTGTAAGAGCTTTATCCGAGGTCTCGGGTGTGAAGCTTCCATACAACTCAATCGAAGGTGTCAGATCAAGAATCAAGACGGTCGCACCAAACCTAGTTCACACAGACGAGCGAGAGGCTGCTGCTTTCGGGCCTTCCTTGAAGCCTGGGTCAAAGGGGACAATAGACACAATGCCTTTCAAACCCGTGGTTGAGAATTTTTATATGACAAACTCAATCACAAGAGCCTCAAAGATCATGGCTCAGTGCAGTGCTTTGCTTCTCAAGAAGTGATCTCTGTTTCATTATATCTGTCTCCATTGCTCTCTCTATCTCTCTCAAAATAAAGGTACAGATTCTGAATTTGCTCTCATCTTTACTGGTCGCGTGTATCACTGAATTTTGATTTAGCTCGCAGAGAATCTATAAGCAGTTTACAATAAACACATCCAAGGCATTTTGGAAGAAAATTCTGCTGTTTAAACTCTGCATCCGTATGCTTGTGGCATTTTGTGTGTGTGTGAGTGTGTGTTGTTCTTACTAGGAAGTAGGAAGTTTTATATGTGAATTTTTCATGTGTACAATTCAGTCTCTATATATAATTATAATTGAATAAGTTTGCAAAAGGACAAAGAGTGATATGTAATTAGATTTCTTGCTTCTTTGTCCTCTTTTGTGTTTTTTTTTTGGTCCAACAACAGCTTTGAAACCAACTTACGATATAAAGTAATTAATAACTCAATTTTATAAGTACAAATGTGTGATATATAGTTTGCGTAATCATTTAGAACCCTAAGAAAAAGGAAACATTGGATAAATAAGGATTGTGTATTCTATGACGCAAAGCAAACGCACGTCTTTTAACTTTACACTCGACGTCCTTCAGACAACGACTTTGTTTATACCAAACCCTATCTGTTTTGTTTTGCCTCATCAAGCCAAAATTATGTACGTTTAATTGTACAAACATTTGTTAATTTTATTTACAATTGAGCTAATTTTCTAGTAACATGTACACATATGACATATCTAGTCTTCAAGGATTTTGAAGTTAAGATCCACTCATGTATTTCAATAGAATTGGTTCAACTCACTCGGTTTACCAATGAAACAAAAAAAATTATACATTTCTAAATTGGTAAAAAGGTAAAAACTTAATCGAAACCAACTATTTTGTACACATCTACTGACTACTAGTAACGACCGTACGCAACTGTCACATATGGGACGACTATAACTATTATCTCCAACCATGAGTTTAGTCAATGCCCTAATAAGCTTTCCAAGAAATCAATATATAAATTTCAAATATGTAATTATATATCCGAAGAAAAGTACAAATAATTCCACGTTTTATATGCCTTTACTTACGTCACACCAAATTTTACAAGTATTATTATTTTTTCATTATTTTCACATATTTTTTTGTTTCAACCACATAAAAAAAAGGTATATTATCCAAACGACCATGTCAAATTTGGACTAGATGGATTCAAATAATATGAATTCGGTTCCTTATAATTTTGCAATGGATTGAATCAGTCATTACCGTTTACAATTTATTTTTTCTTTTGCCCAATGACAACAATCCTGACCACTTGACGTTCCAAAAGAAAGCATGTCTTTTAAACACTAATTTCAGATTATTGAAAAATTACCGGTTTATCTTTAAAGATATATCAATATCATCCATCGCAGCAGCCCTAATTAATATTCATGGTAGCATTATGGCATATGCTTCAAGATTATCTTGACGTGGCTTCGCAATATCCTATTTTTTAAACATCACCCAAACCGTAAAGCAATAAGACTAGAATTAAATTAAAAAAAGTAAGTCTATGATCTTAATCCAAGTGAGCCTATGATGTTAACCCCTTAATTTTTTTTTCTTTTTGTATTGTGTACTATATTATAGCTCTAACGTGAAGAAATAAAACTAGCAATAAAGTATCAATAATTTAAGGGTCCAGTTATATGATGAAGTGTGGTATATCTTAACATCTTTGGCAAATATCTATTGTTTAATTTCTATAATAAACTAATCATGCTGACGCAGTCTAGTCATTATTTCAATGTTCGTATAGAAATTCACTGGTAATTTTGTATTTATAGTCTTTATAATGTATATATCTATGTTTTATTCCTCAACATTTTTTAAAATCATTAATCAATGCTTCAAATCCGTGAATATTATTAACCAAGCATCACGTATAATTCAACGTCCCCCAAAGTACTATGGATAATTGGACACAATACATAAGGCTGCATTATTTTCCTTGTGTGGACGATGACTTGACATCTCAATTGTTATGGGATTATAAGTATTTTTGAATATAAAACATTATCCAAGACACTTTTTTGAAAAATGTTTTCGACTTTTCCGATCGACCTTCCCGCAAATAATTTGTCATGTATGTTACGTTCGATACTATAACATAAAAGATATGGATTTATTTCAATCATTGATATGAGATAGATTGGGAAAAATAATTAACTAAATACATATAGTATGTTTGAAATAAATTCATATTACCAACTAACATCTTAAAGATGCTGCATTCATGGTCAAATATAGGTCTATATTTGATGATTTGGTATGGCGCAAGATCAATGCCGCGTAATTTTATTAACTAAAAGTACTTGTTGTTTTAAATTTCTGTAAGAGATTACAATTAAAGTAAACTTTTAATTGGGGTTGATTCGTTGACTATGTGCCTCACCATCCATTATTCGACAACATGTATTCATTTCCTTTTGGATGATACTCGGTCAATTAAGCAACATATTGGCTCCGTTTCTATCCAATTGGATAAAAATAATGTTTTAGATAGTGTAAGAAGCTACCAAGAATTTATGGGTATGATTTGAAACTTTCTAAAGCCATCACAATTATATACTATTTTACAAACGATTAAGATACATTGCAGTCAAATTTTCTAGTTTTTCTCGTATATATTTAATAATTTTCTAGATTATGTAATATTTTTTTAGAAAAATACATTGTAATATACTAATATCTACCATATAAATTCTACCTAAGTAATGTATGAATTTACAACAAATTTATAAATAGTATTTGATAAAAGAAAAATACATGAATTTAAACAAAATACATTTAAAAGAATTAACTTAAAAATATGAGAAAAATGACAACCTACAAATACAACAAATAGATGATCAAATATAGCAAAAGTTGTATTCTTATGACTAAAACACCTCTATTAATCATTATTCTTTTACTTTAGAGAACTAACAAGACTCTTGAAAAAGTGGGTAAATCCAAGAGTGTTATGGTAAAACTATCTTAGAACAAGTGTAGTTTTTTTAAAATTATGATGGTCAATATATCACCATAGTAAGTGTGAAAGGTAAATCATCGACTCTATGGTTTGGCTAAAGGTTTTTAACTCGTTTTTCTAAGCTTATGGATAAACATAAACTCTTCGGATACTTCATCTAAATTCATTTTTTTTTGTTTTAAAACAAATAAGGGAATGCGAACAAAGATTACAATTCCGTATGGATACATTGTACCACTCAAAACGAATCTAAATATTTTAGTTGGTATATCCATTATCCCATACATTAGAAGATAGCTCGTAATAAATGTGTAGGTCAAAAATGCATATTAAAGAAACAAATACATTGTTTTGATATGATAAATTCCGATAAAATCTTAAGATATTTATGGATAGTTACTGTAGATGATATAACAGAGATAAACACGGAAGTGTCAAAATCATAAGTTAAAAAATGAAAGTGTCGAAATCGTCGGACTCAAAAATGTATTTAAATACAGTTAAGAAAAAACCTTCTTTAGCCACATCAATCATTCTCATCCTTTCTTGTCTTCTCTGATATTTTTTTTTCCACCATTATTGTTTCTTCTCTTTATCTATTAAACCCTCAAAAAATAAAGAGACAAATCCAAATTTTCTTCTTTCTTCTCTTTTTTTTTTTTTGGGTTTTATTTTTGGTTGGTAGAGATTCTCTCTTTTCTCTTCGTGCTTTGTATCGTGATCATCGTCGGTGTTGGTAACTGCACATTTCAGGTATTAACTCTTACCTCCTCACTTTCCAATTTTTTCTCCTTTTTTTTCGCAACAAATTTTGATTTCTGGGGTTTTCATGTTTTTCTTCCTCAATTGATTGGTTTTTCTCTCTACTGAAATTTCCTCACTTTTTTTCTGGGTTTTGTCTAAAACTCTAAACCCTTCTTCTTTAAAGGGTTTCTTCTCTTTTGTTTATGTCGGCGATTTCGATCAAAAGTGTATCAGAAAGGTTTTAGCTTTTGATGATCGGGGATTAGAACAAGTAAATTGGGTTAGTTTACCTAGTTCTGTGATTGATCTTCTGAGTGGGTTCTTTCTCTTTGTCTAATCATGTTATTTGCTCAACGATCTTCTTAATTTTGATGTTAATTGAGTTAAAGCTTCATCATTTGACTGTTTTGTTAGTCAATTACTCATTTTTTAGACTTTCTTCAGCAGCAAACAGAAAAAAAAAAGATTACTTTCACGACTTTTGTTTGTAAAGTTGATTATTTTCTTCACGTTTTTAGTTTGATCAAACCTTTTGAGTTTGGCTTGTATTGATCAAGCTTTTTGTTGGTTTTAGGTTATGGTTTCTTGCTTGCATGTTAATTTTTCAGCACATGACTTGAGATTTCAAATGTGTTTTACACTTTTCAAAGTTTATTTGACCTGTGAAGTTTTTAATGTAACTGCTGTGTCCAGCTTGAATATTATAAATGTGAGCTAATGCGTTTGTTCTCTTTTAATTTTGCAAAGCAGATCAAAGAAAGATTTTGTTAGAATGGATATTCCACATGAAGCAGAAGCTGGAGCTTGGGGGATTCTCCCTGGATTTGGTCGTCACCATCATCCCTCTAGTGATGCTACTTTGTTCTCCAGTTCTTTACCTGTTTTTCCCCGCGGAAAACGTATAAACCAAATCCCTTAATCGTTTATATGTGGCTTACATACATTTCTTCTCTCTTTTGCTGACAAGTTTTACTTTTTTTTTTGCAGTGCAATTGAGTGATAACAGAGATGGTTTCTCGCTGATAGACGATACGGCTGTTTCTCGCCCAAACAAGTTTAACGAAAGTGCTGATGACTTTGAATCTCATTCCATTGGAAACCTACTCCCTGATGAAGAGGATCTTTTGACTGGGATGATGGATGATCTTGACCTGGGCGAGTTACCAGATACTGATTTTGATCTTTTTGGTAGTGGAGGAGGAATGGAACTTGACACTGATTTTCGAGACAACTTGAGCATGAGTGGTCCTCCAAGGCTATCCCTTTCAAGTCTTGGTGGAAATGCAATTCCGCAATTCAATATTCCAAATGGTGCGGGAACAGTTGCTGGTGAGCATCCTTATGGAGAGCATCCCTCGAGAACTTTGTTTGTCCGGAATATTAACAGCAATGTAGAGGACTCTGAACTCACGGCTCTCTTTGAGGTAACTACAACAAAAATTGACCTGACACTGTTGGATTTCTTATAACAAACTTACTCTACAGACACTGATGGGTTATTTTTTTTTGTGATATGTGGCAGCAATACGGTGACATTAGAACGCTCTATACTACTTGTAAGCATAGGGGATTTGTCATGATATCTTATTATGACATTCGTTCAGCTCGAATGGCTATGCGGTCTTTACAGAATAAGCCATTAAGACGGCGAAAATTGGACATTCACTTCTCAATTCCTAAGGTTTGCTGATGGCTCTTTGTTAACACTGTCAATGATTCCTGTTGCAGCTCTAATTTGTTTATATTGTGCCTGTTTCCTGTGTAATTTGTAGGATAATCCATCTGAGAAAGATATGAATCAGGGGACATTAGTGGTTTTTAACCTGGATCCTTCAATCTCTAATGATGACTTGCATGGAATTTTTGGTGTTCATGGCGAGATCAAAGAGGTGATAGATATCATTCTGTTTACTTTTTCCTATAACAAACATAGTGTATTTGATAGCGTTGAGCTGGTTTGGAAGAAAAAACATCCATTTTAAGTTCTGTTATCCTCATGAAAAGCAGATAAGGGAAACACCACATAAGAGGCATCACAAATTCGTGGAGTTTTATGATGTCAGAGGTGCTGAAGCCGCATTGAAGGCATTAAACAGGTGTGAGATTGCAGGGAAACGTATAAAGGTTGAACCTAGTCGCCCTGGAGGAGCTCGTCGAAGGTTTGTTTCTTTCTTAGATCTGCCACATGAATAATGAATGCCATTACATTTCTTACATCTGACCATTTATTTGATCTACTAGCCTGATGTTGCAACTTAACCAAGAACTTGAAAACGATGATTTGCATTACCTACCTATGATTGGTTCACCCATGGCAAACTCTCCCCCAAGTGAGTCTATATCTATATGCTTTTCTTCAAACAAATTTGTAATTTTGATATCCTCGAAGACTGAAACTGTTTGTTTTGGTGCAAGGTAACTGGGTGCTGAACAGTCCTGTGGAAGGTAGTCCGCTTCAAAGTGTACTTAGTAGGTCACCTGTTTTCGGGTTAAGTCCTACAAGGAACGGCCACTTGTCTGGTTTGGCTTCTGCTCTAAATTCACAAGGACCAAGCTCGAAGCTTGCACCCATTGGAAGGGGTCAAATTGGTAGCAACGGCTTCCAACAGTCATCACATTTATTCCAAGAGCCTAAGCTGGATAAGAAGTACACAGGAAATCTCTCCCCTTCTGGTCCTTTGATCTCAAATGGAGGTGGAATTGAGACGTTGTCGGGTTCAGAGTTTCTCTGGGGAAGTCCTAACTCACGCTCTGAACCTTCAAGTTCCTCGGTTTGGTCAACATCATCCACTGGGAATCCACTCTTCTCATCTCGGTTAGACCGATCTGTTCCATTTCCGCATCAGCATCAAAATCAAAGTCGTAGCCATCATCACTTCCATGTTGGGTCTGCACCATCTGGTGTTCCTCTAGAAAAGCATTTTGGATTCGTCCCAGAGTCTTCAAAGGACACTTTGTTCATGAACAATGTTGGTCTTCAAGGAATGAGTGGAATGGGTCTCAACGGTGGAAGTTTCTCGTCAAAAATGGCAAATAATGGGATCATTAACCCTGGAAGCATGGCCGAAAACGGTTTTTTCAAGTTACAGAATGATGTCTTCACCAAGATTCAGCCCCATGTTCTTAAGCAGCGGTCTAAACCCAGGACGGTTCACCTCTGGCTTTGACGGTTTGTATGAAAATGGAAGGCCTCGTAGAGTCGAGAACAATTCAAACCAGGTTGAAAGCAGGAAACAGTTTCAACTTGATTTGGACAAAATTCTTAATGGAGAGGATTCTCGGACTACCTTGATGATTAAAAACATTCCAAACAAGTAAGCTTTTCTTTTCTTTATTGTTACTTCTCTTGAAATACTTGTAAGATGATACAACCAGATTACCTGAATGAGTTTCTTTTATGCTCTTATTAATAGATACACCTCAAAGATGTTGTTAGCTGCAATTGATGAAAAGAACCAAGGAACTTACAACTTTCTCTATTTGCCCATTGATTTCAAGGTAAAGATTGATTAGAGATTCAAAGTTACAAATTCACAAACTGATACAATTAGCGGTTAACAAATCTTTGGTTTTGCTTTGCAGAACAAATGCAATGTTGGCTATGCATTCATCAACATGCTCACTCCAGAACTCATCATTCCATTTTACGAGGTCTCCTTCTCTCTCCGCTTTCTTTCTTAGACTTTTAGTTAAGATCACTCAAAAGCTGAACAAACATCCATTTTTGCAGGCTTTTAACGGGAAGAAGTGGGAGAAGTTCAACAGTGAGAAAGTAGCTTCATTGGCATATGCTCGGATACAAGGAAAAACTGCCCTTATAGCCCATTTTCAGAACTCAAGCTTGATGAATGAAGATATGCGCTGCCGCCCAATTATATTCGATGCTCCTAGCAATCCAGACTCTGTTGAACAGGTAAAGCTACTTTTTGATCTGAAACAAATACAATTTAGACGATTCTTAAGGAAGTTAATGGCATAATATAGTTAGCGATGATCTTTAGACTTATTCCTCGGATTGAGAAGCTATGGTGTTCTTGTTGTTTATAGGTTGTCGTTGAGGAAACTAAGAATGTGGATCTTCTTGACTCTGAGCTCAGTGATGATGGCAGAGAGAAAAGCTGACACAAGAGTTGAGAAGACTCAGTGTTGTGATAATGCTGTTTTTTTCTTTCTAAGTACTAATTTTTAACCGTACATATTGGTGAAAGGCAGAGTTAACTGATGCATGCAGGACCCTGCGGAAGTGTGTTTTCGAATTGCAGGTTTTAAATGCTGCCTGCAGCTGTGAAAGTATTTACTCTGTTTTCTTTTTTCTTTTTTTTTCTTCATGTTTTTTGGTTCCATGGAGTATATGTAAAAAAAAAACCATGAATACTCGGTTTTATGTGGGTATTATGTTGTAACTCTCTCATGACTCTTGTTACTTTTATTATAAGCTTTTGGCAATTTGTACAGTAACAAAAAAACTCACAAAGAGTACTCTTTAAGTGTCTTTCTTTTTTTTTTGGTAAAGTCAGTCTTATTAAAGAAAAAAGCACAACATAGAAGAAAAAAGAACATATCTGAAACTGGAAGGAGTTATGTCGGCACCAATGCTTTGAACTCGAATATTTGCTAGAAAAAGTTTCAATGCCGATTACCGATAACAATTTGATATATTTGTATAACTGCTTACTATTGTTTTGATTCTTTTGAATTTGGAGTTTATCTTTGCGTCGACATGAATTTTTGTCTCGTTCCCATAAGTTGGATATGTTAAAGCGGACGTGGAATCCTACATGGGGTGGATTTGCATTTGAGTTGATTCCAACGGTGGAGATTCAAAGATTCTTTTTGATTGTGACCGACTCTCGTTTTCCAGTCACGTGTAACTAGGCTCCACTTTAAAGCATTTGCCCACGAAATCCACAACGATCATATATTCATGCAAATTATATAGTCACTTAACAGAAATATCACTCCATCAATTATTCCACCACCGTAACTATCTTACAATTTCATGGCGAGTCTCTGTCTTTCATCGTCCCGGATCGTCTCTCTCCACCACCAGAAACCCTTTCTTTCTCTTAAACTCCGGTCTCGTCCTTCAGATCTCTCCGGTCTAGGTCGCTGCACGAGTGCTGTTTCCTTCAATCCTCTTAGGTATAGTGAAAACAGTGGATTTGAGATTCTTTCTAGTCATTTTGTGTAACTCTTTTTGTTATGAATGTAAATCTAGATTATCAGGTGATCGTCAGCGAACATCAACGGTGTCGGTGAAGGTTGAGAAGCGGCGAAAGAGAGGATCGAGTGTGGTTTGTTATGCAGCTCCGATTTCTGTCGATAGTCTACAATGGATCTCGACCATTTCTTGCCTGTATGAATCTATATCCCATTAACTGTGATTTTCTTATCACATAATTAATGCTGGTGAAAATATTTGATGTGTGAATTGCTATAGATGATTTTGTAGTGGATCCTCTGTTTTATATTGAATGGTGTTTCTTTCTAGTGCATTGATGCTTGCAAGGGGTACTGCTATCCATAAATCTGTTGTTGTTCCACTATTCGCTCTCCACGCACCATCGAGCATCATCACTTGGATAAAGTAAGCATTTAAAATGGTGATATGATGATACACTCTGTCTTCATTACCAATGCTTGTTGCTTTTGTTTTTTGTTTTTCTTGGTTATATATTCTGGATGAGAAAGCTTTGCATAATGCTTAATTAAGCAGCCATATTGAAGTCAATAAACTTAAATTTCTGTATATAATTTGTAGGGGAGAGTATGGCGTCTGGGCAGCATTCTTGGCGCTTATTGCTCGACTGTTCTTCACTTTTCCAGGTTCGTACTCATCTTCATGTAGATTCGGTTACGTACAGGCTATTAAATTCTAGTGTTGTAATTGTTATACAATATTACAATGCCTTTTTTATATAGGTGAACTTGAGCTGCCCTTCATTGCATTACTCTTCGTGATTGTGGCGCCATATCAAGTTATGAACATAAGGTTAGAATCTTAAAGTGTGTAATGTTGTAACATCAAGGTTTTGTTTTCTTTAGTCGTCGAGACTCATGGAATTCATTATACACTTGCAGAGGGAAGCAAGAAGGGGCAATCATAGCAATAGCAATATCTTGTTATCTGGCTTTCCAACATTTCTCACGAGCGGGGAGCTTGGAGAAAGCATATGAGAAGGGTTCAGTTCTTGCCACTGTAGCCATAATTGGTGTCACAGTTGTATCGCTCCTTTTGTTGTTATAATTATGTTCCTCCTCACAAAACGAAACTATTCTCATACGTAAAAATCAGAGTGTGATGTATTTATTTACTCGATGCCAATGTAGTTGCAATTATCGGCTCTTTAAGAAATACTAGCATTTTGGCAACTATTCGCTGGCAATGAAAATGATCTTTCATGTAAACGTGAAAGCAGTACACTTCTAAATTCTTGGTCGACATTGGGATTTTTTGTCATGTCCTAAAGTGAATTGGGATATTTAAAAGCTGACGTGGAATCCTACGTGGTTAGATTTGCATTCGAGTTTGTGCTAACGGTGGAGATTCAAAGATTCTTTGATTGATTGTGAACTAAACGACTGTCGTTGTCCAAACACGTGTTTTGTGGGTCCCACTTTTAAAGCATTCCCGCGAAATCTACACCGTCCACGTAACCATCATGTAATTGATGCAAAATGATGCACTTTTAACGGAAAGATCACTCCGTCATCTTTCCACCACCGTAACTAATCTAAACAATTCATGGCGAGTCTCTGTATCTCACCGTCCCGGATTGTCTCTCTCCACCACCAGAAACCCTTTCTCTCTCTTAAACTCCGGCCTCGTTCATCAGATCACTCCGGTCTAGGTCACAGTACTAGTGCTGTTTTCTTCAATCCGCTAAGGTATAGTGACACAGAAACACCCGATTTCAAATTCTCAATCACTGGATTTGGAATCTTCCGGTTCGTTTCGTGTAAATTAATGTTAGTTGCTAGGTTATCGGCTGATCGTCAGCGAACCGCTACGGTGTCTACGAGGGTCGAGAAGCGGCGAAAGAGAGGATCGAGTGTGGTCTGTTATGCTACTCCGATGTTGTCTGTTCATAATCTACAATGGATCTCGACATTTTCTTGCGTGTATGATCTCTCAATCTCATTAGCTGTGAATTTTAACGCAGAGTGCTGGTGAATATATCTTAATCGGATAATAGCAAATGATTGTACAAGGAAATAGTATGAATCTAGAACTTTTATGCAAAAAATTGCTACAGGATTCAGAAATTCCAATTTGAATGCGTTGGAATCATTTGTGAAAGGGAATTGCGATAGATCGTTGTGTAATTTCCACTGATTCATATTGTCAGCAGCATATAAGTTTATTTCTATACTGAATGGTGTTTCTTTTCTAGTGCATTGATGTTTGCAAGGGGTACTGGTATCCAGAAGTCCTTTGTTGTCCCACTATTTGCACTACAAACACCATTGGGCATTGTCTCCTGGATGAAGTAAGCTTTTTAACGGCTGGCTATATGATACCTTGTCATTTACCTATGTTTGTGGATTTTATTCCTTTTTTTTTGTATCGTGGATGAGAGAGAACTTTGCATGTTCCTATAGCCATCTTGAAGTCATTAAAATTCTGCATCTAATTTTCAGGGGTGAATATGGCATCTGGGCAGCATTCTTGGCGCTTCTTACACGACTGTTCTTCTCTTTTCCAGGTTCATATTTATCTTTAAGTAGGTTGTGTTGTAGGCTTTTGAATTCTAGTGTTGGATTTTATTTGTTCAACTGCCATTTACCAGAAAAGAGATTGGAATTGGAGTGAAATTCATGCTAATTTTCAATGTCAGGGCCTAAAGTTTCCATTACTAAGTCATTCTGACAGGATTCACGCATGTCTTATCAGATCTTCAATTTGCAGAAGTGTATGCCTGCCTTTTATCTGTTTGTAATTCTTATACAATGCCTTGTTTATAGGTGAACTTGAGCTTCCATTCATTGCATTACTTTTGGTGATCGTGGCGCCATATCAAGTTATGACCATAAGGTTAGATTTTTAAAGAATGTAATGTTTCAGATCAAGGTTTTATTTTCTTTTTTCGAGACTCATTGAATTCATAATCTTGCAGAGGGAAACAAGAAGGTGCTATCCTTTCTTTAGCTATCTCTTGTTTTCTGGCTTTCCAGCATTTCTCAAGAGCAGGCAGCTTGCAGAGAGCATTTGATCAGAGTTCAGTTCTTGCCACTGTAGCCATAATTGGTGTCACAGTTGTATCGTTCCTTTTCTTGATATAACTATGCTCCTGACAAAAGGAACTTTCATCTGTCAATCACTGTAACAATGTGTATGAAGAGACCAGAAATAATATGATGCGTTTATTTACTCGATGCAATACTCAATTCAATGTGCTTGCATTTATCCGCTCTCACTATTTGCTGGTAACAGATTGATTTTTAGTCGCATATGATTTCACAATGAACTGGATTTAAAAACTTCTACTTATAATATCATGAGCCGGGAAGCATATTTAAGGATATTGTCATCCTTGTAGAAACTGTTCGGAAATGCTGCAGGTATTGTGGAGCTTGGCTTTCATTGTCGGTGTGCCGACCTGTTCTGGAATGCTGCAGGTATATAGCTGCTTTTCATTTTATATTCTGTTATATCTTTCCATAATTAATCATCTCTGACTTTGCTTTTGTATTTTTAACCGTTCCCTAAGTATTTTATTCTCTAAAACTGTGGAGAGATACATTATGCTTAATGTGTCTACAAGAATGTATATTTCCTAAGCCCTTTGAGTTTGTAATATATCCCTACTAGATAAATATACTTTTCAGCGATAAACTATAGCAATAGAACAGATGGTGAGAGTTAGGTCATGGATTAAAATCTTCTTGCAGATCACGGCGGCTTTTTTGAACTTCATAGATCGTAGATGTGGAAAACACGCTTCATAATTTGCAGAGAATGATTGAAACCCTGAAACTGTTTTCCTTTATAGATAATTTTCCCTGAGCAGTGGCATTAGTAACCCAACTGCTGTAAATATTGAGAGAAGGCTATGTGATACAGAGGTTGCTGAACTCGGAAGCCCGGTTGGCTCTGCTACGCCGAAGGGTGGTCCAGAACCAGTTATGCCTGTAGTTGGAGTTGTTATTGGGGGTGGGTATGTAGATGGTGGGGAATTAAAATCTGGTGGACTCATTTGACTTGGCGGGCTTGTACTGCACTTGGCAAAAATTAATCACTATTATTTTTCTCTCTTTTTTTGCAGGTTAAGACGTTGATTTAGTGGAAAGAGAAACACATACCTTACTGTTCCTGATGATGATGAGAAGTGACAGCTTCCTTTACCTGGAGCAGTATAAGAGCAGATTTGAATACCAGTCTCAGATTTATCTTTAGCGTTAAAAGGTAAAAACTCTAGTCATTATCAAGTTCTTTGACACATTGGAATCATATGGTGGGATAGTATTACTAGGTTCATTATTTATTTCTAGACACTCGAACATCGATCAGTTGTGGAGGTCTCAAGTAGCTTACACCGCTCATGGAAGCAGGAAATATGGAAGCTAGTATGCGGGTAAGTTAATTCTACTTTCCCGGTTCTTAATTATGATCAAATCTTTGTGGACTTCTACCGAAAAAGTTAGAATGTCTTACTTGGATCTGTGCTGGTGAGTTGTGCTGCTCCTCCAAAATTGCAGCTGTCTGAGCCAGGATGCTTCTGGTAATAACTATTGAAAGCAAAGGAAGCATGATCACGAATAGTATTAGGCTCGTAACAGGCTGCACCTTGTTGTATCTGGCCACAATCAGCTCCTCCATACCCACAAGCATAATCCAAAGCCACCTGTAATGATGTTGGCGAAGCATTTGCTTTCGCTATACACCACTGGCCACTACCACCACCACCTGCACCAGTGTCACCCCCACCGCCACCACCAGGTGCACCATAACCGCCACCTCCACCACCTGCACCAGTGTCACCACCTCCACCTCCACCAGGTGCACCACCACCATAACCGCCTCCTCCACCACCTACATCACCACCACCTGGTGGTGTGGTACCATAAAGTGGTGGGTAACCACCAGTTGGTGTGGTACCGTCAAGTGGTGGATAACCACCAGTTGGTGAAGTTGTTGGTGTAGTTGGACCTGGGAATGTCAAGGAAGGCGGTGATGGTTGTGTTATGGTTGGTGTGGTGGTACTACCCCCAGGAGCTGTAGGATTAACAACTGGTATATCACCTTGTCCTCCCTGACCTTGAGCTATAACATCTAGCGCTGAAATCAATCATCAAAAAAATCAGATCAGTTTGTTGCATCCTTTAACTTTTCAGAATGCGAAAAAACAATTTATTCACAATTGCATGTATCAGACGCAGAGAGATTACGTGAAGTGTATAGAAGCCATAAAAGCATGATGGTGGAGAAACATCGAGGAGCTATGCGGGGAGTCATTTTCTTTCCGTTTCTCGTGTAATTAAGATTTTGTGAGAAAGAGAGAGAGAATAATAGTCTTCAGGTAGTTGTTGGGATTTGGTAGAGGAAAGAAAGAATGGTTGCGAAGAAGTTCATTCTCAGGTATAGATATATGTTATTATAAAGATGAAGAGAAAAGTGAAGAATCATAGAATCAAAGATTTCTTGGGATGGGAGAGAGAAGGGATGCGAAGACATGTAGGAGAGAATATAAGAAAACTTGAGAAAGGAGAAACTAGCTAGGAAGCTAGAAGAATCGGCAAGCAAGAGAAAACGCCATAAAGAGGAAAAGGTATTTACAGATAAACTTATAGTACATGAAAAAATATATAAGAAGCTCCTTCTTCTTTCTTGGTGGGAAACTTCAAATCTCATCTTCTATTAGTAACAAAGATGAAAAATATGAGATGGGTATGTGTAGGTGAAAAAGAGATTTTACAAAAAAAAAAAAATTGAACTATTTATGTTTTTACTTAATTTGTGTCTTATTAATTACTTATATCAGTGGCAAGATTAGAATGACATATGGAGATTATATTATATCATAGTTCTCTTGCTAAATACATTTTAATCAAAGCTAATATTTGGCGCATTTGAAGATTGTTTAGTTTCAAAGAGAGTGGAGAGGTACTTTTGAACTGTTGTCGTACTAAATCGAACAAGACAAAGTCCAAAGACTTGTAGGTAACTGAAAACAATGAAAAGCTAAAGTGTTTCCTATGAAACATAAGGAATCTGGCTTATTAAGCACAGTTGCGATTCTCTCTCTTTATTTGTTTCTTCTCTTGTAAATAAGTGTTTCTTTTTGGTTCATTTGCTTCTAACCTTTTCTGCAATACATTCTTTCAGTTTTCTTTTTTGCTTTTATTTAGAAAGTTCATGTGCTTAACTTTGTCCAAAATTTGTAATCCAAACTAGTAACCTTTCATAGGAAGCGATATAAATCCAAATCAATCGTCACTTTAACTCCTTTCTTATCATGTGGAAAGATATCTGAGAGCTAGTATGTCTTCTATGATTTAGCTTTTCCGGGATGTTGTGGTGTCTGATTTAATTAGTTCAAACATGATAAAACAGGGGATGATGTGGTGGCCGATTACTTTTTCGGGTGATATATACATCCACCAAGCTAGGTTTTTTACAAGTATGTTTCAAATGAATCGTTGGACAAGACTCTAAAGTTAAGAGTAAGACCATGCATTTAGTAGATTTGTTAGCATGTAGAAATAATTACAAAAGATTTGTTAACAAAAATGTTGACATAGAAATACGGTTGATCCGTTGATGTCACACAGAATAAGTTTTAAAAATTCAAAATTAGACAAAAGTACCATGTATTGAGTCGAAGATACGAGACTAAAAATGTGACAATCCAACTATAAAATCAGTCCTTTCGATTTTAGCAAAGATCATCGTTCAGTGTAATACACTCTCAATTAACATAAACAAGGGATAATCAAATGAGAAAATGATTTTAGACCACCTTTGGTCCTTGGTGTTGAGATTTAAGAGTTTTGGTTCGGTTTGATTTAGACACGGCTGGTTTAAACGAGAGAACCGGTCCAGTAATATTTACAAATTTAAAAAGGCAAAAGAAAAGAAAAAAAAAAAGGAAACGAAAAGTTTTTTGCAATAAGGTGAAAAATCGAGAGAGGGTTTTCTTCTAGAGAGATATATCTTCCCTTGTGCTTCCTTCTGCTTCTTCCTTCGTCTACTTCGTATTGTCGCGACTGAGAGAAGCCACAAAAGCTTCGTTTATTTCCTTCAGATCCGATATAGTGAGAGAGAGAGAGGCAGCTTACGGCGGATAAATATGAGCAGCAAGGTCGGCGTCGTCGGCGGCGGAGCGAGGAAAGCTAATAATGGAATTCAAGATATTCCGTCAGGGTCTAGAAAAATAGTACAAAGCTTGAAGGAAATTGTAAACTCTCCTGAGGCTGAGATCTATGCTATGCTTAAAGAGTGCAATATGGATCCTAACGAAACCGTTAATCGCCTCCTCTCTCAAGGTTCGTCCTTTATCTTTCTCTCAATTTGTTGTGTGTGTGGATTTTTTATTTGGGTGGAGAAGAAAACTAGGGTTTTTTTTTTCAAGGAGGTTTTCTCGAAATTGACTGATTACTTTGAGGGTTTCTATTAGGGTTTGTGGTTGGGGTTTTAATTCTGAATGGACCAAGATTTTTGTTTTTGTCAATTTAGTCATTGTCCAATTTAATGGGTTTTGTGTTTACCTTGGAAGTGACAAACTTTCTAGGTGGTTTGGTTTCTTAAATCATCAACTTGAGGGTTTTTGTGTAGATGTTGCTAATGGTTTGCTTTCTTAGTTCCTGATCTTCAATTTTATGTTCAAGGCTTGTCTTCGTTGCAGTTGGCGTCTATTAATGATATTTTTTCTTCCTATTCAGATCCATTTCACGAGGTAAAGAGCAAGAAAGAAAAGAAGAAAGAGGTGAGTCAATTTAAAATCGTATTCTTGTGGAAAATAGACCAAGGGGTTTTTTTGTGTCAAGTGTTGGCGTTTAAGTGTATACTAATGGCATATTCTGTGTATTAGTACATGCTCCAACCATGTGTGATACAATCAACTTCTGTTACTAGTACACAATTTTCTACGTTGACACATCTCAAAATGTTGTTTTTATACCTGAAAACTACTGAGTGCCTTTAAACGTTTTATTACTAGCTGTCCTCATGTAGTAGTACTAGTACCTGACTCTAGATGTTTTGCTGGAATCAAATGAATTGTAGTTTTAGCTAGTAATCATTTTTATTTACTGTAATTTTGGTGATTTTAAAAGTTTTTTCTTTCTATTCAGACTAGGGATATATCGGATTCCCGGCCGCGTGGTGCTAATAACACGTACAACCGTGGTGCTAGAGGTGGTTCTGATCGTTATCCCGGACGAAGTGGATCTACCCATTTCAGCTCTACTGGTATAAACATGATCTCTTGTATACAGAAATTTATTTAGTTTTAACCGTAGGATTCATGCTTAAGTGCTTCTGTTGTTCAGATTCTGGAAACTTCCAGGGAAAATCTACAAACAAGAAAGAAAGTGGAACGCAGGGTTATACAAGTTCTTGGTCTTCTGCTTCTGGAGTGGCGAACACCTATCAAACACCACACAGGTTTCCCCTTGAGTGATTCTCTTTACTTTTCGAGTTTGGACTTGGGAATTGGGATGCAGTTGAAAAATTTAGTGGAAGTTCTGCATGTTTCATATTGAATCAATTAATTGATTTTATATTTTATTCATTTGGTTACTGACTGTATTAGTAGGATCCATTTGTTAGTGTTTCAGAATTCCCAGTTTATGATGTGCTTAAGGGATATCACCAAATAGGAAAATTCTGTTATTATTTTTTTGATCTTAGGCCTTTTCCTACATTATAAAACGAAGCTTAAGTTGGCTCAAACTGTGACGGAGGGGTTAAAGTAATTATATGACCTATAGCTTAGGTAGGTAGTAGAATATCACAATTAGTTTTACTGGTTCATTGCAAGTCTTAGTTTCTGAAAGATCTTAGCTTCATGTACAGATTTTGTTTCATTAATTAGAAGCAATGAAAATTCCTTCATTTGCTTTTGTAGCTCTTACAATTTGGCATTTTTTTCCTTTGATTATTTTTTTGTACATGTTTCTCATGTACGCTGTGTATCTTTTGCAGTGAACCCGTTGCTACGGAAAAAAAATTGCCTTCTGTTACCTCAGGAGATGCTATATCATCATCACAGTCAGCTTCTGGACATCAAACTGCATGGTTTGGAGCTCCAGGCCAGAGGTCTATGGCTGATATTGTGAAGATGGGTAGACCACAGAACAAGACAACGAAGCAAAATGCCAATATGCGTCCTGAGATAAATCATGAGCACGAAGTTAGTGCAAATCAGCAGGTCCCTGTTAAAGATGAATGGCCGTCGATTGAGAAGCCACTGGCTCCTAGTACATCTTCTGTATCAGTAGCACCAGCAGAATCAGAGGTATGCAATGGTCCAGCTGATTTCCAATCCGAGAGAGGAGATCAATATCTGAAGGACCGGTTAGAAAATATACATATAGCCGAAAATGGCCCGTCTGAAAGCCGTGGAGTCGATCATGTGCAAGCCGACTCTGTTCAAGAAGATGAATCTGGAGTTTCGTCTGAAATTGATGATAATCCATATCAGACACAGAGCCATCCAGTAGATCACCACAAAGGTAATATTTTGAATCTTTATAAATGTTTCCCATTGCTTTTCTCGGAAATAAAGGTTTGTCTGATTTTTCTATTGATGGCTATGTGAGCACTATTTGGATTTATGTTGTGATTGACAATATGTCTCTTCATCAATTAAATCACAATGATTGCTAGTGTGTGCCATTATGTTCAAATTCTTTTTCCTTTTTCATATTGGGGCGGACTTGTGTTTATTGATCATGTTAATACAGATAGGCTTATAGTTCTGCTGGGGGTGATGAAAGCTTCGTTGCTGTTTAGTTTGTCATAAAAGTATACTTTTTCCGCTCTGTTTTCTTTTCTCAGTTATCTTTGGTGGTAGAGTGATACTCATTATTTGAAGTTTTGCTACAAAAAATAGTATAAGAAAATCAATAGCTTGGGAGGATTTTAGGTGTTTCTGATAGTTTTTTTTAATTGACTGTCTCATTATTACTTTTCAGATGAAGATGATGTTTCATCTGGTTCAGCCAGTTTTCAACAACTAGATAGTCATGATCAAGCTGTCTCACATGAAGAGGATAGACCTGCTGTTGTAATTCCAAACCATTTGCTAATTAATACAGAAGAATGCTCGCAATTAAGTTTTGGAAGCTTTGGAGGTTTTGGATCAAGGTCTTTGAGCAACAACATAGAAGAGACTTCTGATGTAGATCCACAGATTGAACATTCAGATGCAAGGTATTCCGTTACTACTGATTTCTTTCTCCAAAATTTTTATGGGTTTCATTTTTTGTCCTACTTACCAACTGATCATGCTTGTTTGCAGAAATACTGAGTTTTATGGAGATGAACATCTTGGAAGTACAACCAATGGGAATATGGTCCACACACCTGCTACTGGAAATTATGATGATTCTTTAGAATCGAGACGAGAGGTGTTGAAACAAGAAAACTCTGAGGGCGCTCAGGAGCACCAGTACACATTTGCCCAGTCTGAGCAAGGGTATGCGTATGAAAATGCTAAACAGCAGCAGATGAATACTGCATATGATGCTTCACACACAAATGCACAGAATCAGATGCATAATCTTGCTTCATTATCAAATGTGATGGTAAGCTACATGTTTATTGCTTTTCATAGCAGAACCAAGTTTCAAAAGGTTTTGAAAATCCTAGGTGTTTGTGATAGCGTCTAAGAGAAACTCGTTTTTCTTTTTAAAATGCATTCAGGCTTTTTATATTTTTGCTGAAAGAGTAGCTTAGTAATCTCTGAAGTGATGCCCATGAAATTCTTGAATGTTAACATTGTTTCTTGTTTGTTTTTATCTCAGCAGGGGTATTCACATTCAGTTCCCAACACTTTATTGGCACAAACAGCACAAAATGCGAGGGAACTTGACTTCCAGTATTCACCTTTCTCTGCTCAACAGTCTATGCAATCAAGAACTAGCAACAATGGCTCATCACCTGGTGGCCAAAGCATATCAATGCCAGAGGTAAATAATCCCTTTCTCTTCGAGAAACACGGGATTGAAATAGTTCTTTCTCTTATTAGCTTGTATTCAGAAGTGATAGTTACTTGTTAGTTGTTACATGGGTACTGTTTTGTTTACTTAGCCAAAGGCAGTAGTTTCTTCAGATTCGAAATCTGAATCTTCTGTATTCTGGATTTGGCTTTGACCTGCTTGTTGGCAAAAAATTAGATCTCTAGGGATTTATTCTTATATCACTTTTTTTCAGGATGACTAGTGCAATCCATTTTTACCACAAGAGAAACGTGTGTGATTTTGAATTTATATTCTTTTACATTGCAGGCTCTCCGAGGCAGTGGAATTTCGGCAACACAGCCAACCCAGCAAACATTACCTGGTGCTAATATCGCTACTGGACCTGCTCTTCCTCAGCAGCTTCCAATGCATTACTCTCAACCCACATTGCCTCTAACACACTATGCAAACATGATCGGTTATCCTCTAATGCCTCAGAATTATCCATACATGCCATCTGCTTTCCAGCAAACATTTGCTGGTAACAACGCATACCACCAGCAACTAGCTGCATTGCTTCCGCAGTACAAAACCAATGTCTCTCCCGGTAATTTGCCTCAGTCTGCAACAGCGCCTGCCTCTGGTTATGGATTTGGAAACTCGACCAATGTTGGATCTGCCGGAAACTTTCCCTTAACCAACAGTCTGCTCCTACTGGTACAACGCTTGGTTATGAAGATGTTCTTAGTTCTCAATACAAAGAGAATCATCTGTTGGCACTTCAGCAGCAGCAACAACAGCAACAGCAACAGCAACAGGTACTTTCTCTTTTTGGTCACTTCCTTACCAGTTCCTTTTGGTTTCAGATATGAACCATTTGTTGACGTTCTTCCTCTTTTAATTTTATACAGAACGAAAACTCGGCGATGTGGCATCATGGTCATGGTTCCAGAACCATGTCAGGTGTCCCGACTAACACGTATTACAACCTCCAAGCACAACAACAACTACAACTACAACAACAGCAACAACAACAGGCTCAGCAAGCAGCGGGAGGGTATCGCCAAGCTCAGCAACAACAGCATTACGGATCTCATGGCTACCCAAATTATTATCAGTCTCAAACTGAAATGTCACTGGAGCGCCAGCAGCAAAACCCTAGGGATGGTGGTAGTGGGTCTCAGGCTGGTCAACCGTCGAATCAAACCCAGCAGCAGCTCTGGCAAAACTCTTACTAAATAAAGAAAGAGAGTGGTTTTTTTCAGCTTCTTTCTTTCTGGTTATAGAGGTTTGTGTGGGCGAGTCTGAAGAAGAACTATGGATCTGCACTAAATGTAACTTATCATCATCTTTTCTCTCCTCTGTTAACTTAGGGAACACCAACTCTGATTTCATCAATGCATCTTAAGAAATGAAACCTTTTTTTTTTTAAGTCTCGCCTCTTACTTCTCTTGTCTAAGGGCTCAACACGGTTTTTGAAGCATGCTCTTCACTTGTTTGTCATTTATTTCCCCCAAATATCTGTGGAAAGGAAAACATATTCGAAGACTAAGTTTTGTTAACAAAAATGTTGACATAGAAATACGGTTGATCCGTTGATGTCACACAGAATAAGTTTTAAAAATTCAAAATTAGACAAAAGTACCATGTATTGTCTCGAAGATACGAGACTAAAAATGTGACAATCCAACTATAAAATCAGTCCTTTCGATTTCGACATTAGCAACGATCATCGTTCAGTTTAATACACTCTCAATTAACATAAACAAATGATAATCAAATGAAAAAATGATTTAAGACCACCTTCGGTCCTTGATTTTGAGATGTCGGAAATGTGGGTTTTGGTTCGGTTTGATTTAGACGCGGCTGGTTTAAACGAGAGAACCGGTCCAGTAATATTTACATATTTAAAAAGGCAAAAGAAAAAAAAAAAAGGAAAAGTGAATTTTTTTTTTGAAAGTTTTGCAATATCTTCCCTTGTGCTTCCTTTCTTCTTCTTCCTTCGTCTTCTTCCTTCGTCTTCTTCTTCTTCTTCGTATTGTCGCGACTGAGAGAAGCCACAAAAACTCGTTTATTTCCTTCAGATCCGAGATAGTGAGAGAGAGAGAGAGGCAGCTTACGGCGGATAAAAATGAGCAGCAAGGTCGGCGTCGTCGGCGGCGGAGCGAGGAAAGCCAATAATGGAATTCACGATATTCCGTCAGGGTCTAGAAAAATAGTACAAAGCTTGAAGGAAATTGTAAACTCTCCTGAGGCTGAGATCTATGCTATGCTTAAAGAGTGCAATATGGATCCTAACGAAACCGTTAATCGCCTCCTCTCTCAAGGTTCCTCCTTTATCTTTCTCTCAATTTGTTGTGTGTGTGGATTTTTTATTTGGGTGGAGAAGAAAACTAGGGTTTTTTTTTCAAGGAGGTTTTCTCGAAATTGACTGATTACTTTGAGGGTTTCTATTAGGGTTTGTGGTTGGGGTTTTAATTCTGAATGGACCAAGATTTTTGTTTTTGTCAATTTAGTCATTGTCCAATTTTATGGGTTTTGTGTTTACCTTGGAAGTGTCAAACTTTCTAGGTGGTTTGGTTTCTTAAATCATCAACTTGAGGGTTTTTGTGTAGATGTTGCTAATGGTTTGCTTTCTTAGTTCCTGATCTTCAGTTTCCTGTTCAAGGCTTGTCTTTGTTGCAGTCGGCGTCTATTAATGATATTGACACTTGTTTTTTTTTTCCTATTCAGATCCATTTCATGAGGTAAAGAGCAAGAAAGAAAAGAAGAAAGAGGTGAGTCAATGTTAAAATCGTTTTCTTATGGAAAATAGACCAAGGAGTATTAGTACATGCTCCAATCATGTGTGATACAATCAACTTCTGTTTCTAGTACATAAATTCTATGTTGACACATCTCGCTATGATGTTTTTATAGCTGAGGACTACTGTGTGCCTTTAAGCGTTTTATTACTAACTGTCCTCATGTAGTACCTGACTCTAGAAGTTTTGCTGGAATCAAATGAATTGTAGTTTTAGCTAGTTATCATTTTGATTTACTGGAATTCTGGTGATTTTAAAAGTTTTTTCTTTCTATTCAGACTAGGGATATATCGGATTCCCGGCCGCGTGGTGCTAATAACTCGTACAACCGTGGTGCTAGAGGTGGTTCTGATCGTTATCCCGGACGAAGTGGATCTACCCATTTCAGCTCTACTGGTATAAACATGATTTCTTGTATATCAGTAATTTATTTAGTTTTAACTGTAGGATTCATGCTTATGTGCTTCTGTTGTTCAGATTCTGGAAACTTCCAGGGAAAATCTACAAACAAGAAAGAAAGTGGAACGCAGGGTTATACAAGTTCTTGGTCTTCTGCTTCTGGAGTGGCGAACACCTATCAAACACCACACAGGTTTCCCCTTGAGTGATTCTCTTTATTTTTCAAGTTGGGAGTTGGAACTTGGGAATTGGGATGCAGTTGAAAAAATTAGAGGAAGTTCTGTGTGCTTAATATTGAATCAATTAACTAATTGAATTCCCAGTTTATGATGTGCTTAAGGGATATCACCAAATAGGAAAATTCTGTGATTATTTGTTTGATCTTAGGCCTTTTCCTACATTAGAAAACGAAGTTAAGTTGACTCAAACTGTGACGGAGGGGATAAAGTCATCATATGACATATAGCTTAGGTAGGTAGTAGAATTTCACAATTAGTTTTGCTGGTTCATTGCAAGTCTTTAGTCTCTGAAATATCTGAGCCAAATAACTAGAGAATCTTTCATGTACAGTTTCTGTTTCATTAACTAGAAGCAATGAAAAAATTTCCATGCTGGGTTTGGGTTGTATGATGAGGTTAGGTATGGTCATTTTGTCAAGATCATGCATTGCAGTTGAATCTGTGCTCCATATAGACCTTAACATTTTCATTCCTCATTGGCTTTTATAGCTTTTTCAATTTGGCAGCTTTTTCCTTGGATTTTTTTTTGCACATGTTTCTATTTGGGTTGTACAGGTGTCTCATGTATGCTATGTATCTTTTGCAGTGAACCCGTTGCTACAGAAAATAAATTGCCTTCTGTTCCCTCGGGAGATGGAATATCATCATCACAGTCAGCTTCTGGACATCAAACTGCATGGTTTGGAGCTCCAGGCCAAAGGTCCATGGCTGAGATTGTGAAGATGGGTATACCACAGAACAAGACAACGAAGCAAAATGTCAATATGCGTCCTGAGATAAATCATGAGCACGAAGTTAGTGCAAATCAGCAGGTCCCTGTTAGAGATGAATGGCCGTCGATTGAGAAGCCACTGGCTCCTAGTACATCTTCTGTACCAGTAGCACCAGCAGAATCAGAAGTATGCAATGGTCCAGCTGATTTCCAATCCGATAGAGGAGATCAATATCTGAAGGACCGGTTAGAAAATATACATATAGCAGAAAATGGCCCGTCTGAAAGTCGTGGAGTTGATCATGTGCAAGCCGACTCTGTTCAAGAAGATGAATCTGGAGTTTCGTCTGAAATTGATGATAATCCATATCAGACACAGAACCATCCAGTAGAGCACCACAAAGGTAATATTTTGAATCTTTATAAATGTTTCCCGTTGCTTATCTTGGATATAAAAGTATTTCTGATTTTTCTATTGATTGTGAGCACTCTTTGGATTTATGTTGTGAATGACAATATGTCTCTTCATCAATTAAATCACAATGATTGCTAGTGTGTGCCATTATGTTCAAATTCTTTTCCTGTTATATATTGGGGCGGGCTTGTGTATTGTGAATACAGATAGGATTATAGTTCTGCTGGGGGTGATGAAAGCTTCTTTGCTGTTTACTTTGTCATAAAACTATACTTAGTCTGCTCTGTTTTCTTTTCTCAGCTATCTTTTGGTGGTAGAGTGATACTCAGTATTTGAAGTTTTGCTACATAAAATAGTGTTAGAAAATCAATACCTTATGAGGATCTTTTGTATGGTGTTTCTGATGGGTTTTTTTATTCACTGTCTCATTATTTCTTTTCAGATGAAGATGATGTTTCATCTGGTTCAGCCAGTTTTCAACAACTAGATAGTCATGATCAAGATGTCTCACATGAAGAGTATAGACCTGCTGTTGTAATTCCAAACCATTTGCTAATTAATACAGAAGAATGCTCGCAATTAAGTTTTGGAAGCTTTGGAGGTTTTGGATCAAGGCCTTTGAGCAACAACGTAGTAGAGACTTCTGATGTAGATCCACAGATTGAACATTCAGATGCAAGGTATTCCGTTACTACTGATTTCTTTCTCCAAAATTTTTATGGGTTTCATTTTTTGTCCTACTTACCAACTGATCATGCTTGTTTGCAGAAATACTGAGTTTTATGGAGATGAACATCTTGGAAGTACAACCAATGGAAATATGGTCCACGCACCTGCTACTGGAAATTATGATGATTCTTTAGAATCGAGGCGAGAGGTGTTGAAGCAAGAAAACTCTGAGGGCGATCAGGAGCACCAGTACACATTTTCCCAGTCTGAGCAAGGTTATGTGTATGAAAATGCTAAGCAGCAGGAGATGAATACTGCATATGATGCTTCACACACAAATGCACAGAATCAGATGCATAATCTTGCTTCATTATCAAATGTGATGGTAAGCTACATGTTTATTGCTTTTCATAGCAGAACCAAGTTTCAAAAGGTTTTGAAAATCCTAGGTGTTTGTGATAGCTTCTAAGAGAAACTCGTTTATCTTTTAAAAATGCATTCAGGATTTTCATATTTTTGCAGAAAGAGTAGCTTAGTAATCTCTGAAGTGATGCCCGTGAAATTCTTGAATGTTATAACATTGGTTCTTGTTTGTTTTTATCTCAGCAGGGGTATTCACACTCAGTTCCCAACACTTTATTGGCACAAACAGCACAAAATGCGAGGGAACTTGACTTCCAGTTTTTACCTTTCTCAGCTCAACAGTCTATGCAATCAAAAACTAGCAACAATGCCTCATCACTTGGTGGCCAAAGCATTTCAATGCCAGAGGTAAATAATCCCTTTCTCTTAGTTTGTATTGAGAAGTAGTAGTTACTTGTTAGTTGTCACATGGGTACTGTTATGTTTACTTAGCCAAAGGCAGTAGTTTCTTCAGATTCGAAATCTGAATCTTCTGTATTCTGGATTTGGCTTTGACCTGCTTGTTGGCAAAAAATTAGATCTCTAGGGATTTATTCTGATATCACGTTTTTCTAGGATGACTAGTGCAATCCATTTTTACTACAAGAGAAACGTGTGTGATTTTGAATTTATATTCTTTTACATTGCAGGCGCTCCGAGGCAGTGGAATTTCGGCAACACAGCCAACCCAGCAAACATTACCTGGTGCTAATATCGCTACTGGACCTGCTCTTCCTCAGCAGCTTCCAATGCATTACTCTCAACCCACATTGCCTCTAACACACTATGCAAACATGATCGGTTATCCTCTAATGCCTCAGAATTATCCATACATGCCATCTGCTTTCCAGCAAACATTTGCTGGTAACAACGCATACCACCAGCAACTAGCTGCATTGCTTCCGCAGTATAAAACGAATGTTTCTCCCGGTAATTTGCCTCAGTCTGCAACAGCGCCTGCCTCTGCTTATGGATTTGGAAACTCGACCAATGTTGGATCTGCCGGAAACTTCCCTCTTAACCAACAGTCTGCTCCTACTGGTACAACGCTTGGATATGAAGATGTTCTTAGTTCTCAATACAAAGAGAATCATCTGTTGGCACTTCAGCAGCAGCAACAACAGCAGCAGCAACAGCAACAGGTACTTTCTCTTTTTGGTCACTTCCTTACCAGTTCCTTTTGGTTTCAGATATGAACCATTTGTTGACGTTCTTCCTCTTTTAATTTTATGCAGAACGAAAACTCGGCGATGTGGCATCATGGTCATGGTTCCAGAACCATGTCAGGTGTCCCGACTAACACGTATTACAACCTCCAAGCACAACAACAACTACAACAACAGCAACAACAACAGGCTCAGCAAGCTGCGGGAGGGTATCGCCAAGCTCAGCAACAACAGCATTACGGATCTCATGGCTACCCAAATTATTATCAGTCCCAAACGGAAATGTCACTGGAGCGCCAGCAGCAAAACCATAGGGATGGTGGTTCTGGGTCTCAGGCTGGTCAACCGTCGAATCAAACCCAGCAGCAGCTCTGGCAAAATTACTAAATAAAGAAAGAGAGTGGTTTTTTTTCAGCTTCTTTCTTTCTGGTTATAGAGGTTTGTGTGGGCGAGTCTGAAGAAGAACTATGGATCTGCTTTAAATGTAACTTATCATCATCTTTTCTCTCCTCTGTTAACTTAGGGAACACCCAACTCTGATTTCATCAATGCATCTTAAGAAATGAAACCTTTTTTTTTTTAACTCTCGCCTCTTACTTCTCTTGTCTAAGGGCTCAACATGGTTTTTTGAAGCATGCTTTTCACTTGTGTCACTTATTTCCCCTAAATATTTGTGGAAAGAAAAACATATGTTCAATTTATTTATAATTTTCTTAGGTTAGAAACTTCTCTCCAGCTGTATAAGTCAATGGAGGAATTGTGTGGACACAACGTCTGAATTTATCTAATCTTATTTTCAATCTAATTTTTCTAGGTAGCAAACATGTGAGCGTCGAGTCAAGTCAATGTTTTGAATGCTATCTTATTTTCTATTAGTGAATTATCATAATTTTATACGTATATAAAAAAAAAGATGATAATTAGATCAGTGTTTGAAATAATCTTCTTATTGAGTAGACATCAGATTACATCACACTTAACATTATCACTATAGAGAATATGAATTAATTTTTATATACTTTGTAACTTTAATATTGACATAATGAAAAGAAGTGTAAAAATTGTATGAAATATGATATAATTGTATCGTTGATTGTCGGGTGGTAATGCGTATACGCACATGATACATAACTCCAAAAAGGCAAAAAACACAATAAGATCACATCCACCTTCAATATAGAACAAAACATAGTGGACAAACTTTATCTTATATCAATTTGTAATCATTAATCTCCAAATTATACATATCATGAATACCTCTAAATATGATTATCATTGTCCATTGATGATGAGATTTTCCATTTTTACGAATAATAATATAGTGTCTATACAATAACATTTTCACGAATTATCGTATTCTAATAGAGACTTAAAGGCCCCGAATGTTTACTAGTTTTTAAGTGGTTTTTGGTCTTTAGATTTTGGTTTTTGGATTTTGGTTTTTAAAATTTTGGTTTTTGGTTTTATGTTATAAATATAAAAATTAATTTAAAAAAATCAAAAAATCAAAAAAAGAAACATGATTACGTTGAAAACTAAAATTTTCCCCAAAATCCTCAAAATTGTGGTTTTTAGTTTCTCTTTGAAATTTGGAGAAACCACTCAAAAACTAGTTTTCCTAAATTTTAGGGAATCTAATTTTTTAAAATCTTGAATGGTGAAAAAATAGATTTTTCCATTAACAAAAACCAAAAACCACTTAAAAACTAGTAACCATTCAAGGCCAAAATCTATAGAAGTTTGAAATGTAAAATTTTTAATTTTAATCTACTTAAAAATTCTAAGCTTTGCGGTTTGGAATCAGTATATCTTCTTCGGATCTCTGTTGGTACTTTCTTATCGTGTTTTCTGTTGTAATGTAATTTTTTCAGTTATAGTTTTTGGTTTTTATATTTTATTCATTTCTTCTATAATTGATGTCACAAATTTTAAAATTATATAAATACTTAACATTGATATCAAAAAAACTTAGAAATTGAAATCTCTATAGCGTACATGTTGTTATAATATACAAACTGCTTTTTAATTCACATTTAAATCATAAAATAGCAAAACATAATGACGAGATCCACTTAGTAAGCTTATACAATAACAAATACAAATTAGAAGAAGCAAAAAAAAATCTTTAAAAAAATAAGAAGTTAAGTCCCAGCTCACCACTTCACTAGAGATTCTCTCTTTCGTTCTCAACCTTTTGCAATGAATATCTTTAACTCCATTTTTAATTTTGTAATATTCATCTATCAATTTCACAATTGGAGAGACCATCCAAATCATACTCTAACCCTCACTTTTTTTTCTTTGGTATGTAATAATTCTTTTTGTTGAATGTTTTCTTCTTGAAGGCTTCTCTATTAGTCAATACTTTGAAGTCTTCTTACTTATCATTTTCTTATGTGGATTTTATTAAATCTTTGAATCCAAGTATAAGTCATCATTATTAGATTTATGATCCAAAACTAGATACATCATTTCTTGGGATATACACAGACCAAATTTAATTTTCTCATTAGTTAGATGAATTATCTTTATTAAAATTTCTCCATTATTTACGATTCTACCTAATCTAACTCTTACTACTATTTCTTTTGATAACCTTCCAAGCAAATCTTCTCTTCAATTCGATTCTTTAGATATTTCAAATAGTTTACTAGTAACGAACTAACGATCAAAATGCAAGACGTTTCATAGCTTATACATCAAATACAATACACGTAAAGATCATCATACACTACACTCTTTTTTGTTCTCTTTTTCCTCTGGAAGATACATAGTAACATGGACACATATCTTCTCTAAAATATTACTTGTATTATACCTCCCAACCAATAAATGTATATAATATAGACAAACAATGAAACAAACACCACCAACAACAAAAAAGTACCTCTTTAGAGTTTTTTTAGACTAAACATAGATCACAACACAGGTACGGAGATTGAGATTGATATCGGAACTGAGACATCCGTTGTAAAACTGCCGTCTCTATTGCCATTTGAATTCCCTACAAACCCGTAAACACCAGACCTCATCGCTGCATTTTCCCGTCTCTGGAAAACCCGAGCAAGCGAAGCTGCTTTCCGTCTAGCCCGCTTTGTTCCCGTAAACAAAAGCGTTTGAAGCAATCCCGCAATCGCAGGTGCTCTCAACACTTTCTCCGCCACAGCGGCTCCACCGCTCCTACAGAGTTCGAGCAATGCAGCAACCGCGTTCTCTTTCCCTCTTGGCGTTCCGCATCTCATCATTCCCATGAGTCCTGCCACAGCAGAGTCCTCTTTCCCTATAGCCTCAGCACCAAGTGATTGTCTAACTAACAAAGCCAAAGCTCCTGCAGCTTCCTCTGCTACACCTTCGTTCTTGAGAGCTCCAACAAGACTCGACACTCCTCCTCCTTCAATCATCCTACTGCAGTTATCTGGATGTGTCGATAAGTTATATAACGCTGTAACCGCATCTTTCTTCCCTCTTGGTGTCCCGTTTTGAAGCAGCAACGCTAATGCCTCCACGCATTGATCAACAACTGCTATCCGTTTCTTGTACTCGTGTACAGCAGAGAGACTAAACAATGTAGCTGCTGCGTTTTCTTGCGCTTCCACTGTGAGACCAGAAACAAGAACACTTACTATAGACTCCAAACAATCACCTTCTTCCATAATCCGACTCTTGTTCTTCTCATATATCGAAAGATTCAACATCGCGGTCACTGAATTCTCTTGCGCAATAGCGTTTTCGGATTTGAGAAGGCGGCACAAGTGCGGTATCGCGCCTGCTTCAGCAATGTATGCTCTGTTTTCTTTCCCGGTTTTCGCTAAAAGACGAATCTCCCGTGCAGCAACAGTCTGAGCAGCTTCAGAACCATCTGCTAGATACTTAATAAGGATTGATACTGTGGCTTTGTTCGCTTCAACGGCAGCTTTCGTCGGAAGAGCCGAAGCAAAAGACTCATTCGAAGAATCCGTAAACTCCGACTCATAAGATATACCACTCGCTGTACACCACTGCACAATCAAATTCTTCAAAGCTCGATTAGGAACAATCCTCGAATCCATAAGCATTTGCCCGGTTTTCGGACAAGTACAATGACCTTCTTCAATCCACCTAGCTATAGAGCTCCGATCATAAGTTTGCCCAGTGGAAATAATCACAGGATCTGTCATCAAATCAAGAGAGATTGGACAAACAAAATCCTTTGGAACAGTTATAAACGTGTCCCCAATCTCCTGTGCAACGAACCCTTTTCGAGGTTTCTTCGGATTCTCAATCCTCCACTCCAATCCATCTTCTTCAAATCCAAACAACAAAAACCTACAATACCTCGTAATCGCCACAAAACCATTAATAACCGATCCCGTAGGCTCCAAATCCCCATCATGATTCACAATCTGTTCTTCCAAAAACTCGATTTCGGTTCGACAACTCTTCGAATCCCTTATCCCCAATCTCTCAACAAAGAACAATCTCAGATCAACCGAATTCGGAATCTCACCGTTCTCAAACCCATCAAGAAACGAATAGAATGATTCACGTAACGATTCATCGTTCTTATCAATATACAATCTTGATTTTCTTGATTGTCTCTGCAATAACTCGACTTGCTCTCTAATGTCATCGCTTAAACCAAGATCATTGACAGGTAAAACATCCAAAAGAGTCGAAATTTCTTGATTCAAATCATGGAAATACCCAGAAATCGAAGGGTTTTGTAACAAGAGCCATAACTTACTAGATTGAGCGCAGTAATCAACAAGGATCTTGGAGCGATAGAGAAGAAGATAAAGCTCCTTAAGACAAAGCAAAGCTGTTGATTCAGAAACAGAGCTTCTTCTTCTACTTCTTGATGAACCCCAATTTGAATCCACGAGAAATTCGAACAATACGACAAAGATCTCGATCTTACGAATCAAAGAACGAGCGTTCTTGCGTTGAAACGAGAATCGTACAGAGGTGAAACAAGAAACAACCTCCGTTGAGATTGAAGCTAGGGTTTGAACAAGTGCGACGCCGGAAAGGTCAACGGGGGCTAAAAATGCTTCCAAAGACGGCGATCTCCTCCGTCGTAACGATGAGAATATCGCCGCAGAGGCCATGGAAGGGGTTTTCTCGTGCTCTCAGATCGAAAAATACAAGCTTTATTATATATGCAAAGAAGAAAACAGAATCTAAAATGAAAACTAAAGATTCGAAGAAGAAAAAAGTCAGAGGAGAAGAAAAGTGAAAAAGGGTTTCTTTCGATGAAACTTTCTGGGAAAGAGAGAAGGAAGAAGAAGAACGCGTAATCGTATATGAATGAATCGAAAGGCTGAGAATTTTTCTTTTGGTTTTTGTCTTCGTTGTCAGATTTTTTTTCTCTCTCTCGAAAGTTTTTTTGTTTTTCCCAGTAAAAGTCAATACTACTGGAAATGTAACGGATTAGAATCTAATCTTTTATTACCAGATTTGTCTTTTTTTTTTAATTTGTTGTTGTGTCGGAAAAAATACATGTATTAATATATTTAAATTAGTCCCACTTGTAATTTAATGCTCTTCCGCAAAATATTTATGAGTGTCTCGTGGTTCGTCGTATTTATTTTTTTGAGAATATTTATACGTATCGTTAGATTCGATGTTACGATATGTGCTATTAAATCATTCATTGCCCCTTATTTAGGTTTGTTTGACCAACCGGTAATTCACTTACTCCTATTTAGGTCGGCAAACGTTACATGAAACACACGACATGATATAAAAACAGCATTTAATTCTGACAAATTTGTATAATTCTCTTATATTAGTAGAGTCGTTAATTGATACGAGTCACGACAAAAGAAAATTCGTGAGTTGATTAGGAGTGCAAAGTATTATAGACAAGGAGTCAAGGATTTATAGGTCAATGGTCTAAGCCATTTGATTGGTACATAGCTTCGGTATCTGAATTTGAACTATATCTTACCCACATAAACATAAAATTAGGCCGGCCAAATAGAAAAACAAAAATACAGTACAAATAAAACAAATTCAAAAACATCAAGATCACCAACTATTTATGTATTTTAACAAGTATTCACGATTTTTTTTTTTGCTGCAAATATTAACATTTTGATCCCGTAAGTTCTTTCTTATCCGATTTTTGAAAATTTTAAAGACTTGTTTATTGATTTTTACAAATTATTATGTAATCTTTTTCTATGTTTTGTCTCCACTCACACGATACCAAAAATTATTTTCCAATGAGTTACCTATTTTTAAATTACTCGTGATCAAACACATTTAATTTTGAAGTTTTTCATGATGTTTGATCGGAATAAATAAATACAATTTATATAAATGGTCAAATCTATTTTTTAAAAAATTTCTTTATACACCATCATATTTCCATATTTTGGAATGTTACAAAACATGCATATCTAGGGGTCAACTCAAGAATTATTCAATGCTTAGGGTTGTATTGAAGAAGAAATTTAAAGTGATTTAGGATTTAGTGAGTTTTAAGATAATTGTGGTGAATTTTGGTGTATTAGGAAATTTGTTATTGAAATTTTTTGAAATCTCACCTAAAACCATGAAATTTTGATATTTGTATTTTTTTTAACTACAAAATTCCGGGAATCTCACTTAAAATTACACAAATTATTTCAAATCCATTACTTAAAATGTTTTCAATAACAATGGATTTGATTGTACATTTTTAAAATTACTAATCTAATAATAGTTAATTTTAGATGATTTTTTAAAATTCATGTTAGAATAACATAAGTTTTTCTTTTAGTATTTTTATTAGATTTTCTACAGAATTGAGTCTAATTGGTTCTATTTTGTACATTAATTATATTTTTCTTTTTTCTCATTGCCATTTTTCGATTATTACTCTTTTTTTTCTGGGCAATTTTTTTGTTAGGCAAAACGATTATTATTGTTTTGTATGTTAAATTAATTACCGGTTTTTCCAATATCTACTACAACAAAAGATATTTGTAGCTAACGAATTTTCCAAAGTTTTACAAGGAAAATTTGTTTTTTATAATTTAACAAGAGGTAATGATTAATAGTATTTAAGAAATTTCCTTACAATATTAAAGATTCCAATGATTTAAACATATGTTAGAATGTAAATTTTATAATCACACACTAAACTTCTATTTGCTCTAAGAAGAACCCTATGCTAGTGAAGCGTTGACTCTGAAAAGATGCAAGTGCAACGTGTCGTTGAAACCTAGAAGGTGCGTGGAGAAAAATGTTAAGCTAAAGTAAGTTTTTTTTTATTTTTTTCGTCTGAATGATTCATTATATTAAACAAAAGAGGAATACAAGGTAGAATACGGTTTTGGAACACTAGGCCGACAAGAGTCGAAACTCTTTCGGAAACTAAGCCGGCGGAACACAGAAATATCCCCGGAAAACTAAGCCCAAAAAAGGGAAGCAAAGTAGAATCAAAAGCACTAAAAGACAAGCCCGAAAGGAACCTAAGAACTAAATCTGAAACTCGAAACCAACATAACCTTCAAACAATCCCAGAGAAACAGTTGGCGACGGAGCTGGACCAAGAAACATGAGCCTCGAAAAGAAACAGACAATCTCCAAACTACCGAAGAATCCGAAGAAGAACTAATAAGAGAGCTCAACTAGTCACAACCCGACAGAACAGAGAGAAGGAATAAGCTAAGAAGCGAGCACAGCAACAAGCACCATCACGCCAACTTCAGAAGGATAATGAGCTCGAACGAAACTAGGCACAAAGAGGGACCTTTGAAAACGGCTGAGGATAAGCCAAAGAGGAGCACCAACCCTTACACGCGGACAAAGCAAACCAATCAATGCCACCTACAGACATGAACCGGTCACGACCTCGCAAGAGAAGAACTAGTAAACGAAACCACTGCTGCGCCTTGAACCCAACCACACAAACCAAAAAGGCTTTAGAGAAGAGCTAGTAGATGCACCTGCAACGATGTACCATCCGATTGACAAACCTCAAACACGAACCCAGCCCACCAGAAACCACACCCAAACGAGAGGTAGCACTCGGCGAAGAAGAACTAGGAACCCAAAACAGAGAGCTAGAGCAAGCATGACACTAAAACCGGAAAGCACAGCAAAGCCGTACAATAACCCGTAGAGTTAGAACCAAGATCAAGCCTAACTACACCATTGCGCAAGCCAAAAACACCAACTAAACCTTCAACACAAACTAACAGATCTACACCAAGCACAACCATGGAAATGCCAACGAAAGGAGGAGCTCACCCGATAAAACCAAACAACCCACAGCCCCAAAAGAACCAAGAAGACAGAACCTCCACCAACAACCGCTTACTCTCTCTCGCCACGAGCCAGATCCACCAACATCCGGCCACACTAGCCAAAGAAAACCTTTAAACTCTGGAGAAACCGCAAATCCTTGCAAAACCCGACGTCGCAGCCACCAAAGATCCAATTGCGACATCTCCGCAACTCCAATCGTCTAAGCATCATCATAGAGGATACCGGCGTAGACTGAGAACAAAACAAGATAACAACTAAAACAATCAAACAAAAGCCCTCTCACGGTGTCGGCGAGAAGCACCGACCACCGGAGAGGCAAGACTGAATTTTTTTTTTTTTTCTTCAACGGCGGCTAGACCTAATCGAGAGAGAAAGGGGAAAAAAAGCCCGATGCATGCTAAAGTAAGTTCTTTAAGCAAGTTTTGCGTTGGTAAATTACAACTAAAGAATCCATTAAAACTAACCCAATCTTAGATTCATAGTTTAAAACATTTTTTTTCTCTGTGTTCGGTTTAATTTACATATCAAAATATTTCATATTTTCTTTCTTTTGTTATAATATTTTTTTCATTTCATTTTCTTTGATATTTGTGTTTACAATTTACAAAATGATTTTGTTTAAACCTAAAGATTTTGGTTTATATTTACGTTTGTGTTTACATATACATATAAATATTGGATCTGCTAAAAAAAAAAAAAAAAAAAAAAAAAAAAAAAAAAAAAATTGTATCTGCTTGGTGACACAAAACAATAAAAAAAATTAGTAGTAAGCAATATCAGAATAACTTAAAAAGTAAAAACAGTAAAAAGTAGCGGTAAGCGTCAATAGTAACTACAATAGTAACATTTCTAGTATTCAAACGTTAAAACGATAAACCCATACCACAACCGTAAAATTGATGAATACATCTTAAAAATATTAAATTTTCTAAATATTCCAAAAATAATTGTAATTGTAAATAAAGTGGATTTCGTTTAATTTGTCCTAAAGAAAAACACTGTTTTTTTTTATTTTGGTTTAATGAAAAACACTGTTATTATAAATGAGGTTCAGTTTCTCTAAGAAAAACTGACTCCACTATGACTTATCAACCTTTAAAACCTCATGCCTGAACTACCTTAATTATCATCACAACATGAAATTACCAAAGCTGCGACTTTGTCGATTGTGGAAGTTGCATTGTGTAGAGAATCACGTCACGTGATGTTATCTATTTTTAATTGCACATATAACTTAATTAATAGGGGAAATTGTTTCACTGTGTTCAGAAAACTCAGGAGTTAGGAGTGAGAACATGTCTTTGATTTCAGACTGTTTGATAATCAATGGCCAAGGAAGATTTCTAAAATCTAAGAGATACACAATTGAAGATGCCAAAATGGTATAGTTGATTTTTAAAATAACTCCAAAAAATATATTTTTTGTAGAATTTCTCTACAATCGGTAGGTCGAACAGTACTATCCAGACAGAAAATCGGACCGACCGGCGACCACGGTGTCTAACGTAGGAGCATTAGTAATGCTTTAGGTTTCTTTGACTGACGATAAAGAAAAAACAAACGAGAAAAAAAAAAAAAAAGATCAAGAAAAAACAAACATTTTTACGTGTCCTATATATTTCATGACCCATGACATTCATACATTTTTTTTTTGGGTTTAAATGAAGTTCATACATCATTTTCATGTTTGTCTATTTCTTCACAAGAAAAACGAAGTCTTGAACGTTGAAGCTAAGCATTGAATATCATTTTACATATTCATGACTAAACTATACATTTCAATCATCTATGCAAAATAAAAGGATTTAAAGTTTTAAACCAAAAAAAAACTAACACAAATATTTATAAAGTCACAAGCATATGTATATGTTATGTAAACTCAAGTCTACCAAACATTTTCATGGCAAACTCAGCAAATCTGTCTATCAGAAAATAGATATACAAAACTACCAGAGCACATTTATCTACTTAATTATATACGTAAATCATATATATAGCTCTTGAAGAAACATATATGGCCAATTTTTAAACGACTTAGTAACTATATATATTAAAAAAACATATCTCCAATCACATTATTTGGTTAACAATGCTATTTTGTTCCATAACAAAACAAACAAACTACACCATACAAAAACAATTGAAACCAAAAGAAAGAAAGAAATCAATTATGGTTAATGACATTGGGTAGTGATAACAGAAGGCCCATATCCATTAATAACCAGCTATTAACCGGTCCATTGAGTCATCCTAACTGTTTTTGACAAATAAACACGTGGAGAACACGAGGAATTAAAATATGTTAAACGCCACACCATGTCGCGTACCGAGCTGCCACATCACTGTTTCGTTAACACGTGGCTTAATTTGATGCAATATAGACCCACCGATAGCTGGCGCTTTCTACTTTACCAAAGGTGCGACGTACCAGATAACACCACCTCACCACTTTCGAAATTTAAAAAGCATCTTTTGGTTAATTATTTACTCTAATTGATGGAAAAATCAATAATTAATCGAATAATGAAGGACTAATTTGCAGTTTTAGGATATTAGTGAGCACACACACACGTTAGAGAAGAAAGACCGTTCCAGATTGCCACGTCATCGTCTCCTCTGAACGAATTTCTGCAAAACCTGAAACGTGCACTCTCTCTTTCTCGCTCCTCTCTTCCTTCGTTTCTCTCTCGATTTGAAGAGAGAAAAAATTCGTTTGATTTGTTTTTTTTCCTGGAAAATTTTGGAATCGTTGTTGAGTCTCTACCGTGTTGTTATCAACCATGAATATCTTTAGATTTGCTGGCGATATGAGTCACTTGATCAGTGTCTTAATCCTTCTTCTCAAAATCTACGCGACGAAATCTTGCGCTGGTGAGTTCTCTCTTTCATGAAATGTGTTGTTATATTTTGAAGACGAGCTCGTAGAAGAAACAATCGCATTTGCTTTGACCTTTTGTTTTCGTTTTCCATAGCTTCCAAATGCAATCTTATTTGAATCGTATTGAGGTTTTATGATCGATTTCGAGGCAAATACGAGTTGGTAGATTGAAATTTCAAGTCAAAATAGTTGTGAAATCTCAATCTTAGAAACTATAGTGGAGTTTCTAAACGAGTGAGATCTCTCTCGCTAAATTGCATTAGGTTTAATGGAAAATGCTTGTAGATGCTCATGAATTTCTCATAGATTGTGCAGCTTCTAACATTGTTATGTTGACTTTTGGATTTTGTTGGCTAGGAATCTCTCTCAAGACTCAAGAGCTATATGCGCTTGTGTTCTTGACTCGGTACTTGGATCTGTTTACGGATTATGTATCTCTGTACAACAGCGTGATGAAGATTGTCTTCATTGCTAGCTCTTTGGCTATCGTTTGGTGTATGCGTAGGCATCCACTAGTGAGGAGGTCATACGATAAGGACCTGGACACATTTCGTCATCAATATGTTGTGTTAGCATGTTTTGTTCTGGCACTTATCCTGAATGAAAAATTCACATTTCAAGAGGTATTTTCATATGAATTTCACATTGCTTTTGTGCTTTTAGGTTGTAGAGACTAGGAAAGCGCTTGTTGATAGAAGACATGCATATGTTGTGTAATCTTGTTTTTGGTTTATTCCTTCATTTGGTTCATTCGGTTCCTTCTTCTTATATCGTTTGGATTTGGTAACTATCTTGGCTAGTGTAGAATAGAATATCGTCTATGTAAATGAATTTGAACATAACTCCTTCCAGAACCAATTAGGAGTCCGGCTTTTATAGTTTTATTTTAGCTTGTTTAAACGTTGTACTACCTATGTAGCCTCTCAGTATCTCGCTGTTTGTTTTAAGAGGCTCTTTGAATGTCAAACTGTTGCATCGTGAAAGGTTTGCTTCCATTAACGGAATCTTCTGTGTCCTACCTATGTTCCATAAGGTGCCCATGGATTAGTGTCATCTGTATCTCGCTGTTACTTTTCTGGCCAAAGTGTGCTTTGATTAAGTTTTCATAAGAAACTGTAGAAACTCCTTATATGCACTTCACCAAGATATTTTACCCTTACTACCTTCAAATGTATTTTTCCAATATATGCTTTTGGTAAAAATTTCATCCTTGCAACTGCCTTCACCCCGAACTGTATTCTTAAATATTTTTGCAGCATTGTGGACTGTCTGTGTTTAGTGCCAGAATCATAGTGCAATAAGTTAATTCTGTGAATTCCAAACCATTTCAGGTGTTCTGGGCGTTTTCTATCTACTTAGAGGCAGTTGCTATCCTTCCCCAGTTGGTTCTGCTACAGAGAAGTGGGAATGTTGACAATTTAACTGGGCAATATGTTGTCTTTCTCGGGTACGTAATTCTATCCAGACATATGCAATTTACTTACTTGATCTCCACTGGCTTTTAATGGGATCTTTTTTTGGAACTCGATGTTGATATAGCATGAGTACTACCTACCTGCATTCTCTGTTGGGTTTGTTTTTAGAATTGGTTTATCTTATTGATATACTGTGTCTTTCACAGCTCATGCTCTTGTTAACTTGATCGATATCAATGAGAATCGCTCTCCAGTGTCAGTGTGGCGTTTAAAAATCAGTGCATACTTCTAAAGTCTAGACATTGTTTTTCCGTCTAATTTGTATCCGTCTGGAAGTTGAGCTGAACTATATTCTTTTAAATAAAGGAAATTAGAATGGTTTAGGCTTGCTATGCATTTGGTTCTGATGCATACCTTTGTGTCCCAGTATACAATATCTCAATGTGCAAACTTGAGTAAGTATTCTGTATGCACTCACATGGGCAATGATTAACATGCAGGGCGTATCGTGGACTCTATATCATCAACTGGATCTATCGCTATTTCACAGAAGATCATTTCACTAGATGGATTGGTAATGTTTCAACAAAGAAGCACTAATTACATTTAATCATTTGTTTTTTCTCAGTGCTAATGTTATATGTTTGCATTTTCCAGCTTGTGTGTCCGGTCTTGTCCAAACAGCTCTCTACGCGGATTTTTTCTACTACTACTACATAAGGTAAAGTAACCTCACCAGTCTGAATAAATATTCTCTTAAACCTTTTATAGCCACTGATCATGTTACTGACTTTGGATCCTTTTCGATTTTGTTTTAGCTGGAAAACCAACACCAAACTTAAGCTTCCGGCTTGAAAAGAACCCGAAATTTTTTGCAATAGTATCAATATCCAGGAAGTTAAAGCAATGGTGATTAGTGACATTAGAAAAGAGAGACATGGTTTATATTTGGTTTCTCCCTCTTTCTAACAATGAGTTGAAATTGAATGATGCAGGATTGTTGTTTAAAATGTCCTTTTTTAGTCTTTTAATGCACATTGTAACTTTCCCAACGATTTTAGACCTTGAGAAGAGGCTTAGTTTTATCAAAACTAGTCTTTATAGATAACACACAAACTCTGTTTCTTTTGTGCGAGTGTTTTGTTCAAAACTGTAGCTCGGATCAGAGCAAAGTTAACAATGTGTCTTCAAAACTTAAACCTAGTCTTCTTGATTGTGTTTCACTTTCTTGGTCTTCTTCTTGTGCTCTCGTGTCTTCTTGCTTCTTAACTCGTCTTTCTCTTCACCTTCAGAGACGACCTTTTCTCTACTGCGTTTCTCTTTCTTTGACTTCTTTGTTTTGACAGGAGCCTTCTCAATCTCGTCTTCATTCTCCTCATCGTCTTCACCCTCAAAGACTATTTCTCTACTGCGTTTCTCTTTCTTTGACTTCTTTCTTTTCACAGGAGCCTCCTCTGTTTCATCATCTTCCTGGTCCATGATCGTCATCTTCTCCTCTGTCGCAGCCTCAACCACTGTGTTTGCTTCAGCTGTCTCTGCTTCAACTATAAAACCAATCATCTTAAAAACATACTAACAAAGGAATACAAACATAGATGCGATTTGTCAACTGCAATAGAAAACAAACCTTCTCCAGAAAAGCCTGAGTCGAATACAAGACCTGTAAGATGCTGCTTCAAGAAAACCTGCAATAAAACAATGATAAATAAGTAACACTCCACTTCACCAAAAAAAATACTAGTTGCATGTCGAAGAGCATACCGCAGAAATGAGATGGCGTGTCTTCACGTCAAAAACCCGTAAATATCGGTCCAAGCCTGAAAAATTCAATAAAAACACACACAAATGAGATTGTTGAACAATCTAATAAAACTACACACATGAGATTGTTGTAACGGTATATGGAGGTTGAAATTGCAACAATGAATCTTACCGCAAGAAGCTATCACTTGATGCTGTGGATGTCTAACCACAGATCTTATGCTTCCAGAGCATTTTCCTAAAAAGCTTCCCAACAGCTTTCCTGCAACAGAGATGATTGGTTAATTATTTGTTCAGTAAGCAACATATTTTATGCTACATTTGTAGAGAGAATCAATGAACCTGTTCGTATATCAAAGGAAGCGAGGTCAGCAGAAGCATTCCCGACATAGATAGTATGACCATCTGGGTCTTCCGCGATTGCTGTAATGGCGGTCTCACGGAAATCAAAGGACAGGACCGGTCTACGTTGAGTAGAAATGTCATAAAGACGGACCTATCTCCACCACAGGCAAATTGTGAGTGATCAGGACAAGGTTCAAACTGACAAGAGAAACTAGAGGTATTAACCTGGTGAGACTTGGTTCCCGTGACAAATTTACGGTGATCATCGTTGCTCAAGAACGTAGCACTAGTGAACCAGGTAGGCGTGAAGATTCCAAGATTGTCCTTAGGAGGCTGCACCAAACAGAGATTAATTGGAATAGATAATGAAGGCTTAGCTAGTTCATCAAAGAAACTGAGAGGCTTTGAAAGAGATAAAGATGAGAAAGCAACTCACGGATTTTGCGCTCCAGATCTTAGTACATTGTTCAAGATCCCATATATTGGCCTCAACCCGTTTCCTGTATCAGACATTCATTTCAGTATTGTAACAGCCAAACCGAGATATAACGAAATGATCCGCAAAGATAAGCAAATCAATTCAGTTCTCAACTACTAACCCTCCAAATAAGCTGAAGTTTTCGCTCCCATCCACTTTACCAACCAATATTTCACCAGAACCACATGCTTTCCAAGTTTTAGGAGAAGCATCATCCGTAGAATCACCATGTGCATCTGGAAATTTAACTGATCTGAGGCTCACATCTCCCTTTTTCGTGCATGTAAGCAATGTGGAAGATCTAATAACACCAAGTTTTGTTTAGAAACGTCAATGGCAACACAACATACAAAACATAATTAACTGGGAATTTCGAAGAATCAGTGTAAAGTTATATACCTTTCTGCTTGATCATCTATCTTTTTTCTGAATAAGTGCAGGGCAGAAATTTCGTTATCCTCAGGGGAACAACCATCATCACCAAATACAGAGTATGAAAAGTGAAGATCACCATTACAAGGATTAAGAACCTCAACCTATGGAAAGGATAGAAATGAACAAAATGATTGGATAAATGTTAGCTAGGCTACGAAGATAAATGTATTACACAAATACACATAGCTTAAAGTAAGGAAAACTTACATTGCCATCTTTTCTTGCAACAGCCAAAAGCTGCAATTGAAATAAATAAACAAGTTAAGAGTTTGCCATTTTGACTCGAAAACTAGAAAGGAAAGGCAAAATACGTGAAGTAAGGCCTTCTCAAATTTGAGAATACATTCACCAAATTATAAATGTTACCACAGAATTAGTAACACATGAGTCAGAGATTATGAAATTGTAGCATAGTTGCACGAAATGATAACATATTACCGATAAGTTCTCAATCACTACTAAACGAAAGCCAAAACTCATAGTTCAAAATACCAAGCAAAACAATAGAGTCAAACTCTTAATGAAACAAGGAATACAATGGAAACCTCAAATTTGACTCAGGATTAACATAATTATATCCAGGACCAAGAATCACAAGTTCAAATCCTATAAGCCAAATTCAAATAATCAGCAGTAGAAATCAAACTTAGCTTCAACCATAGCTTAACAACATAAACATGAAAAGAATGAAACTTTACCGGATTCCTTAACCGGTCATCAATGGAAGCAGCAAGAACAGTCCTAGATGCATTCATCTCTCCCCATGTGTTCACTACAGTCGGAGTACCTCTCTCTTTACCACGAGCTTCAGTCACTGCACATGAAAATTGAAAAATCTATTAGAAAAAACAAAACTTCCCACCAAGTAAAAACATAGAGATTGAAGTTGGAACCTTTGATTAAGCCGAGAGAGTCAAAGGTTAAAGCACGGATCGGTGGGCAACCGAGATTCTCCGGAGGGATGACTCGAGGCATTTTATATCGCCGCCGTAATTTACTCCGAGACTACGACGACGGAGAAGAGAAGAGAAAGAGGAGAAACCCTTTTTAAAACCCTACGATTGATTTTGGACACCGCTTTTGTGGCATCCCTTCTAAACCGGATGCAAAATTAAATCATTTCGGGTTACCTGAACCGGGACAGTTATTAAATACTACTTGGTTCACTTTTCTTATAAACAAATGCTAATGTGTTTTTGTTTTTTTTAAAGTAAGTTTAATTGATGATTGTCTTTATGTTCATAAATTGATTTTTTTTTTTGTAGATGAATTATGTTAGTCATGAAATTTTTACTTACAACTAGGTTTAAAACTCGCGTTATGCTGCAGAGTATTTTTAAATTGTGTTTAACTGTAACTTAGACAAAAAAAAATGTATACTTTAATTTTACAAGGTCAATACGTAATCAATACTGTAGGTTATGTTTTTATTTGTGTATATTTAAATTTGATGTAATATTTAATACTAAACCATTTCTAAAGGAACCCAACAAATTCCAATTTGGGACAGATGATGATGGACACGAATCTACTTTGGACAGATCATGTAAAGAAAATAATCTTACTACTTTGGAGAGATCATGTAAAGAAAATAATCTTAATTCAAGTCGTTGGATAGTGTTGAATTGAAGTTTTTTTTTTTTATTTTTTTTTTTATTTTTTTTTTTATTTTTTTTTTATTTTTTTTGTTGAATTGAAGTTTGTTTCTCCCTTAGTAGGTCTCATCTTTGGTCGATAGGACAATTACTCTCACGCATTATTAACCTTTGATCAGTTTGTGTATCTATCCTTTTATCGCTTTGTAAGCTTTATTGATCTAGCTTTCCGCCTTGCTCATCGGGTATGTCCAGTGATGTTTAGCTCGATTGTAATCGCTTAATTCGGAAATGAAGTTTCGTTGAACAAAAAAAAAAGTGTATAACCATATATGTAAATTTATACCCTCTTTTATTTAGGTTTTACTGGTTTAGAGTTTTTTTTTTTTAAGACAACCCGTGTAAGATATTTTAGAAAAGAAGTCATAGGTGCATCCGCTAATTATTTGGGTACAGCTTGGATTAAAGGGTTTGGTTGATAACCTTCAATAAGGCGATTATAAGAAGCGGTTGGAGATGTTTAAACGATGTTACCTATCGAACCCACAATGGTATAGGTTTTTTTGTGCAACTTTTTGTGTGGTGTTTAAAATGTGTTGTGTTTTTGAGTTTGTAGCCTATTGCTAAACCCACAGGTGCTGCCTGAATTTTAAGGAGGTTATCACATATACTGTGATACGGATTGCAAGAGATGATGGGGAAATGAACAAAGACGCAAGTTCTAAAGGTCTAAATCCAGTAAACTAAAAGTGATATTTCTACTCCTCCCAAGCTGGCTTAAGAGCTAGAGAATCTTGTCATTTGGAATATCACTTTGCCTGAACTTATTACTGGTGGAGATATGTCTTGCAGAATAGTGAGCCTGAAAATGTTGATTCTCCATAAGATATAAGCCATCACGGTTTCTTCCCATTGTCATCAACATCTTTATATTCTTGTCTTTGACACGAACCCCATCGGAATCAAATTTAAAAGTGCACGTATAGTAGAGACTAGACTGACAATAAAGACTTAGCTATATCAGGACAAACAAGAACATCTTTAAGAGGAAGAGTACCTGATGTAAAATGGGATGCTTATTGAGCCAACATAAGTGATGGGAAGGAAGTTATTGTTTCTAGCCAACACAATGTCTGAACTATGATACAGATACGAGTGATCAGCCTTTGAGTTGATTTTGTGACATGTGATGTTGCGCCTGTGACAGGGAACCATTCATGACCTGAGCTCTCAGTCACATTTGTGATGCGCATAGTAGATTACATCTGTGACCATATATGTCCCGTCTCTCATACCATTAACAGAGAGACAAAATGTTCTAAAGAAGAAAGAAAAGATAACACTTTCTTATCTGTCCTAGCACTTGGCATTGAGTGTTGAGTGTTGTTTCTCTAACACCAACTGCGGATTGAGTGTTGTTTCTCCATAAGAAGGTAGAGCAAATCGAGTCCACTTTCCTGAAAAAACTGCTTGGGAAACTGAAAAACTTGACTCCAAGAAGTTCACAATACCATAGATTACTGACGAAATAAGCCTTATTTTTCCAGCATATGAGAAACACTTGGTTGTCCAAGTATGAAGCTTGCTGGTGATGTTTTCCAAAAGGGTTGGAGAGCAGAGAATGACAACCTTTTAGGATTCGCCTAGAAACTTGGTAGGGAAGCAGCCAAAATCGATGCCACTTTTGTCACTAAGTTTACTTGAGCAGTTTTTGAGTACTAGAGATCCACGTTCTATTTATACATGTGTAGATTTGATACTAACTAACTAGTTTGTAGCCTTAGGACTTGGGCAAGTCTTGGGTTATCAATTAATGAGCCTACGGGATGATTTAATCTAGTGGGAAAAGCTTCGAATGAGCATTGTTCTAAACAAGTAATGTCCATTTGAATATGAGATCAAATAATAAGATTATTAATACTGGTCGATACAGTTATTTGATGTGGCGATTGTCAAGTAGATTTGGTTTTGGTGCAGTTTTGTTTGGGTTTAAAATGTGTTGTGGTTTTGAGTTTGTAGTCTATTGCTAAATAGAAGACACCAGTTATAGATGATAGGGATATGAACAAATACACAGCAATGGTAATTGGTAAGGCACGAAATGCAAAATGGAGTAAAATAACGCAAGAGTGTTAGTGTACAAGAACTGATGTAAAATACTATATATATCTAGTAACAATTTTAATGAACTTGTTTTCCTCTTCTTGGTTATCATTCAGAAAATTTTACTTGTATTAATCAACATGGCGGGTTAGATAAAGGCACATTTCTGACAAATATATATAGTCACTAGGAGATGCAACAATTAGGTTCAAAATAGAACTCAGAATATATTAAGAAGGCAAAGAGGAAATCTGAAACCAGAAGAGTGGTTTATTCATTATTAATTACACACCAACCAAACCAACCTTACTACAAGGCCACGATCATACACCACTTCTAGGGCGTATTTTGCCTACGTAATTGAGAAACATTACATCCTTCTTTTCGAGGCTTTCATGTCTAAATCTAAGGAGCTTCTGGAAAGCAGGCCAATTCTTGCAATTACTGTCCATCCGGTTGAAGTTTGGGTCTACTTTCTTGAAGTAGCGTCTAGCGGCTGCCATGCCTTTAGTCTCGGCAATAAGAGCCACATACTCCGCAAACTGGTTGCTAGTAAAAGACATTTTCTTTCCATCCATCCACTCAAATATCTACAAGAAACCAAAAAAAAAAAGAACGTACATTCTTTAACTAAAAACATTTGATGATGAATTCTGTCTAATTAGACGTTAGATCATTCAGACATACCGCGAGGGCGTGTTCATATTTGCCCTGCTTGTCGAGACGCTTAGCCCATTGATGGAGATCTGATTTGGTGACGGAAACATAGCTCAGCTCTACACTCTTGTACTGATCTATTGTCTCTTTTACTCCACTCTTGTCCATATTAAGCAGTTCCTCGAACATCATCCTCTTCTGATGCTTCGCATAGGCCACCTTCGCCCTCTCAAGTGCATCATCAACCTTGACGCCAGCCGCCGCCGTTGGAGCAGTAATTGAGGTCTCGATCCCAGCCGACGGCTGAGCAGCGGCCGTTGACCGTTGTACATGCCCTCTTCCAGAGATGAACACCGGAAGCCATCACACGGCGGAAGTTCATTGTCACAATCGCCAAACCCTAACTTCCCTAAACCCTAATATCAGTATCATGAATTGGAAGGCATCAGAGTTTGTAAAGTATCCCTAAGTTCACTAATCAATTTGGGCCAACGTGGACAAACAAATTACGTCTAACTTTTTTTTCCACCAAATTATGGTGGACTTATTCCACTATACTATAACGAACAATCATCAGCATAAGATTTTTACGAATTAACGTAGTAAATTTTGGTGGCTTCCGTTAAATATAATTCAATGTCCTTATAAAAATATGGTAAAAAGGAAATTAGTTAACCAATGGAGAATTTTTTTGTAATTTTTGGAGAAAAAATTATAATAACACAAATCAACAACTAATAGAGAAAAATCTGTTGGTTAATCAAAAAGTGTCTACCAAAATGCTCTTTTAATCGTCTATTGAACCTTCGAGTGAACACAGAAGATGAAAGCTACTTTTTAATTAGGCTTTCAAATTTCTCACTAGTCTTAGCAAAAATTTACCCCTTTATATGACTAGAAACAATCAGAATCCAAAGAAGCCAAGCTCGCTGGCTTTTTCCTTCTCAAAGGTTTCAAAATACTGATATATGATTGTGACTGCAAGTAAGATCCCAGTCCCTGACCCAATTGCTCCCATGAAATCAGCCAAAACAGTGAGCGCACCGATGCACACTCCTCCAAATGCAGCTGCTGTTGGGATGTACCGGTTCAGCTCCTTCTGTAAGTTAGACTCTCTGTGTCCCGGCATCACCATTTGTTGTTCCTAATCATTTTATAGAATTTCAAGCATGTGAGTTTCAATGTCTGAATGTTTAGTTAATTTAGCAATGGACAATGGTTTAGGGATTACCTTGAGCTGCTTAGCTACATCTCTAGCAGAAGACCCGGAGACTTCAATCCAGGTCTTTGAGAATAGGGCGCAAGCAGTGAGCATGAAGACGATATAGAACAGAGCATGGAATGGATGAGCTGCCATATCGGCAAAACTGTAACCGTGGAAAACAAATATTCAGAAAACTGGAAATCAAGTATCATTATATTGATGGGGACACACACTACTTGTGAATTACCTTGCCGGAGCTGTGATTAAGTATGCAAGACCACTAACTGGTATAGATTGTCCACTGTACTCTGATTCTTTCCACTGTCCCAATAGGTTTACAAAGAAATTTCCACTGAACTTCCTGTAGAGAAGCTGTTGACAAGGAGATGCAAATTGTCAACTTTATGTTCTCAGCTTGTTGTTCATTCATGAGGAAAGAAAAGAAAACACAAGTACCTGAGAGATGAAGTAGAGGTTTGAGACGAGAGCAGACTGGAGAATGATTGGCATGTTGGAGGTGTAGAACAGCTTGATCGGGTAAGAACCCTGTTGGCCACGAGCACTCTTTGATCTCACGGGCAACACAACACGGAAGCCTTGGAAGTAGATAACAATCAAGAAGATCAAGACTGTTGCAAGCAAGTTGGTAACATTCGGAAGGTTCTGCCGGTAAAAAGCTTGTCTGAGCGCAGCAACCTTATTGGACTTAGTTATCAGCATATGGAACAACGCAATCACAGCGCCTTCAAACTCAGCTCCACGACCGGTGTTGATTGTTGTGGGGCTAAATGCTTTCCAGATAATGCTTTCACTGCGCACAATCAACTCAAAACATCTAAAACTATCCTGCCTTAAAAGACAAAAACTTTGATGCGAAGATAAGCTTTTAACATACCAGATATTAGTTGCTATGAAAAGAGAGATCCCAGAGCCAAGACCATATCCCTTCTGAAGAAGCTCATCGAGACAGATAACGATAATTCCGGCAAAGAAAAGCTGGAGGATGATCAGAATAGCATTTCCAACACCGAGCTGACCAACAGGACCGTACATTCCCGAAAGAACATACGCAACAGCCTCACCAATAGCAATCAGAATCCCAAGAAGCTTCTGAGCACCATTCCTACAAAAACCACAACACAAAGAACACATGAGACAACGATTCTCGACTCGATCAAGAAAATTACGAAAAGGAAACACTTACAAGAGAGCACGATCCTCACGGACATTGTTGTCAACCTCAATAATCTTTGACCCTGCTAAGAGTTGCATCACAAGTCCAGACGTAACAATAGGAGTAATACCGAGCTCCATCACCGTCCCACGGTTCGAAGCAAGAATGACACGCATCCAATAGAAAGGATCAGCACCGGTGGTAGAATGAATCCCATAGAGAGGAAGCTGACTACAGACAAGGAAAATGAAGAGAGAAATGACAGTGTAGATTACTTTCTCTCTAAATGGAATCTTCCTATCAGCACTTTGAACTTCTGGAAGAAAAGCCAAGAATGGCCTCACCAAATGCAAAACTCTAAATCCTCCTCCCATTATCGAATCGCTTGTTACTTCAAAATTATCTGTTTCTGCAATATTTAGAGCCAATTGAGAAACTAAATGTGAATCTATAAAGATCTCTAGCTAGCTAGCTATTCAACGAAATCGGAAAACAAAAGCGATTATCGATCTCTATCCGGAAACTAGATCTACACAGAACTGTCCACGAAATCTCAGATCCACAAGATCTCGACTAATCTAGGTGAAAGTTTGCACAAGAACGTTACCAATCTCTGAATCTCTGTAATTTGAGATCGAAAAAATCGAAAATGGGGCTAAGAGGAGAAGCGAAAGAAGCTTTACCTCAGCGAGCTTGAGAGAGAACGTGGTGAAGAAGACAACAAACGGATTCAAAGTTTTTTTTTTTTTTCGTTTTTGGTTAATCTTCTTCAGGCTGATGTTGAAGCTTTTTTGTAACAAGTTTTACACGATTACATGTCATCAAACCAATAAGACGGGTACACGTGGCAAAGTACATTCATTTCTTTTTTTTTTTGGTAAGTAAGTACATTCATTTCTGATTAAGTGATGACAACATACTTAAAAATAAAACTCTTATAAAATTATTATGAAAAAACATTAATTGTTGACAAAAAAAATTATTATGAAAAAATTGACTAAAGAGTTTGATTTAACTTAATAAATTGGGGCTTTTGCAAAAATGCCACTTTTTCAATGCCACTTTTCAAAAATACTCTTTTTTTAAAACCTTATAAAAAATGCTCTTAAAAATATAAGATTTACCCAAATATGTATGTAATATTATTAAAACATACACAAACTACATTTCTATGTATCTAAAATCTTATAAATACTTTATAAATACCTTATAAATGCATTTTAAATACCTTTAAAAACCTTTAAAATATCTTGTAAAACCTTTGAAAAATCTTAAAAATCCTTTAAAATAACTTGTAAAACCTTTAAAAACACCTTATAAAACCTTATAAATACTTGGATCGAGTCTTCATGTAGTAGTTACAATTCATAAGTACCTTATAAACCTAATAAAACTTTATAAAAATTTCAGATTTAAAAGGGGGCATTTTTGAAAATGGACATCTAAAAGGGGCATTTTTGAAAAGGGGCACACCAAAAGGGGTATTTTTAACAATTATTAAAAAAGATTGTTCAAGTAAGAATTTTCAGTTTTATCCCAATAATATTATTTTTAGTGTTTTTTTTTTAATTTTATATAATAATTCTAACAAAATGTGTTATAAACAAAGTAAAAGATGTTCCACAAAGCATTTGCTTAAAAGTTAAAAACTCCTATAAAAAATCTTATAAACCACTTAAATCTTGCTTGTAAACCCACTGTCCATCACTCACACTCTTACATTTAGACTTGTCAAACCTTAAATATTACAAGCTTTCCTACCACAAGTAACTTAAATATAACTCTATCCAACTTTTTCTTTGTTTCTCTTAAGAATTTTATATATTTAATGGTTATATTTTAAATCTAGCATTTACTATTACTTAAAATGAAATGTGTATAATAAGATAGCAATAAAAAGAAGTTTCAGTCTCTTTTATAGTTCGAAATATATATTCCGAACAGAAACTACCTTATCAGCTGGTTTAGAATCAACAAAGCAACATCTCTTTCTATCCTAAGGAAGTTGGTGGCACAAGCCATGGTTATGGAAGCAGAGAAACAACATCTCCACAATGGTTATTCAATACCACCGACATCTATCTTCAAAGAAATTGATCAAAAATCATCAACTCAATCAATGCAAGGAGACATAAAGAATTTCAAAAATCTTATGGGCTTATGGCTCATATGAAATCTTTATCCTTATGAAAAAGTGATTTGCTTCCTTGTTTTTCATTTCTTTTTGCTAAGGAACCAAAATCCTATCACCAACATTTAAATCCGAATCTTCTTCATTCTATATGATAGAAGAAAAATATTGCTACAAAATCCACACATTCTCTTTTATATAGTCCTCAAGAGAACTCAGCCAAGACTATTCAAAGAGACAAATTGATTAAGCCCACTTTGTCTAGCTAAAAAAGTTAAGGCCCAACACTTTTTCAGCCTATCCCTGGTATATGAATTAATATGATGATGTTAATTATAGATTTATACTGTAATACTAAAAAGGTTATAAATGACAACAACAAGAAAACAATAAAGAGTAAAAAAAGACACTTGAAAATCCGCAGGTGACTTTGAAAAAGAAAGTAACAATGATGAGGTCTTCTTCGAAGCGCAACCTTAAACTTTTCTTGTAATGGCATTGTGAACACATATTCATTTTTATTGAACTTAAAAGACAGATATCATGATGATTTAGATTACTTGGCTTCACGAGTTTTAAACAATTTTGGACCCACCCACTATATCGATCTATGGCTTAGCTAAACTATTATATCTAAAACAGCGTACTAATGTTTTCCACTTTTATTTTTAGATTAAAAAATAAAAGTGTTTATAAGTACATATGCAATTTCGAACTATTAGGGCCATCCTTCGATTGCGGTGCTTTACTTAAACTCTATTTAATCTGAATTTGTGTTACTCGTCGGAATCGAATCCAATTCACCAATTTGTCTCTCAAAACTATACGTTTTAATCATCCTATTTTGTCAAGCGACATCGATTGTTTCTTAAAGCTCAAGATGTACTAATTATCATACAGTATGGTAAGTAATCATAGCATGCACACACATATGTGTATATCTATATATTAATAAAATATTCAATAACAGTTGTGGAGTAGATATTAATACAAACATATATATACACATTCAAAATTTGGAATCTTATTAAGAAAATCCGTTTTACCATATATTTTTAATTACCTTACGTCTGACAAACAAACTAATACATATTTTAGTAACATATATATACATATGAAGACTATATCAGTTTTTTTGGGGGTTTCATTTTACTATTTTACTTGCATTTATATTATTTTGTTTTCCTTTAGAGAGACATCATTTACAAGTGAAGGAGATAAATGAAAATACAAAAGAAAAAGAGAGAGGGAATGAGTAGTGAGTACACACGTGAGAAGCAAAGGGAAGATACAACAATTTAGGGAGAGGTAGAAGAAGAGAATTGTACGAAGCAGAACGAACCTAGAGTACTTAGTACCCGGTACTAATAAGTCGACAGAAAAGTGTCACCATTCTGAATATAATATCTGATTAGTTGAGGAAGATCGATCCAAACTTGCTGCAAATCGTTTAACGGATTTGTCGAGGTCGACGGCTTAGAAGTCATCTGATGCAGTTTTGAGTTCTTTTATTTCAAGAACTCAGAAAAAACATAAACCATAAGTGGGAAATCAGCTTGCTAAAGATATTGAGTTTAGGTAAGCGGGAAAGGAAGACCTTGCCAAATTGATCACGTCTTGATAACGAAGAGTCGAAGACTATGTCATTGAACCATAAGTTATAGACTTATTGCTTGAACGTTAGTATTATACAACTAAACTCTTAATCAAGAAACCAATGTTTCTTTCTCTTTGTTTTTTTATATAACTGAAAATATATTATAAGAATGTAACAGTATGTTCACTCACTTCAAAAAAGGTACCTTATCTATGAAATATTATTTTTTACATACTGTATCTATGAGAAATATACATAGAATAAAAACAAGGGACACAAATGATCATTGATCCCCTTAGTATAATAAAAAGTAAAATAAATCAAGACATAATTACGTATAAGTGCTTATAATTAACCCCATTAATCTCCGACAAAACCCTACCCGACCACAATTTAAAATCCTTGTGAAAGAAGCTTACTCACACTGTTACACATGAATGTTATTCAATTAAGTATCTAACTATTCAACCACATTATGTTAAATTAATATACAAACGTATTAAAACATAAAAACAATATAGTTATTATAAAGCATACAAAAGAAAAAGAGAACAAAATACGATCAACCTTTCTTTTCCTTCTATCATCTTTCCCACGCTTTCACGCTTTGCCTCATTTTTATTTATATTTCTTTTTTGAAATAATTCCTTCACTCCTTTTTTCTTTTTGCTGTATCAGACTCACAAAAAACTTCTCCTTGTCAGAAAAAAAAAAACTGAATCTCTCTGTTTTTTTTTCTCTCACAAAATCTCAATTTCAATGGAGACATTGAAGAAGAATCCGTCAGTGAGAAGAAAAAGCAAGTTAGCGAGAACATTCCAGAAAGTATGTAACCTAAGAACAACGTCGACGAAGGTCTCCTCCAACAACGGAATCGGAATCTGTATGTTAAAGTCACAAAATCCAAATTTCAACGATGAAGACGACGACGGAGACTCTGTTTTCGATTTAAAGAGTACTTCCAGTAGCAGAAGCGGAGAGATCAAAGTCCGAGAGCGTCGTAGAGCTGTTTTAGAAGCTGTGGTTGCGAAGATCTTCGCTAGTACAACTTCCATTAAAGCTGCTTACGCTGAGCTTCAGATGGCGCAACGTCCCTACGATAACGACGCTATACAAGCGGCGGATACGGCGGTGGTCGAAGAGCTTAGAGCTTTATCGGAGCTTAAACGGAGTTTTCTCAGGAAGGAATTGAATCTATCTCCGCAAGTTGCGATTATGTTAGCTGAGATCCAGGAACAACAGAGTTTGATGAGGACTTATGAAATCACGATTAAGAAACTCGAATTTGAAGTTACGGAGAAGAAATTGAAGATCGATGAATTGAAGATGAGTCTTGATGAGAATTTGGTGATGAATAAATCGTTGGAGAAGAAACTCACAGCGAGTGGATCGATTTCTGTGTTTGATAATATTCAAATTTCGAATTTGAATTTGAGTCAGTTTGTTCAGGTTTTAGGTTTTACGTTGAGATCTGTTAGAAGCTTTGTGAAATTGATTGTGAAGGAGATGGAATCAGCGAGCTGGGATCTAGACGCCGCCGCTTCCGCCGCTGTTTCGGTGAACGTTAAAAACGCTTCCACCGTTTTCGCGAGACCGAGTCACCGTTGTTTCGCGTTTGAATCGTTTGTTTGTGGGAAAATGTTTGAGAGTTTCGAATCAACTGATTTCTCAAGTCGTGAGGAGTTTGAAAACGTGAGATCCGTTGACCCGATTCAGTGCTTGACCCGGAACCCGGGTTCGTCTTTTGCGAGGTTCGTGGTTCATAAGTACTTGAGCGTTGTACACGCGAAGATGGAGTGTTCTTTCTTCGGGAACTTGAACCAGAGGAAACTGGTTAACTCGGGTGGGTTTCCGGATTCGGGTTTCTTCGCAACGTTTTGTGAAATGGCTAAACGGATCTGGCTTCTACACTGCTTAGCGTTTTCTTTAAACGAAAACGTCACGGTGTTTCAGCTCAAAAGAGGGTGTAGATTCTCTCAAGTGTATATGGAGAGTGTGAAATCAGGCGATGAGTCACTCTTCTCCGGTGATAATTCAGATATTCGGGTCGGGTTCACTATTGTTCCCGGGTTTAAAATCGGTGAGAATGTGGTACAAAGCCAGGTTTACTTGTCTCCGGTTAACGGTTTTACTTCATGAATAGCCAACAAGAACAGAATCAGAAGGAAAACGCGGTGGTTGTGTTCACGCGCCGGGAAGAAAAAGAGAGGTGGCGCGTGGAAAGGAAATGGTGGGGACATGATTCCTTGGGGGCAGCAAGACTGGCAAGTGGGACATGTTTTGAGAATGTGACGGAGACAGAAAATGGCGCGAGGGACAATCATCATGAGAAAATAGTTTAGTTTAGCGAAAGAAAATGATAATTTTGTTTTTTTAAAGTTTAGATTATAATACATCTTGAAGTAGGAATGCATGGAAGAAAAATTATATTCTGTGTTCTTTTAATGTATAAGTTTTGTTATATACTTGATATTTTTATAATGTTTGGAGTTGGTAGAACCATGCTTGTAAATATTTTCTAATTAATTTATCAAAATAGGTAATGTGTCGTCGTAGCTAGATATTTTTTTAAAAGATATCTTCTAATTATGACAAAATATTGTGGAGTGACTTGAAAAATAAGATTAGAATCGGTTTTTGTAGTCAAACATTTGCGCCGGAGTGGCTTTATTGACTTGATTAGCTTTTACATATCAGTTTAGCTAACGTGAGTGTTGTTAGCATTATGGAAAAATATGTACGAATTGAATTTTTGTTAATCATATAATGTGTGTTGAATGGTATGCGTGAGATTAAGAAATTAGAAAACGTGTAGATAATGAATGGAGAGGAGAGGGTTAAAAATACGATTTGTTTTTTCTGGTAAGAGAGTGAGACAGATGTGTGTGACGTAAGAGAATCAATCTAGTGAAAGAGATAGACCAATGAGAGATTTCCACATATACGGCTGATTTTGAAATCTACTTGTTAGGCAACTATTCAATACCGTTGTATAATTAATTCCATTTATTTAATATTGCATGCGGGTTGGTCTGGCATAAATTAATAGTGATAAAGAATAAAAGAAACTAAATGAATAGAGACAATTGAGTAATTAGAGATCAAATTTCATTCATTACATTTTATTATTTATTGTAGACGTAATTAGTTGGCGATTTGGTTATACGAAAGAAAAAAAATGATCGAAGTAGGATATTTTGTATCATTGTATGTCATGTAATTGCTGTGTAAAGTTATGAATATGAATATTGATGGATATATATATATATATAGTTTTAAATGAATTTAATAGACAGAATTACATATTTTATATTTTTAGATGAAGAATTTATCCTGAACTCATCATGCATATGACTTTAATTTAAAAATAGCAAGAGCTAACCAATATTTTACATGTAGCATACTTAACAAAACAAGTAGAAAGGCCCATCAGATAATGCCCATTCATAAATCAAGTTGTAATCGTCTTTCTTATGAGAAATATTGTTGAGCCAAAAGATCATGTATGATATTTGAATATACTTGAATAAAAGAAGTAGGAAGGCCCATTAGATAATGGCCCATCAATAAATCAAGTTGTGATCGTCCTTCTTATGCGAAGTGTTGTTGAGCCAAAGATCATCATGTATGATGTTTGAAATGGTTTTAGATAGTTCGTTTTGTGTAATCAAGAGCTCAGAACTTTGAGTTTTTGTATTTTACAATTACAATTTATGTAAGATAAGAGCCTGGGAAAAAGATCCAAAATTTGTATAGAAAACATCAAAAATATATTTCTCGTATATTTAGAATCAAAGTGATCGGCTACACACCCACAAGCTGATTTGATCATCCAAATTGAAGCATGTATAGTTCTCCAATCCGACCAAGTTCAGACTTTTTATGTATTTAAGCATTTCTAAAACCGTTTTTAACCTCAGTTTTAATTGCTCTAAGTGGTTGTTGAGACCTTAAATTATGATCTTACATTTTGGAATGAGAATCCATAATTTCATTACATTAGGAAGATCTCTAATCATCTCTCTTTTCTTTAATTATGGTTATGCCTGCAATGAGCTTTGTTCAGTTATATGTGTAAGTAGTTTTCTTGGTTGGATCTTGGGATTATACTAGCTAAGGTTAATCACGAATGATGATTAAAGGATTATCTTTTACAAACTGTTAATTACTTAATCTTAGTTCATATATAGTGTGCTAAAAAGCTAGTTAATCATGTTATATACAGTGTCACCAATCACACTCTGTTTATTAGGTGAGTATACTTGTGAAGAACAGTATTACACTATCAATTTTCCATATTTCTACAGTCGAAATATCTAGGATGACATCTCTAATTGGTTCGAGTTTGAATAATCCTCAAGAAAACTATACGAATCTCTAATCAATGAGCGGTGGCCTAGGGGCATCCAATTCAACGCTATAGTACACTTCCACAAGTAACTAACACCTTTTTGCCTTCGAGTAGTATTATTATTAAAATCTCATATGTACTATAGAAAGTATTTGAATGTTTCTAAGTATATGGTTTTCAGCTCTTCAATATATAAAATTTTCTATTTGAATCTTCAATATCGACTTAAGTAAATATTAAACACAAATGATTTCCAACTTGTTTATTAAATATACTGTTAAGAACTATATGACTAAGAGTATTTAACATTTCGTAAACAAAAAAAAAGATTTTATGCTAATCAAGTACTAAAATGAAGAAAGGATCACTAACCTCAGCCAGTAAGATTCAACATGTTATAAAATGAAGTAACATTAATTAATTACAAGATGGGATATTAAACCTCGTGTGATATGAAATACAATAAACTTTTGACTAATTTACATAAGTAAAACTGTAGTAACCTGAAAAAAAAAGAATTCTAAAAACAAAGGTATACGTTGTAGGAAATTTCGTATTAATTATAGTTAGAATAAAGAATGTACTAAATGGAAGAAAAAAACCAAAAAAGAAATATGAATCTAGCGGAGAGACTATCAATGGCCAACACCGGGACTAGGAACGGATCGGAGAAACCGATCAACGGTGGAGAGATGTCGAGATCGGAGCTTCCCGGCGAAGACGGCGGCGTGACCCTTTTTGCTCGGCGTTGAGTTGGGAATTTTACCCTTTGGTAGAGCACTTAAGGTACTAGTTTTGGTCACGTGAGGCATGTGACTCTTCTCTTCCTCTCTCACCGTCAAGATTTCTTGTTTCTTCATCTCCAACAGCTTTCTTGAAGAAACCGGCGAGGGCAAGGCTGAGACGATGACGGCGAAGACTAAGAAGAGCCAGATGGTCGGAGTTAGACGAACGGCCATGAAGAGCTTTGATCTTTGGGGTGAAAATAGTATTTTGGGTTGAGAAAGAAAGAGAGAGATGGATTCAATGAAATTCTTAAGACTCAAGGTTGCTTTAAAACAATGAAGTGTTATTGTATATATAGTCAATAGATAGAGAGAGAAAGAGAGAGTTCCTATTTTAGAATGTTGATAAAGTGACTACTTAATAAATTGGTGGAATCACTATTTGTCTTTTGGGTTTTTCTTTTTCTTTAAAATAGAAGTCTAAAGTGACACTCTAAAAGGGGGTGTAAGTATTAAAAAAAACAGATTTAATGCAAAAATTGTCTCTCTCTTCACATTCGGGTGTAAGTTTACACTCGGGTGTAAGACACTCTCTCTCTTTCTCTATCTTTCTTTTTCTCTCTCTTTTCTCTTTTGCTTTAAATTATAATACTAAAAAAATACTTACACCCACACAAACACATTTGCCACTGCTGATGGTCTAACACATGCATGCATAGCAAATTATTACAACCTGGTTATAATTTTCAAACAATGTTTTCTTATGAAATTTCATTTATATGGTAAGTTGGGGAAAAATGTATTGAGAAAGAAAATTCAACGTTCCAAAAGTCATGCACAAACTTATGAATGAAGATTCGCAGCAGTTTCAGGAAAATGAATATTAGTACTCAAAAGTCAAAGAAAAAGTTTTAGATAGCAGCCTAAAGAGGAAAAGGTGAAATTAGATTTCACATAAAGATAAATATTACCAAACAATTGTTATTCCGAAATGTGAAATGTATTTAATTTGCAAGGGGGCCAAAGTCCACGATCAAATAAAAACTAAAAGAAAAGAAAGAGAATTTAGACTTGGAGAGAAAGGGATTAGTCATCAAGGAGAATATAATTGGTTTATGATCTTAAGTGAATCAAGTTGAGTCTTATGTACGTAGTGAATCAAATTAATTAATTTAATACAATCTAGACTATAATTTAATTAGCAAATGAGTTCGGTAGGCTAATTAAATCTCTTGGGATACGGTATTAGATACGATGTAACACGTGGGCATAGTTTGGTGAGTGATGAAATTGATGTTTTTCAATAATCAGAAGCCGCCGGCCACCATTTTCAACGGCGGTCGTTACGCCACCGTCAAATGTTAGGCTTCCAAGTTCCAAGTTTCACACTTTCCGGTTCATGTTGTTATCCCAACTTTTTGGAGTTTGTTTAAATAACTTTTTTGTCTGTGGTATACTTAAGATACTTATGGATGTTGTCATATTAGTAATTATTTTTAATTAATACATTATCGATTTTAAATTTTTGTTTTTTTGACACTTTTGGGTCGATAAGATCCGATTCATAGCCGATTAATACGACTTAGTGGGAGTCGAACTCCGATGGGGAATGTGGAGTCAAATGGACTTAACCACTTAACTAAAGACATCTCAATTTGAAATTTTTGTTTAAAACCTCAAAAGTAATCAAATACTTAACGGCTGACGAATAACTGATTAGTGCTTAACAAATTCTTCAACTTTGATTACAATATAATTAAATTCAACTTTTCAGAAATTTTCATTTTTTCAAAAAGCTCACAATTTTCGGAAACTATCACACATTATAAAAAGTTCGTGGAACTAGTTAACAATTAGTGTATCTTTTTATGGTCAATTCTGATTAAATTTTTCATATCTAAACCATAAGACTAAACTACTTTTTCATACTATCTGATTTGGTCACCGTTTTATCTGTAGAAACTATGCAAAGCGTGTTCACGACATTAATGAGCTTAACATAAAACTCGTGGAGGCAGAGAAAAGTCAAAAGCATGGCCGGTAGTAAGACTCCAAAATGGGCCTCCACGTAACCTTACTACGCTATAAAATGACAATAATTTCTAACCAACAAATATTATATAGTTTCTGCTGTTCTATTTCTATCTATATATGTAGATGATCGTACGTATAAGCATGTTTACTGGTAACTAGTAAAGTACTCCCTCTGTTTTTTAAAAGTTGTCATTTTAACTGTATTTAGACAAATTAAGAAAAGGTATACAATGACTATATTAACCTCATAAAAATGACAAGTAATTATTTACAAATAATTTGTGTTTAATTAAATGAGGGTAATTTGAGTAGTTATTGGCATAAGTTACATTATTACCTTAAAACGACAACTAATTTAAAACAAAAAAAATGCTCTAAAACGACAACTATTCGAAAACGGAGGGAGTAGTTAGCAAACATTTTGATAAGAACCTTTTCATGAATTTACTAAAAATCAAATATATTATTGCATCGAAATATTAAGCAGAATAGCCAGAATTTCTCATGGAATTCACAAAAAAAATAAAAAAAATCTAATTTTGCATATTTGTTTATATAGGATAGTTCAAACAAGGTTTGTTGCAGATCCAAAAAAAGAATTCGGTTTGAGATAGATTGGAAGAGCCACCATTTCTAGGAGCATTTGAGAATTCTAGATTACAAATAAAAATGAGAATAAAAGAAATATTCAAGGAACATGTATAAATCCAAACACATGTAAGAAATAGTTTTAAGGAGGAAGAACAATTAGGCCTACACAAAAAGTCCAAGAGAATTGAACTTTAGTAGGCAAGCAAGGTAAAAGATGATGTGGTGGTCGAGGAAGCCACGACCCTCCATCTTAGGAGGTCGAATAGAATTCTCTCTAAATCTTCCTCCCATTCTCTACTGATCTTATCAACGTTTTGCTCTAATTTCTACTCTCTTATTTTATCTTTCAAAGACTGTATGACTTAACCGTCATAGCTATGCACCTTCCAATTTATGCATTTCAATAGATTCGTGAACTCTTACGGCCTTACATAGTATCATTGATTCAAGGACATAGATCCAAATAAGATTTCTATGATCCAAAAAGTAAAATATGATATGAGATATAAATCCTCGAAAATATATGGTAGGATTCTCATACATAAAACAAGATAGCAATATATAAGATAGCCTTTTCAATTATACAAATCAATAATGTCTTTTCTTCGGTGGATGTAACAATCGATGACGTCCGATAGACCGATACCGTTAAGGGGTAGATTCTTTGGCCAAAAGATAAAGAAAAAAAGAAGTAAAGAAATGACAAAAAGAAGAAAGAAAAGAGTGGGTATAGTCACATGGCCATGTTCTTGTGTTGCCGTCAACAGAGAAACATTGGCGTTCCGCGTTTTCATGAACACGTCCGGTCCCATTCTCTCTAGTCTCTCTACCACTCTCGTTTATGTACACATTTGATCTTTGTATATAATTAATGCGTACACATAATTTGTTTAGCACATACAAGAGATGTATACTATAAATATGCATACACCATTTCGGTGATGACTGATGAATAGTAAAATATGGGAAAAAAACAGTAAAAGCCGAATCATTTTTTACTTGATAGTCATGGAATATCAAAAGCTAGCTAGTTTTACAAGATGATTGATGAAAATTATATTTTTCAATACATATGCGGAGTATATAACGAAATGATTTTTAAATATGTGAGAAGTGATATTATTGTCAAAAGAAAAGTGACTTCTTGCTGATAACCGGAGATTATCCATACTAATTCCAAAATCCACAATGACCAACTATAACTGAATTCGCAGTAAGAATATTCAAATCATGATCTATCAACTCTTAAGATGAACACTTCACCCACTAATTAAACCGCCGTTCTTCGCCTTAATTTTTTTTGGTATCAAAAGTGTATATTTAACAACAAATTATTCAAATCAGTTTGTGCCACAATAATATTATTTGTTTCTTTTGTTTTTTCTAGCAAAGGAATAAGCTACAATATTGTCTGTTCTTTTAACCCTACTGATATTTATTCCTACAACTCTACATTCAAGCTCACTATCTCAGAGTATACTCGTCATTGTATATTCTTTTGTTCGTCCTTTGATGAAGCCGAATAGATGAGAACAATCTCTTTCAAACACAATCCAACATATATGATACCACTTATTCAAGTCGGCTGAAGACTGAAGGCGTAAATCAAAGCCATTCTTTTAGCTTGCACCGGAGTTTATGACCGCCGCTCATCACCTTATTGAAAACTATTAACTCACAAACTCATAGCGACAGAAAATCTATCTTTTATTTAGTTGATGCCAATCTTTATATTATCCGTTGCTTTTTTTTCTTTTTCTCCTGCTGTCTATAATTAGGGGAGTATCATTTCTAAACTCTAATCCCACATTCCGAACTTTATTTTTGGTACGTATAATTTGTCTTTATTGATAATTAGACGGAACAATATCTTTCTGGCTTTGACAAAGCAGTAAACAGTCAATTGGCTTGTGCGACAATTATCTTATTCTTCGTTTTTATGATTTTCGTTTTCATATATTTAGTGTTAAATTGGAGAATTGAATACAAGTCTCGATCATAATGCTATGGAAACGATTTCTCTTTGTCAGGATCTGTACTTTGACTTGTAATTTTTTAAAACACAAGAAACGACGTGTTTGGTCACGTTGTGCACAACCTATCACACACTCTGTAAGAAGATAGATACCTTAATTTCTTTTTGTTATCTATAAAAGATAAATAATAACAAAGCGAATTAAGCAAACAAGTTATGGGCTGCCGACAATAATTGCTTGGCAGATATTGTAATTTATAAGGTCTAATTAATATCGTATTCAAATTCAATATGTAGCTTATAAACTATATAAAAGATATATCATGGAAATGAATACATATTTTCAAATAATGAAAATAAGGTAGCTAAACTCGCTCGCAACTCGCAAGCTATAATACAAGAATTTTAGAAATACACTGTGGAATACAAGAGTTGGTGACATAATTTTTTTCAACGACCAAGAACACGGAATGGTCTCTCTCATTGTCACAATTGCTGACTTTTTTTTTTTTTTTTTTTGGGTTTTACTGAGACTATAACAAATATATATATATATATATATATATATATATATAACATTAACCTAAACATTTATAAAAGAGTGAGACATATATGAATGATACAATTTACTAACAACAATGCGTCATATTGAATTCGAATTTCATCGACCACACATAACTAACATGATGCATCACAGTTTTTTAAGAAGATAAATGTTTATCAGATCAAAAAATTCGTATCATGAAAAAGATAATAAAAAAAATAGAGCGAGAAAGAAAAACATGAGTGGGGCTTTTGGTGAGCAAAATGGGGCCTGACTTGTTGATCGATGTCAGTGGCTAAGGTATCTGACTTCAGACACACTATTTGTTTGTGCCCCAAAGTATTCGTTTTGTCTCAATAAACTTCGCATTGTTCTTCTGGTTATTGAAAAAAAAATACGAATGTTGGTCGATGAAAAATGAAAAGAACAAAAGAACACGAGTTCCTTGAACGCAGCTACTGGTGTCGTTTGTTTTTCATTGTTTCATGTTGATTAAAACGAAAATAATGATTTTTCAAAAAAATTCTTTTGTCCTGTCATTTACTCGATTGGATTGATATAATTATGGTACGTGCATTTTCATTGAAGAGTAACAAAAAATTCAATCTCTGGTTGGGCCGAAAGATCTACATTTAATAACGATGGTGACATTGTTGGACGGATTTTTAAATTTTTTTTTTTTGATTAATCTAAGACTTTACTAAAGTTATTTGGTAACCACTTGTGAGGAAAAGAGCAATGAAGTAATATCAAAACTCTCTCTCTCTTTTTTTTTGTCTCAAAAGTTTTAGTATTTAAAATTAATGATTTGTCAAAATTAAAAACATGTGACACACATTAAAAGAGGAACTATTGAACATAATGGTTTCTTATCAAAATTGAAGAGGAATAAAGACAAAAAAAAAAGACAAACATAAACCAAAATTCACTTTTTTATATTATTAAATAGTTCAAAGAAAGGTCTTAAGTGTTGTAATATATATTCATGTTAATGATATTTTAGATTTAATTTAAATTAACAGTGATAACTAAATTAAACAAATTATTTCCAAGCGAAATTCATATTCAAAAAATTCAAAATAATATTTTAATTATTATTACAATGTTATTTTATTAAAAATTAAACTTTTGAAATGAACATATTAAAAAAACATAAAATGAAATTTAAATTAATACTTAATTTAATTTATCTTACTTTCTTTCATTCACTTTAAATTATTAATTTTCTCATCAATTCATAATCTCAATAGTATATCATTGACCCATATAGGTAAAAAATTTAAACAAAAAGTGAAAGGGCTACACAATAACGAGTTAAAAATAATAGTAATAGTCTAATTGACAACGGCTGCGATAAGAAATAATGGTACATATATGACAATAAGATAAAGACTACCATTTTTAATACGATTGCATTAGTTACCATCACCTTTGTGATTGGGGTAACTAGTTAGTAGTTACTACGATAGTATACCTCTTAGTGCTTGCTGTACATGTTTTTCAAGAGAGGTTCGCAGTTTGAGGCCCAATACACGAAATACAAACATATAAACTCCTAACACTGATTTATATTTCAAAAATCATCTTTTAAGCCTATAACCAAAAGACCAATACATAGCAGGGACAAGGCCCAATATCTTAAACCCGTTTGCACAAAAAAAAGAGTAAAAAAAAACTTCATAGAACGTAAGAAATATGCAAAAGAGTCAACTTTTAGGGAACTTTATTCTATAATTGAAATATTTTTACGCTATGAACATTGATCCTCTAATAAAAGTAACTCTTTGTTAAAATTCTAAACAGCGCCAATTAAACCCATCATTGCGTTTCAGACTGTTAAAGTTTCCCAACTCAATACCAATTGAAGAGTGACCAATTTGTTCAATATTTCTTATATATTATTTAGGCAATACCTTATTTTTCATATGGACTTTCTAACTTGTATCATTCAGAATGGTGATTATCTTAGCCATTTCAGTTTGTGAAAACCCAATTATAGAAACAATTTCAGGTTGGTTTGAACAAATCAACTGTCGGTCGGATTAGTTTTTTTTCTTCTTAAATTGAGTATGATTGTGTGTTCGCGTTTTAATATCATGGTGAAGCCCTCCAGTTCAAAATCATTTAACAATGAATCATTCTACATGTCTTTTATATAATTCTGATCCCATCTTATTTTCCAATAAAAAACTGCAACAGCTTGAAAAAGGGATAAAGATATTTGGATGCATGCCGAAATAATGTGTAAACGTGTTTCAAATATGTCTGTTGATTAAAGAAAACTCCAAATCCTAATTTTCCTCGACCAATTGTTACATAAATACACATACAAAAATAGTAAAGAACACACATACAATGAAGATAATTCTCTTCGATATTTCCAACTTTTTTTTTTGGTTAACTATTTCCAATAAGTACATATATATACACATACAAAAATAGTAAATATATAACTGGTTGTTAACAAATAGATTTCGTTAAATATATGGTTGATCATCACAGTATATTATCTAGTAATTTATTTTAGTTTGGAGTGGTACTTCTACATTAAAACAAAAAAAAAAAACAATCCCTCTAGACTTCTATATACACATTCAATATAATTATGTAGAGGAGGTTGGACTGCCGCAATTTAAAAAATTAAAAACTCTAAAAGTCAGAACTACAGTTTAAACATAATATAAACAATATGTACGCAAACTTTAATAATAGTAATTACAGAGAGTTTGGCAGGCCTAGTAACGTGAATCATAGCACAACTAATTAATTCTCTTATTTATTTCTGTTATAATTCTTCGCGTAATTCTTTTTTTCTTAATTCACGTTCGTAAGCATGTACATGTTCCACCAATTAATTCTTAAGTTACTGTTTTTGGAGATGAAGTTCCAAAAATATGATTGTTTACTCTCTACTATGAGGTTTCTAGATATTATCTCATTTGCATTTTTTGTCGTTAGTAATATTCAGGGACTAATTAAAACCAACTTAAATATTTTACAACAAACTTTGATGCTAGCTAATCAGATAACACTCCAGCGAACCAACAAGTGAGTATATAGACTATAGAGTATCAAACTTTTGTTTCAATAGAAAAAAGCATTAAAAAGTTAGTCCAAGTTTACTTTAAAAATTCTGTGAATTTTACCGATCCAACATAAATGATTTTTTTTTATCACTCATCATAAATTACCAGCTACAGTCATCATCTTTATAATTAATTTTGTGAAAACTAATGTAAGTACTAAGTAGTGTAAGATGACTCTAAATTTTGATTTTGATTGGTTTCTATCCAAAATCTTATTCTCTCAAATTTACGTCTCTATACCAATTTGAAAGTAATCTTTGTTTTTTTCTTCTACATTTGACATTAATCTCATAATTGCTCTTTTTAGAAAATTATAAGAAAAGGTACAATCAAAGTTCCCTATAATATGACAAATGAACTCTCACTTCTCAACGTTCCACTCTTGACCAATCAATGTGAAAATACAAATAAAATCGACATCGATTACATATACATAAAAATGACAACCATTTTTATTCAGCTAACTACATTGCAATTAAACCTATAAAATTAAATATCCCAGAAAAATTAAATAGACAAAAGAGGAATTCTTAAAGAGTAGAGAGTAGTAAATTTTTTTTAAAAAGGAATTACAAAATCGAATCATACCTTTTTTGTTTTTTCTTTCAATAACAAGTATAGAGAGTCTTTTATATGATGATTTATTGATTACCGTTGAGAAACTAAAACAAAAACGCCGTGCGTACAACGCTTCCCATGTGAGCGACAACAAATATCCAATAAAATATCACCACGTGTCAAAAGATCTCAACTTGTGACCCCACTACGCTACTCCGGTGACGAAACACCACCGAACACTCCGGCAACTCGCCGAGATCGGCGAACAAAGACTCATCTTCCTCTCCCATCGGAAAGAACACCGCCACGTCATCCGCCGCGGAGACAGCCGTCTTTTTCTCCGACGAGAAAATCGGGCTCTCAAGAATAGTCGAAGACGTTGTCTCCATCTCCGTAAACCACGCGAACTCGTCGACGCAAGACGGTGTTGTTTCAATCTCCCTTCCAAGAACCATAAACTTATTATCCTCCTCCTCCGCCTCTAGCTCTACCTCAGGCTCCGGTTCAGGCTTGGGCTCGGGTTTGGGTTTAGGCCCGTTTCTTGTGGAAGAAGTGAGAGGCCAAGGATGGTTATGCTCAGAAGTGTAAGTGATGAGGATCATCGTTGGATCATCTCTGCTTCTCTCGACTTGCTTCCTCGCCGGACAACCTTTTGTGCTACTACAACGGTAATAACCTCTAGGGTAAGGAGAACCCTTAATGGGCTTTTGGCCGTACTTACGCCAAGCCCATGAATCTGACGGCGGAGTTGTGTCACCTTTGTGCCGAGATCCTTCCATTTCTTTCATCGGTACGTTCACTACTCTCTTCTCTACGGATCTCCTGCTGTAATTTAACAAGTACACAAACATATGAATATACTTTAGTCAAATGGTAAGTTTTCATGAAAATTTGATTCATAGATTATATATATGTTTATGTACCTTCGTTTTGGCGAATGAGAAGAGATAAGAGCTTTCATGTCGTTGAAGGTTGAAGAATTTGGTGATTCGGGTCCGGTTTCTTGACTGCTTTCATGATCATTGTAGCTTCTTGCCATATCTATACCTCGCTTCATGTTTTATATATATGCTCTATAGACAATAGACTATAGTTATATATATTTACAAGAAATTAAGCGAGGAAAGAAGGGTCGGGTCAAGAATCGGATATTTCGTTGATCTTGATCACTTTTGGAAATATATGAGTTGCAGATGGAGAAAGAGGAGTAGAAGTAGAGAGAAAGAGAAAATGGAGAGAAGGTGGAGAAGAAGAGGGGTTGTGTATGAAAGAGGACGTGCGAGCATATGTCAATTTAATCTCTACTTGTTTTAAAATAATACTTTATATCCTTATCATTTAAGAGAGGGACCTCGATTGATTACTATTTTAATAGATAATTATTTGTCTATAAGGCGATGGTTACATATGATCACACCCTTTGTTTACAATACAATAATTTTATTGCGTTGTTTGAATAGATGGGGTTAGGTATTAATTAGTATACACAATTGTTTGTTTTTTTGTCTTTATCGACCATTGTTCAAACCCTTTTTTTTTCTTCCTTACAATGTAATTAAATGATTGGAAGATGATTAGGTAATTTATTGGGTGGTGTAGTGCGTGTGAACAAGGAAATGCATGGTAACATATGTGATGAAACTTTATCATTCGTTTAAAGATAGATCTCATCTAAAGTTTATTTCTATCTTTTTGAAGAAATTTTCCATCACAAAAAGTTTATTAGTGTCTCATCCCATGAAACTCAGATTAGGTCTTCCACTAAACTCAGATTAACATATATATAGTTTTTAATAATCAATTATTGAAATATGTAATGATGTCATCTTCTTCATCACATTTACCCATTTGAATGGGTTATACATTTCTGAGCTATTAAATTCTAGATATACAGTTTATGATTCTCTTAATATCTTGTTTTGTGTATAAGATATCACATTAAGTTGCATATGTACTACTGTAATTAACATCTATGATGTATAATGAAAAGGGGATATTATTGTTAAAAGAGCTATCACTTATCTCATGCATATAGATGCACTTCCACTTTATGGAAATTTGGCCATCTTGTATTAGCCTATATATGTATGCATATATGTTGTATGTATATATATACTTAATTTGTGTACAAAGCAATCCCAAACACTCTGAATAAGTTGCACTCCAAAGTGCGAGCCTAAACTATAAATATTAATCAAAATTTCTTATGACCTTTTCCTTCACCAAAAGCAACATCATAATTTGTCAGCCGATGACACCCATATAAATATAGTTATCATCATGTTGGATTTAATAATAAATCTTGTTTCTAATCAAAGAGATAATCTTCTTTATTAATGATGATTATCGTTTACTGATCAGAGTTTACCCTTTCTTTTTTTTTCGTAAAAAAAAAGAAAAAAAAAGAAAGGGTATCTAATTAAATAATATTACGTGATAGCTCTTTTAACATTAGATATCTAATTAATATTACGTGATACTACTGTAATCAGAGTTTACCCTTTCTTCAATATATGAATTCTCTCTGATCTCAATTTACAGACAGTAAAAATGGAATATACAGACAGTACTGTTATATATAACATCCATACAGTCAGTAGTACGTAGATAGAATATTTAATATGATTTTCAGGGTTGTTTTATTTGTCTTTTCGTTCGAGATTATTTTGTACAACATACCGATATTATTGTCTATATCAAACAGAAAAAAATTATATCCTAGGATTTTCTATTTTTAATTCAAGAGACTAGCTAGCTAGCTTTAGATTTTCTTCTTTTTTTTAGCTTTGGATTTTTCAGTACAACATAGTGTCAAAAAGTGAATTAAGTGAATATTATGAGTGGAAGAACTACAAATTATATAGATATCAATGAAGTTAAAGATAAAGACACTATTTAAGATAAATACTTTTTCATCAAAGATTCATCTGTAATCGGAAAAAAATGTGGCGACGGTAGTTTCGACGTTGGTAAAAATGAGACAATGACATTGATCCCATATCCGGCGAAATAAAAGCATGAGTGCACATTTTTGGATGATTAACTATTTCGATTCATCTATCCTTTGTATATCAATAAACATAATTAAAATATGTCAAAGTTTTTTTGTATCGTCAAATTAGTATATCATATGAATATGTATTTTAATATGTAGCAACAAAGATATTAGAAATATAGTTTAATACGATATATTATGGTATATCAACAAATTAGTTAACACAAGTTATAGAGGAAGCAAACGATTTTTCCACTTTCGTCATGAGGGTGTATCCATCCTTTTCCAAGGAAGAAACTTTCGTTAAAATGATTTGGTATGATCCAATAAACCACAATTCATACATCTAGGAAGCAGAATTGTACCTGAAAAAATTAGATATCTAATTAAATATTACGTGGAAAAACTTTTCTACTATTTATGCGTTGTCTTTATATATATTCACTAAAATTTAAATTATGTTCTTCTGTAAAAATTAAGAATAAACTCATGTTCTTAAAGGACTTGCAAGAATCTTTTGATTACAAAACCTCATGATTACTATGGAACCGAAAGATCAAAGCGTGCTTTAGCCCTAATTTACATGAATTTGCCTTTTATTACTAGATAAAATACCCGATTCCATCTAACAAAATATTTATCAATTTATATCAACATGAAAAGTATGAATATATATAAAACTGTTTGCGTGTTGACTTGACATTTTATATATTGCCAATTTGCCATCATCTGATCATGTCTCAGTTCAGTTTGAAAATAATAAAGATAACTCAGCCTTATTGGCAATTTGCCATATAACTACAATATTTCCATAATCTATATATAATAGCAATCTAATAAATACCATTTGCACATCTGAACGGTTGCGTCTTTTTATCGTAACTTTTCGTTAATGTTTTTATTAATTAAATATATATTTTACGGTTATGTTTTTTTTTTTATAAATTGCATTCTGAATGTTTTCTACGGTTGTGTTTTTTATTGTAACTCTTCATAAACAGTTGAAACCGCTTATTCGAATCATTGCAATATTTAGTTTATTTTACGAACAATTGCAACCTTTGGTTTATATATTTAGTTTATTTCACGAACAATTGCAATTTTTGGTTTATTTTATAAATAGCTATAACATTTAATTTTTTACTGCCGCGTCTCTCGATGTAACTTTTCATAAATTATTATTTTAATTCTTAATTTTTAATTACTAAAATGTATTTAAAGGAGATTGTAACTATTTAATTGAACTGTTTCAACATTTGGATTATTTGACGAATTATTGCAACTTTTGGATTTGTGTTACGAACCATTGTTATCTTTAGTATATTTGATGAACTATTGCAACATTTGGTATAATTGACGAACCGTTGCAGTTTTTGGAATATTTGATATCTACGGTTGCGTTTCTCGGATAAGTTCGTCATATTTTTAAAAAATATTTAACTACTAAAATATATTTAAATGAATTGTTGTTACCGTTTAATTTAACACAATAGCATTTGGTTTATTTGACGTTGAACGTTTTGGCTTATTTATCAAACCATTGTAATATTTGGTTTATTAGTTTATGCTTTTTGCACTTGGGAATAGTTTTTTAGTTACAAATTATTGTTTTTCTAATATTAATATACTTAATAAATGCTTGTGAGGGTTTTTTTTTTATCATAATTTTTGTAAAATATATATTGATTTGTTATTAAAAAAATTCAAAATTACAATTCATTATGATTTTTTCGTTTGATATTTTTTTAAATGATCGCGGGGTCCTGAGTCCTAGTATATATAAAAACAACATCTATCACATATATAAGCCATATATATATATTATTTTTTTTGTAGTTAGGCACTTACTGTCTTTAAAATTTTAAAAGTTCAGATTTTAGAAAACAATATAGATTAAAAAGACCAACGAAATCAAGGTTGTGAGAATAGTGGGATCCATTCAAAGATCTTAAGAAACTGATGATTTTAGAATTGTTGTAAAATTTATAGGAAAAAAAAGTTAAGGAAAGTACCGGCCGTACATGATAATTTTGATAAGTATGAAGATATAAAATATATGTTAATCTTAACTACAAATAAATGTTAATTTTGATAAGTTTGTGTCCAAACTTAAAAATACACCATCTAGACCAACTATTTAATAAGTTTTGACAAGCAAAAGTCTAATTTTGTAATTTTGGATTGATTTATGATTTATCTAATCGTTAGGATTAAACTGAAATCTATTGATGCGTGAAGCGATGTTGCTGTAATGTGAACCAATTCAACTATATTATAGCCACGATTGGGCAAACTATATTTATATATTATTGACTGACTGTATTTAAGTATGTTATTGGCGGCTAATATCATGGAATTTTTTGCTATTAAAAAAGGGACCAATAATTTGGCATCTCTGACTTTTCCTAAAACCTCGGCGTGGTTCTTGTACAACATGCCATGATTTCAATATATCTAGATATTTATCTTTGTGTCAAATTTTTAGTACATTCTATTATTTTTCCAACCAATAATTCTGGATTAATAAATTATTTTTTCTTTGTTCCTATTCCATTTCCTATGTATTATTTGAGAAATATTTTAAATATAAGGTGCTGGTGTGTTGCAACCATATATTGATTCTCAGAGTTTTCTTTAGATTTTTTTTTTGTATGACAATATACGAGATTGTCACAATATATAAATGTTGAGGCTAAAACTCTCGGTTCGTTTAGTTAAACATTACTATTAATCATCTTTGTTTGATCACTGATTCATGCTTCCCTTAGTTAAACCCTGTATCCAATGTCTTCTCCTAATGCTTATTGGTTTTACAGCTTTATTGTGTTTGAATTAGTAGTCTGGTTGCTTTCTTGTAATATCGCTTGTCTATTGCATAATATATAGTCTTTCATTTTTTTATACAGTAAAACTTTTATAAATTAATAATGTTGGGATCGAAAAATTATATTAATTTATTGATAAATTAATAATTTATAAAAAGATTTTACTAATTTTGTAACTTTTTTTAAAAAAATGGAAAACAGTTTTTTTTTCTTTATAATCAATATCTTTCTAAAAACAATTACAAATAGAAAATCAATTTTTAAGTTTAGGAAACAACACAAACTTTTTTCGAGATAGTAAAAATATTAGAATTAAACTTACCAAGAATTAATACAAATCTAAGAAAAACAAACAATACTAGAGTCATCATATTTCACTAAATTTTTAATAAAATATTTAAATATATATATATATATATTATGATATATGATATTATATGTATATATATTGATAAGTTTATACAATTATTAATTTACGATTTGTGTCAATTTTTACCCTGGTCCCAACTCGGGACTAAAAGAATTATTAATTTCTAGAGATTATTAATGTATCGAGTATTAATTTATAGAAGTTTTACTGTAAATGATTTTAAAAACAAAACCACCAATTTATTATGCTCTATATTAGTTCAAATCCAGCATCTCCAAAATGTCATCCAATTTTTTCCTTGTGCCACTTTTTTTTTTTTTCTCCAAATCATAGCTTTATTAATATGAACCAGAGATTGTAATGTTAGACATAAGGATATAAATACAATCAAATATTTTTGTAACGAAAAAGCAAAAAAGTTTAGGCGCCGCAATCCGAATTATATGCTTAGTTGCTTTCGTCTTATCCGCCAATCTTGTGTGACTTTCTAGCTTGGGCAACATCTTCATTTTATCGATGAACCATCTTTTACGCTTTCGAAAGACAAAGTCTGCGATCCATCCGTTACATCGCAAGACCGTAGATTTTGGAACTCTCCTGAAGAAAAGGATATAGTTTCTTATGATTGTATTATAAACCCATATATGTTGATTTGATCTTCTGATTCTCAACCAAGTCGCATCATCCACCCACATCCACGCTGAGAGGAAGCGAACACCAAACGCACCAGACATTGTTATCCGCTTCCGGAAAGTGAGAGACGCTCCCATAACCGTCAAGTAGAGTATTAAACGACGCTTGTGAATAAGATCTAGCCGTAGTGTGATGCCCAGATCCTTCAAATTCGACATAGACAAAAAGAGAACACCAACCTCCCTTGAGATTGTAAACTGCTTCCGAACAGAAGGATAAGAAATCATAATCGTCGAGTAAAGTAGGAAGCGCCTCTGATTAGTGATATCTAGCCCTAATTTCCTTCCATCATCTTCAAACTCGAACTTTGATATTCCCGGATCCCAGATCTGGTTTTGAGAAATCTGATTCAAATTGGAGACACTGATTTTAGATTCAATCACACGTGTATAGTGCAATCGATCTGTTGCAAACTTGAACTGGAAGCCGCTTAGGCAAAGCCTTAGCAGAATGACGCCGGCACCACTCCGATGATATCGTCGGATCGTGGTCGGAAGATATCTCACTCGGTAAAAGAGGAGGACAAATAACCATTGAAACCTCCACATCGATCTATGAAACTTGTGAAATTTGTCGATAGATTGTTTCAACCGATGGAAAGGAATCAAAGAACTAGAATAGCAAAGGAAAAACAAAGACGACCGACGCCGGAGAAGCCAGCGCCGGCCGGAAGCGGAGATTGTAAGAAACGGTTGCAGAAAGAAATCGTCTGTTTCGTCGTCTGTTTTGGTTTTTAGAAACAATGTGATCCTTTCCTTGTGCCACTTTTATCCTTGTGAATTGATCCTATATACCGCACACTTGCGGATTTAGAATGAAAACAAAACGTACAATAAGTGAAAATAGATTTTTGAATGTTAAATGCAAATTCAAACACAAATGCATTTGTAAAGAAAAATACTAACGCTAAGTGCAACCAAATGCATACGTAAGTTTCAAATGGAAAACCAAACCCGGATTGAATAAACGAAGAACCTAACACTTCCCCAGCCCGTCTCGTTAGAAATCGTTCCAGCTTCATTTGAAATCAAGGTGATCACACGTATAATGATGGTCTCATGCTATGGTAAATGCAAATATATATGCTAAATGCTTACACAAACACAAAATCCAACTAAATACAAACTCAATATGAACTCAATGACGCCCCCAAAGGGGCATGACAAACTCAACAATTATCTTCTATAATTTTTCCAACCGTCAATTACTTTGTAAGAAAAGAGGAATTTGTCATGCCAATATTATATATATTTTGAAGCTTCAGATTTCAGAAAATCAATTATAGTGTAGTTATTAAAGTATAGTTTTATTTGGACCTCCAATTTCCAAAATCAAATTTATTTTTCCTAATCAACGTTGGTAGTTTTAAAAATTAAAATCCTAACAATTATCTGAAATAGATTATAACTACCCACCGTTAAAATATATATTAAAAAGTCTCAATTTTTCAAACTCCCTCAAAACTTTAGAAGCATGGACATGTTACTGCATCTCACCACTCAGGGCCGGCCCGATAGATATTGTTGCCCAAAGCAAAAACAGAATCCTTATGCCCATTTGTTTAAAAAAAATCAGAAATGACAGTGGGGGGTTTCGAACAGGGCACCTGAGAGACAGTTTATATAGAGTAAACCACTACACTACCACTTATTTTCGAATATTGGTGCCCTCTAAATCAATATATATCTTTTGGCGCCTAAAGCTAGGGCTTTGCCCGCTTTAGCTTAGGGCCGGCTCTGTGACACCACTAAATGAAACACATTCTTGTGTTTTTTTTTCGCTTAAAGTCCTTAATTTTTTTTTAATCTTTTCTAAATGTTACATTGGGGCACTTGACTTGACAACAGCTTTGAGAAGAGTTTGAGTCAAATCATCCACACTACACAGCTTGTCTTTCGACTGAGGTGAAACAATGGCTTCCATGGAAAATGAATCTAGGCACGATGCCCTTGCTTGAGCCACACTCAACCCCATTTCTTCAAATGCTTCAAGAATGTTCACAAGATTATTTTCTCCCTTTGGACTTTTTATTTTCACTTGAAACATTTCCCCAATCTTCTCTACCTTCACCTCCTGCCAAAGTTAAAAAAAGAATTATATTTATGCTGATATTTGAACTTAAGAGTGTCATGTGAACATCTCAATTAGAGTGCCATGTGAACATTTCAATTAACTTGTGCTTATATTCGAACTTAGAAGCCTATGTAGAAAGCTAATTAAGTCCAAAAAGATATGAACCACTTTTTCTATGATCAAAGTTAGATTTGGTGTTGTTGTATGAAAAGATTCGATTCCATTTTGGTGAAAATAACTCCTCAATATTTCAAGGAAAATAACTTCTATGTAATGTACATAGAAGAGCTTCACCAATGATGAAAGAATTAGATGAAAGGAGAAACCTGAAACTGATGTACAGGTTCTTCTTTGATAATTTTGAAATCTTCATATTCTCTCTGCAAAGCTTCTATCTCGAGTTTGAGCGTGGTTATGTATAGAAGAGCCTCCCTAATCACCATACTCTGTTCATGGATACTCTGCATAACAACTCATTGGCTGTAAAATCTTAAATTCATACATAAATATATAATATAAGCATGACATATGAGGAGCGAAAGCAGTAGAATCATCAAGGGATATGAACACAAATATACATATATATGTTTTACATACAAGTTTAAAGTGGGTGAGATTTTTAAGAAAATGAGGTTTCCCTTGGCCTGCCCTCTTCTTTTGTTCACTAGCCACCATCACTTTCTCAATGTTTTGAACTCTTTGAGACAACTATTATTATTGTTTCAACTTTCAAGGGTGTATCTTGGGATCTATATATACACACACATTTCTTGTCGTGTAGTACCAAACATACATCTTGGTGATAAACTGGTAGCTTATTAAAACATCATAAACCAAATAAGATTAGAAACAGTAAAATATAATTTAAATATGTATGGTAGTCGAAGACATATTTTTTCTACATATCGTAGATTTGACCTGTGAAATATTTGATTTATGATTAGTTGTTTATTGAAATTGTGAACGGTTAACCATATGGTTTCAAAATGCACCGACTATAGATTATTTTGAAACTACAACTTAAAAGCCTGAGATTGTATACCTTTTATTTCTTCTTTTTAATGTATATTAAATTATATTTAAAAAATAACGTTTGTATAACTAATACAACGATTGTTTGATAAAATCAAACAGTAAGCTTTGATTATATAGCTTTACACATGCTACAGTATTTAAGTTCGTTTAGTTATATATCTATTTCTAAAAAAATCTAGAAGAGATTTAACTTCGTGTTTTTAATATTTGATTTACGTTTCCAATTCAAAAATATAGTAGTTAATTTATTATCAAATTAAGTATGTTACATGTCTTGAACATTAAATCTCTTTTTTTTTTGATAAAGAAAAAAATAAATATAAATATCTATTTTTACCAATATCCTGATTATTTAATCATAATTTAATGTTCATAATTTAAAAATCTTGCCCATCTTTTAGCACGGGTGTAAAAACATTTGCTTGTAACATATAACGAAACGCGGGAAATCAATAGCTTTATATAATTTGAACATAAAAAAATATATGAAAAATTCTTAGTTCGAGTCCTACCTCCTCTAAATTACATTCAAACAAAATATCAAAGTAAATAAATAAATGAAAAATACATAGAGAGAGTTGAAGCATACATCGACGAACGCGAAAGGAGAATAAAACAACGGCAAAATTCCAGTTGTCAGAGACAGATACCTATGAATTAGCCATAAGAATCGATATCCTATCGACACATACATAGCATTAGCAGCGAATACAATATGTGTATTAGCTAAATATTAATGAATGTATATTATAAGAGAAGATCTGTCGAGGGAAGAGAGATAAGAGGAGTCACGGGTTGTTTCTTTACGTTTGTCTCGCTTCGAAAGGTACGTAAGAAAGCAGACTAAGTGGTAAGCATGAGGCTGCTTTGTTTCACATGCTTCGTTTGTACCATTTCCTCTGTTTTATTCTCTGTCCTTTTCTTTCCTAATATAAGCAACCGTGAGATAGTAACGTATAAACTATCACACAAAAATATGTATTTCAATATGTCTTTTTTCCACAATTATAGAATTATCGAATCAATTACGGATTTGCCATTTTTTTAAATGGCATTTGTGAATTTTGTCTTTTTTGAATAATTTGTGGATTTCGCCATTTTTTCAGGTTATAAAAATATGATTTAACATGGGTTTTACCCGTTATGTTTGGGTTTAGTCGGTTTCATTTGTTCTTAGGGTTTAGTATTTGGTATAAAGTACGTATTTTTGCAAAAAAAATCGTAAATACGTACTTTTTTAAGTGTTAGAAAATGGCAAATCCGTAAGATTTTATAAAAAATGGCATTTTCAAAAACAATTGATGAAAAATGGCAAAATCAACAATAATCCCTAGAATTAGCTAGAGTAACCGCTCAATGGCGATCATTGAGGCGACGCTACTTTCCACCAATTGAGAATCTTCCTCTTTGTGATATCGTTAATCTGAGTAATCAGATCTTGTTTGAAGAAGGACTACACAATGGTTTCATATATATCTATATTGGTTTTGTGTATTGTTGCGTTAATGGTCTTCTCCATGTTTGTCTTCTTTGTCACTATCGAAGGAGCCGGTCATGTGGTTTCTTGTCAAGGGTTCAGAGTGTACTGGCCATTTGATTTCTCGACTTGGCTTCACGATTTTGTGGATGGGAAGAGATCGTTTGTGAATCGATTTCTATGGTTACACTTCTCCCTAGTTGGACAGATCCTATCGATTGGAAAAGGGTGTTACCTTTCCAATTGTGACGGTTCCCTCTCCGGCTTTGGGCGTGCTTTTGGCCGGCCTCAAGCGTTGTATTTTTACGAGCGGGTGGGCTTGGCGTTACTACGTTCTCCGATGATGGAGACGATTTATTCGTCGTTCGTCAAAGTGGATTGGTTTTTTGATTTCACCCAAGTCGAGCATATTATCTCCGTGAAGGTTTGTTATGCAAATCTTCATGATGCCCAACATTCCCAAAACCATTTTGGTGAAGGGATTGAGTACGAAATTCGAAGAATATGTTGGTGTATTGGTCGGCGAATATGGGATCCCGGTATATCAAGTTTACAAAGAAGCAACAAATGGGTGAAAGAGAAGATAAGTGTTATAGATAATTTTAGAAGGAGCTTTCATCTATCGTCATCGAAGAACGTCAACAAGGGAATCGAGATTATGGATCTATCATGGGTGATATTTACAACCAAAACAAGCCCATCACCTTGCAAAGGAGAGGGAAACGATTGTATGGTTTGCGATGTAACTGATGGATCGCAACCTTTTGATTTTCAAAAAACGTATTGGAGTTTCATGAAAAAGATGATAGCCAAACAAGAAGATCAAATTAGACTGAAGACGAAGACGATCAAGGAAAATAACAAATTGATAAATTTGTTAGCGTGTAAGGCTTTTCTAAGAAAGAAAGCAACGTGTAATTTCACTTTTTCGATTATTTCGTTATACTTAAGTTTTGGTTGTATGGATTGTAAAGCTTTAACTTGTATGCTCATTGATACATTTGTAATTTCTCGTTAAAATTAATAAAGAAGACGTTAAAAAAAATCCCTAGAATTAGCTCTTATTTAATTTTTCTATATTTTTTACTTAATTGGTGTTTTCGAATCTCTTAAACGAAGTTGACGAAAAAATTTAAATTATTAAATTTTTTTGGTTTTAAATCAATTAATTTATA